ATATCAACAAATGTCTCTTCGAAATAAACTATTAAAGCTCTATGAACACGTTCTCATTTGTAAAGTCGATCTACACAAATGATGACAGGCTGCCCTCAGACAGTACACTCCTTAAACAGAATCAAGACTTTATATAAAAAAAGCATAGTAGGACACCTTCAAAATTGTCATGATAATGTGTGCTGGCTAATCAGAAAACTCAAAATAAAAATGTAACCTGTATGCCTCACTTAAAGATGCATGCTATTACAACAGTAACAAAGAAGCAGTTCTAGAAACAGTCAGTACAAACCAAAGGGCTTTCCTGAAAGGATTCCCCCAAGGACAGAAAATTGCCAGTTCTACACTGAAACACGCATGCTGAGTCATTGTATGCATCACAGCAGTCACACACTCTCCACACTGCACATTACGCTACACCAGGAAAAACAACATCAGGTTTATTTACAATAATGTAGAGTTTTTTTTTTTTTTTTTTTTTCTCAAGCAGATGAGAATAGAAATGCATATCTAAATAGGTGATGGGTTTCTTGCTTCTTTGGACCTTTTTTGTCCACTATATTCTTGTCACTGTGTAATTTTCCTTTTTATATAATTATAAAAAGTATAATTTTCCTTTTTTTACAGTGTCATATTTTCAGGGTATATATATATATATATATATATATATATACATATATATATATTAATCCTAAAAATATCCATATATATTTATATATTTTTTCATATCTTTCTATCTATCTATCTATCTATCTATCTATCTATCTATCTATCTATCTATCTATCTATCTATCTATCTATCTATCTGATCTGTGCATACCCACTGCACATGGGAATTTGTAATTATGTACACACTTACTTTACATATACATTTGTAATTATGTTTCTCTATCTGCACATTTCTGATTATTAATAGCAACCTGTACATATATTCATTCATTGTTAATCTCTGTTCATAGCTATTACAACCAGTATTTAATTTTGATATTACATCCATCTGTAAATATCACCGTAGTTTTTAACTATAACTGCACTTTATAACTTATACCTGTATCCTGCACTTGCTGCTATTGCACTGCTGGTTAGACTTAAACTGCATTTTGTTGCATTGTACTTGTACATGTGTAATGACGATAAAGTTGAATCTATCTATCTATCTATCTATATCTATCTATCTATCTATCTATCTATCTATCTATCTATCTATCTATCTATCTATCTATCTATCTATCTATCTATCTATCTATCTATCTATCTATCTATCTATCTATCTATCTATCTATCCTTTTTTTATTTGCCAAGGCAGCATTTTTTATTGTCATATTCATTTAATAGTGTTTAATTGTTTTAGTTTTATTTAACAATAACAAAACTGGATGGCAAATATGCAAAACAGATTTACACTTTGTGTACACAGTCTAAAACCAGTGTTGATTTCAAACCAAACTATTTTGTGTTGATATTTTTCTCATATTACTTGATTTGTACTCTAAATTATTCTATTTGTACTACACTAAAGTGCACTACATACTCTTCTCCATCTCTTCCACTCATCCCTCTCTTTTTTTCGGTCCTCAGTAATATATAAAACACACAGTAAGAGAAAGTGGGAGTTCTGAGAGGAAAAGGTGGGTCATTTCAACCACCACATCATCTACACACATGAAGTATCCTATTTTACAACGTATAACACTAAACTCCAGCATAAACCAATTTTAAAAATCAACTAAGGTACTTAATTGTGCAAAAGGGAGAGCAACATGTTAAATAATTATTTATTTAAAATCTTTGGATAACTGTAAATATTAAAATCCAATACAGACATATTTCTTCCAGACAACAATACCAAAATGTCTGTTTACACAAATGAACAGCTGTGAGACTTTGTTTTAATGTCTCGTCAAGAATATAAAAGGTTGACCTTTGATGAAAAAGGCGTGAGGGGATTCTTTGCAGCATTGTCATGCGCATAACACTCTAATTAAGATTTCTAAAAAAGACACAAGGGTGTATTATGAGCTGTCAGCTGATCCCACCGGACAAAAGGATTGACAGACAGACGACTTAAAAGACAGCGGAATGTTCTTTAACAGCCAGTTCATTAATTGCATCCATTTATAAAGCTAAGAGCCACAACTCTGGATTCTGATTGGATGTTGCTTGGTGAGCTTAGACAGATAGTCCATCCAAATATGAATATGTAAATACCTCAAGCTTAGTCCAAATTTCTTTTTTCTGTTGAATACGACCAAAGAAGATGTTTTGAATAATGTTAGTAACCAGACAGGTTAACTTTAATTTTGGATTTACACAGTTGGAAATTTTATATATATATATATATATATATATATATATATATATATATATATATTATGAAAGTCAATGGCTTTTGTGAACTGTCTGTTGCCAACATTCCACACATACTAACATTTCAGTGTTCGATGGAAGAAGAAACAAAATGCAATTCAAGTCAAGGATGAGTAAAATGGTCACTCTCTAGTAAACTGTCTTCATATAGCTTAATAAATGTTAAATTTTGGGTCACATTTTATTTTAGTGTTCATTCATTTTCCTTCTGCTTAGTCCTTTTATTCATCAGGAGTTGGCACAGCGGAATGAACCACCAACTCATCCAGCATATGTTTTACACGGCGGATGTCCTTCCAGCAGCAACTTAGTACTGGGAAACATCCATACACACACATTCAAACACATACACTACAGCCTAGCTTATTCAATTCACCTATACCACATGTCTTTGAACTGTGGAGGAAACTGGAGCACCTGGAGGAAACCCACACGAACACTGGGTGAACATGCAAACTCCACACGGAAACACCAATTGATCCAGCCAGGACTCGAACCAGTGGCCTTCTTACTGTGAGGTTACAGTGCGAAACACTGAGCCACCATGTCACCCGGTTTTAAATTATCATTCATTCTTTCATTCATTTTCTTTTTGCCTTAGTCCCTTTATAAATCTGAGGTCGCCACAGCGGAATGAACTGCCAACTAATCCAGCATATGTTTTACGGGCATGGGTGTAAGTGCTAATAAACAGCAAATATCTTAAAAATTGGCAGGTAATAAGCCAGTATTAATGGTGAAATTTGGCACTTTTCCTAAAGTTTTACTACTATTATTATTAATAAATTATATAAAACAGAAGCAGATTTAGAAAATCAGATGAAATTTGAAATATAAATAATATAAACTCCTCTAATACTTGAGCATATTCTATAATTTATAATCTGATTTATGAACATGTTTATCGTTATGTTTATGTAACTAGATGCCAAAGTGCCATCTGCTGCCTAAGGTCGGTTATAGTGGATTCTTGAAGATTCTGGTTTTAAGAGCTGTAGACTTTTAAAAAAATAACAAAATAAAATATAATCATTTATTTACTAATGAAAAGGAGTGTTTGAGCATTTAAGCATTTCTCTCTCACTCACTCACTTTCTCAGGTTTGCTAATGCCCCCTAGTGGGCCCCGGCCCCCTGGCTACGTGATTTAACAATCTTTACAAATTAATGAATAAATTAAAGAATTTCAGACAATCTCCACTTCAAATCTTACAGTTTTTCTTTCTTTCTTTCTTTCTTTCTTTCTTTCTTTCTTTCTTTCTATTTTTCAGTCTCCTCATATCTGTCACAAACGTTGCATCTCTGCCTGTTTTAATTCTTCTCGTTTTCTCTTTTTCCTCAAATCTGCAATCTTGCCTTTATTAATCAACCCTAAAGTTGATTTATATGATAAATTGTTTTATCTCTGAGTCTTTGGTTTAGTTTGCAGGATGAGGGGCAGAGTCCAGCTGTCTCCCCCCTCAAGGAGCCGCCTTGCTTGTTGAGTCTTCCTTCTAAAAGTCTCTCCTTTCCTGAGGTAAAAATAGCTAACGATCCAAACAGATGCAGCAGCCGCTGTCCATCCACACACATTCACATGCATCCATCCAAAGACAGAATCTTCTAGAAGAATGAGCAGAAAGTCACTTACAGGCACTTACAATATGAGTTCTAAGTCAGCAATATTAAAAGCAGGACATGTCCCTGATTAGACGCCGTCCCTCAATGTGAAGATAGGCAGACTATCAACTCCATAAGCAGGTCAAAAGACATGTGGGCCACCATAAAAATAGTCAACTAAATACAGGGTGAGAACCAGGCTTGCAAAAATGTCCATCAGAAAACACCTCAGTAACAATTTAGCAAACCAGTAGAGTGTGAATGTGGAATATCTATTAGGGTGATGATGAATAAATGTGAACGCAATAAAAAATGCAATTAGATGCAGAGACATTTCCAATCTAGCAAAACAGCAACAATGTTACTAAATGTTCCAACTGAAAGGACTAAACCAAAAAGACTTGCAAATTTAGAGTTTGCTAATTAACCACTAATCTAAATAATCACATTATTATACCATAAATATAATTATTATACCATAATTATACTGTATATTCTTAATCTTTATAACTATATATACTTTATTTTACTTCTTGTTTCTTGATACTGCATATGAAACAATACAGAAGTAATCAACTCACTTTTATTTCAATTGAACTTTACCCTAACAAAAAATAATAATAATAATCGAGCTACAATAATAATAATCTGCTATAAAGTTTCACCAATGCCTCATCATTTTATTAGGCACATTCAGTTCCTCAGAAGGTTGGATGTGTTGTTTTTAGTGCAATAATAATTCAGTTCTATTAAAAGTGAATGTCAGAGTGTTGAATAAAAATATAATATAGTAATAATTACAGGCATATTCCTAACTCAAACACAACAAGTGCATATTCTTAATGCATACAGAATTAAGACTTAAATACAAGGACACCGTAAAATAAAGTGAAAAATGAAAGAATCACGCATAATGCACAGGCAAAAACTGTTCAAAACTCTTTCACTGAGATTCAACTTGAAGCCCACTCCTCTAAAAATGTTTATCCTTCTTATTATTATGAAATCAAAGCGGGTCAAGAAGGCATCACTCACCGTCCGCAGGAACTGGATCTCTTCATCTCCCCCCTCTCCTTCTGCCATCCTTCTCCGAGGGTTATTTGCAGCTCCTCAGGAGAAATCAGAAAATCCGTGCGTTTTCTCTTCAGTGTGTTTCAGTGTCTTCTCTCTATCAGTGTGTGTGTGTGGGTGTGCTGGAGGACAGCATGAGTCCTGTATCTCTCACAACGAAGTGAGAGAGAGTGACAGAAGATCCTTTGCTGCTTCTCTCTCTCTCCTCTCTCTCTCTCTCTCTCTCTCTCTCTCTCTCGCTCTCTCTCAAATCGTGTGGATGGTGCTGTACCTTCTTACACATTCACACTGCAACCATATTTGCACAACTGGGCCACCCCTTTGCCTAAAACTGATCCTCCCCCTGGTCTAATAGGCTATAAATGGAAAATGTGCTTGTGTGTGATGATGAAGATGATGTCTGGTGGAAGACACTGACAGAGACACACGCAAGCAGATATACAAGTCATTTAAAATATTTTGATATGAAATAATAATGCTACATTTATTTGGTTTGTCAGAACTAGGGATACCTATGGTAATATCTGTACAAAAACAACAGCTTGAACACAGTAGTGTGCCTAATGTGAGCCGAACGCAGCCGGTTATATCGAGTGCATCTGAGCACAGACATTCTGTGACTGAAAAAGAATTCAGACAGTAAACTGATAGTGTAATAATCTAAATAAACATTAAATTGTAAAAATTTCTGGCACTGTATGTGTAATAAATTGTAATGATTTAAAATGAATATTTATTATTTCGATAAAACTCATATACAACAGCATTTTTTATGTTTTCGATATAAACAAATACCGATATTGCAAGTAAACAAAGTCTGTCTGACATTTTTAAGCATTTCTATCGTTTTTATCAGCTATTTTTAGGTTTGTTGTTTCTAAAAGGAGCCTGAAAAAGATGTAAAAGATCTAAAATAAAATAATAAATATGCATATCAAATAATAATAAATAATTTTATGTTGAATATTAACAGCATTGTATAAAATATATAATTAATTACAAATAATTGCATTTGATTCCATTTTCATTTAATTTACAATAAAATTTAATTGGGTACAACTAGATTACAGACTGTTACATCACAAAAGACAGAAGTACAGGATGAAACATTTAGCCAAATATGTGTGCACACTATTCTCCTCATTTCTTTGTGTAATGCAAACTGCTGAAACATGACTTTTGGCTACTATAGCCTTTACTCTAATGCAGAAAATCTCTAGGTTTTGATATACAAATACGAGTATGTTATTGAGATACTGTATGTATTAAATTATTACATCACAAATCGTGTGACTATCACAAGCAAATAAAAAAAAAGAAAATTAACACTAAGTGGGCACTGAGCCAGCAAGCTAATTAAGCAATTAGACAGATAGATAGACATGTATATAGATACACAGATAGAAAGATGGACAGACAGAAGTACAGACAGGTAGACTCAGAAGGTAAATCATATCTTCAATCATATTTCCCTGTTTTGCATGCACAGACACTCACAGTCCACCAGTCGGCCAGACAGTCTGACAGCTGCATCAGCAACACACCCATAAAATTACTCTAGAAAAATACACAGCCAGCATGCTGCACCCGAACCCACACACACATATATACATAAACACACACACTCATACAAGCCACCATCACATGCAAAGATGACAGCTGGCATCACTCCTCACCTCCACAATCTCCATCTGAGTGTCATGTCTGCACGAGCTCCTCCTGTCTCTAGCTGTTAGTACATCGGAGAGTGGAGTAACGGGGATGCAGATGGATTTTTGGGGGTCTTTGTTGGCAGCCGAGGGCTGAACTTCAGAGAGCATGCTCAGACTGCACGTAATGTAAACCGGGAACCAGAGTGCTTTTTGCCATGTATTCGTTTATAGCGCCCACAAGATGGCGCCGTCGTCGTGTCATTTTATAAACTCACTGTGAAAATACTTTAAAAGAAAAAGAAAGCTCTCACAAAAACAAAACAAATAGGATATAAAATAACACGTGGACACCAACATGTAACAGTACAATAACAGTTATAGAAATAAAATTGTAGCTGAAATTATTTGCAGTTTTAAGTTGAGATTTTGTTAAATAGATACGTATGACTGATGATGTTTTATTAGCTTTAAAAAAGCTTGGTTCTTGATCATGGCGAAAATAACTAACTTTTTCTGTTATTCACACAGAAAGATGTACCAACATTAATTGACTCAGTGCAAAGATTGTTATAAAAATCGATGATCCATGTTGTGGACCTCCAGGGGTATGTTTTGAATGTTTATTTCAATGTCTTTAAAAACCTTACATTTTTGTTTTAAAGGAGACTGTAACTGTTCTAAATTCAAATAAATGTTTGTTCTTGAATTTTATTTTTGGCACAATTTATTTACATTATATAGTGTTTTTGAACCACACTATTGTAAATTGTGTTGAACGTATATTATTGTTATATTACTACACTTTGTTAATGTAAATATTACAGCATGGTCTAAATTGGTTTAAAAATTAAACATTTAAACTGTAATACAGTAGAATGCAGTTTTTTTTATTACAAGCTCAGATGTATGTTGTCGTATTATATACCCTGTGAGACACTGTACCAGAAACGTACATTTTCATTTATAAAATATGTGTCAGGGCCTGAATTAAGCTTGTTGTCCTCAAAAAAAAAAAAAAAAAAAAAAAAAAAATTGCATAAAATTATACAATTAGAACACATCCTTGATCACTGTCAGCTTCTTCATTCAATGATGTCACTTCCGAGTCATAGTCTTAAAGGTGTATTGTTCACATTTTATGTTTAATTTAATGCAAATGTGACAGGACTGACAAAAACATGGGGACAATTGTAAATTTATTTGTATTATATATTTGTAGTATTTATTTGTAGAATGTATTTATATTTTCATGTTTTTAATCAATTTTTGTGAATAATAACAACTTAAACTAGCTATTTCTGAAGTTTTTCTATTTTTCAAAATAACAGTTTTTAGGATAAATTAGACTACTAAAGCTGTAGGTTCAATTGGGCTGATGACAAGGACAAAGACAGCGCTTGTACATTTGTAAAGTGTTTTTAAAACATCTTGTTTTAAAACAGTAAAACATCTTAGAACCAAATGAATGACATATTCCTTTACTGAACAACTTACAGAAATCAACCATTAGTCCATTTTCGAAATTTTTGGGATGAAATACTTTTCATTCACTGAATTTACACTTTTTTTTCAGGGACAGATAATGTCAGTTTTTCATTTGTTTATATTATAGTTTTATTACAAAAGCAACTATAGAATAGTACAGCAGAATAAATTCTGTGTTGGTCATAGTAATAAATTCATAGCATTATAGGCTATTTACTATAGGTAACATTTGTGTTTCTTTCATGTGGGTATGTATGCTTAGAGGCCACATTTCACTTTCCTAGACTCAAAAGGTTACTCACATGTAAAAAAGGTTTTCAAGATGTCACAACATTTAACAAATTTAGCCTCCAGTAGCTACTGATGTAAACAAATGTAAAAAGGGAAAAAATATTGAATGTGTCAATACAATTTTAAAGTTATTAAACTTTTAGTGTTTTGTTAGATAAAAAGGTTCACCTTGTTGTTTTATGTTAGGTTTGCAAAATCATCTTCTAAAGAGTATTGCAGATGTGAATATTCATACAAGCTTATCTTGTAGATATGATCAACTTGCTCTCGAAAGTTCAAGAACATTTTGACTGTTCCAATATGGCAGACGGCTTGTGTTTAGCGACCCCTTGAAACAGTCGCAAATGAGGAAACTGTTCGAATAGCTCCAGATGAGCAAGTAAACAGTATAAGGTATGGTTATTAAAAATGTATGTTTTATAAAATACACACAACAGCTTCAGTATTCACGTTTTTATCCAAGTGTCTAGTTGACATTGTAGGAAATATGTTTAAGTATCACTAAGTTATGTTTACAACAGACTTTCCTTGGGGGGTTTTGACATTCCTGCATCATATAGCCTGTTTAGGCCTGACCGAGCTAGTTAAAGTTAAAATCATTGAGTAAGCTGAGGATATGATTCTGAGAGCCAGTGTGGTTTTTTGAGTTATGCAATCACAATTGCAGAATGTGCAGCAAGAAACTTACTGAAGATGACATCAAAAGCAAGTAGTAATATTTTCTGAACAATACTTCAGCAGAAGTCCACTGCTAACTGTTACCAACAAATATATCACCCTCCCTCATGCAGACATTGCTTAGTTCAATAAGCCAGAGCAAGTGCTTCAATATAAACGTTTTAGTCTAATCATTTTGCGGAAGTAAACAAAGGTGGAGTAATCAGTAAATTAAGACAGTCAAAAACATGAATATATCTGTAACAACCCAGAGCTCCCCTTCACCGGTTAGGGATATTTCACCTAAAAATGATCATTTAATCTACATTAACTCACACACAAATGGGTGCATAAATGAGTTTCCTTATTCTGTTGAACACAAAAGAATATATTTTGAAAAATTTTAGAAATCTGTAACCACTGACTTCCAGAGTAGTGCAAAAATATCTGAGCAATTCCAGCGTTATGGATGTGACATTTGCAGAAAAACATCAAAACATAAATGCACATAGTAAGTATATGTTAACAGCGAAGCATCTGTTTATCTTTTCCAAAACAACTAAGCAAAGAGTTATGGGATCAGAAGAATACCCATCTGTAAATGAGGAAAATACACATGTGTTATGGATGTGATAAAACAGTTTTGCTAGTTGGTAGTATACAATTTCTGTGAATGAAACTGCACAACCTAAAAGAAATGTTTATCAAAAGGAAAAGAGTCAGCTCACTATGGAACAAAAATCGTTGATTTTATTTTATTTGACATTTTTGCATTTATGAGGGAAAAGCTTTGTTTTTGGATGTGACACTTTTCCGTTTTGAATGTGACAGATGTGAAATTGCCATGTTTGTGCTTTGGGTAAATGACAGAACACTGACAGAGACATTTTAAACATTAAAAATACTGTAATATACTTGGTTACACAAAAAATGTAGAAATGGTTTTTCTATTTTGGTGAAAACGTAATTTTTTTCATGTCAAGTTTGACATTTGCATGGATTTGTTCATCTGTGGAAGTCAATGATTACTAGTTGCCAAATTTTCCACTTTATTTGTGTTAAACAGCAAAGTGAACCTCAAAAAGGTTTGTGACAAGTGTAGGTTGAGTACATGAGGGTAGAATTATCAGTCATGGATGAGCTATGCCTTCAATACAGCACAAGACAAACCACATTTCACAGAATTGATATTCTAGGTGTCATTCTGAAAGATGGCATCTGATTCATTCGCACCCATCCTTTAACCGACAAGCCCCCTCACCCTGGCATGAGAATCCCACCTCTGTGCGAACACACATACACACACACACACAGACACGGGCACAGGTTCCCACAGAGTTTGCATGCAGACACATGCACAAACACACATGCAGCAGTCTTTCCAATCATCTCCCCTCTCCTCCATCCTCAACAAGGCATCCTTTCAGTGTCCTCTCCAGCTGCACGTGGAGGGATTCAACCCTGGAGACACTACCTTACTGTTAAATACAGAAAAAAAGGGACAGAAGATTAGAAATGTGTTAACAAACTGAACTCAAAAGGCAGGTACAGACTCGCAAGTCCTTATGCTACACGCTACATGGAAATTTGTGGGGAAAAAAAACCCTGAAGGCTTGCTAATTTACCTGTGGCCTGAAGGTAAGGAACTGACAGTGACTGAAACAAAGCTGAAATGCATAACAAAAAACACACTGACAGACAGGAAGCTAATAAAAAGCAAACTCTGCTCTGAATTCTGATTCACACTTGCAAGACTGTCTGTTTTCACTCGGTGATCTTCTGTGATTTTTAATGTGTATCACTCATTCTCACAGTCTTTAAAAGAGCTCAAGCCCTCCCTCTCTTCTCGCTCTCTCTCTCTCACTCACTCACTTTTGTTCCTCTCCCTCTGTCACACATGCAACAGATGACAGTTCCCCTATCTTTCAGAGCCAGTGCCTGTATTTCAAATAGAGACTTGTTTGTAGTGAATGCAGCTAGTTGTTTGTTGTGGATATGCTCATTTTAACAACTTTTTTGTTGCTTGTACAGTTGCACTTTTTCATTTTTAATGCACTGTCGCCGTATAGGGGTTGTTGGGCTTTCTTTTATTTATTGTTTTGGTTAACTTTGTGCCCTGTGGTTGATGTTGTCTGGTAATATACAGAGAGGAAGAAAAGAGGGTGGGGGGGGTGTAAGTGCAAGTGAGTGAGTGAGAGAGAGAGAGAGAGAGAGAACTCTGAGACGCAGCAGCTGGTTTTTAGGTTTTACGCTTTGACAGAAGTGACTGAACAGACTGTCCATCACAACCTGTCAGAGGTCAGCTAGTACCTCTGGTTGGAGGAGAGAGACTTCAAGTTGCCCAATGGGACAGGCAGGGGTTTAAGCAGCACGGGGGACGCCAACAGGACACCGGTGGATGGGATTTGACACCATGAATCGCAAGGAGTCAAAAAGGTACAGACTTTATGACTTTCTATTCCATTCTGACTGTGTCTCGACAGGTGTCCGCGCTCTTCACCAATGATTTGATGTCACCTTTAAAGCAAAAAGTCTGCTTTAGCTCTTTGTGTCAGTGAGTTTAATGTGCAATGGAGGTTTAAAAACTCTGTTGGCGCCTCGTTTTGCACGCACTGCAAAGTGATCACTGTGGTTATCTGACAAGCTGTGGTTTCTCCTCATGTTCTTCAGAACTATGTGTTTAGGTTTCAGTTCTCTTTGTGAGAAAGACAGGCTAGTCACTCTCAAAAGCATTCAAACAGCACATTCATCATTCAGACGCTCCCTTTGACAATCTGAATATGTTTGCATTTGCAAGATCTTTTAGATTCACGCATGTGTGTGGTGAAGCAGCAGTGGTGCTGGTCTCTGATCTTTAACAGGGGATTTCGCACTAGGGAGATGAAGTGCTTTTGACCTAGTTATTCTCTTGTGACCTGTTGTGGATAGAGGTATGTTCGCTTGTTCTGTTTACAGTACATAAGAGGCATTAGCACGAACATACTGGTTGGTGTTGAGAAGAAACATTGCTATTGTCAACTCATTTAAAAGCTAATCGTTGAGTTAACCTGCGCTACATTTGGGGTCAGATTTTAATGCATGTGATCAAATATATGTGCTAGTATACATCTGAACTCTGTATATAGTAAAATTACTGTATACTTTAACTGGCATGAAGTAAAGTGTGAATGGGATTAATGATTATAAGGACTAGGAGTTTATGGGGGTGTCTGCTTTGTGCAAGTTATCTTAGAGGTGTTATCTGATTGCTTGGAAATGACTGACTTAGCATCGGCTGAGGTGATGCTATCTGTGAAACACTCATAATAGCAAGTGATTATGATGACAAATATGTATGTTCACTATATAAAATATTACTGATCTCTTGAAAAGAATATATATATATATATATATATATATATATATATATATATATATATATATATATATATATATATATATATATATATATATATTAGGGATGTAACGGTATTGTAAATACCGTCATACCGCAATATTAATTTTTTTCGATATTACCGAAGTCGCATGACTCGGTAAAACTATAGGTCTTCTGAGAAAATTTGCTCAGGCGAATGAAGCGAACGGGAGGTAGCGGAAACTACAATTCCCATCAGCCCAGGGGTGGCCATCATCCCTTGCGGTCTGTTGTTGCTACAGATCCAGTAATGCGGAAATGGAGTGTGCTGCTAGAAGCGGGGATGAAAAGAGCTGGAAAACTCTAAAGCAGGTCGCACACTAGAAGCGCCGCGACACGGCGCGTACATGACAGATTAAAGTATCGCACACCAGACGCGCACATTCGAATGATATTTTACATGAAACTAATCAGATGGCGCTCTGTGGCGCGGCTGAAAAATGAACTGCGTCCTGAGCCGTCGCCGGGCGCCGCCGACAGCCGCCGACTTGCGGCGCCGGTGTGTGTATCCTGATAGAAACCTATGATTAGAATTCTAAAATACGTGGCGCTGCGCGGCGCGCCGCCGAGCGTCGCTTCTGGTGTGCGACCTGCTTTACACACACAGTTCAGTCCTGCATTATCTCCGTGTAAGTTCAGACTTCGCAAGTTTGATCAAGGCTGCAGTCTCTTCTTCCCAGTTTGATATGGAAAAGCAGATTATACCGAGGACACGGGTAAATCTTCAAAGGGAACAGTGTACTTTATAACTTCATTCACATCACCTTGGCTACGTTGTTTCACTTTCTCAGCAATAAAATGTAAACATGATTTAAGGAACTGCCTATTTTCATTTTAATATTAGCAACTTAACAGACAGCAGAAATGTTGAGGCGCCGTGCTGCATGAGCGTCATCTTCACTGTGTGGATATTTATAACAAAACGGAGCCGATAACAACTGCCTCCTTTCAATTTCAGTGAAAATACGAAACACAGCCTCTCTTTTGCTGAGTATCAGTTTTAATAATCGATAATGGCCATTTTAAAAGTATAACATACAATAAGTTTTTACATTATAGGAAATAAAGGCGATCAGTCAATATACAGAATGTACGTGGTTACATTAATCATTAACTTATCTTTGCGCTCAGCCAAAACATGTTACCTGAGAACAAGTAATAGATTCCAATGACCAAAGTCAGGGAATATGTCGTTAGATAAAGACAACAAGATAAATGAAATATCCCGTTTAATAAATATAGTGAGATTAGATCCAGCGGGAGATGCTTGATGAGAAGTCCGACTAGCAGAGCTCTCATCTGGGTAGATGGGCTGAGTGTGATTAAATGTTGAATGTGATGAGTTTTCAACAATACTAAATTGAAACTTTATTTTTTTACATGGTTTAATAATTTTTTGTTATTAAAATTGAAGTTCCTGTTTCAAAGCTTACAGATAGATGGCTAATTTGTATGTCATTGACACTTTTGGCACTTTTTTGGAGTATTTTCATAAGTTTTGTTTTTTCCTGTAAATGATTCAATAAATACCGTACCGTGACATTCATACCGAAGTATTACCGTACCGTGAAATTCTGATACCGTTACATCCCTAATATATATATATATATATATATATATATATATATATATATATATATATATATATATATATATATATATATATATATTATCCGTGTAATAAATACCATTTATTTAATAGATATTGGATGTGTTGACCGAGATCTCAGATCATCAGGTACAGGATGGAGAGGACAAACTGACTCATGGGTACAGAGATAGAGAGAGGGTGGTCCACAAACAAGGCCTTCAAAGGGCTCTGGCATCAATTAATCAATTAACGAGAGAAAGGGAGGAATTTGCATGTGTGTGCGTGTATGTGTGTGTGCGTGTGTTAGACAGAAAAGAGAGAAAAAATAAAAAAGAAGGAGATGAGGAGAAAGCAGGAGGGCTGGGGGTAGGGGAACGGAGCTGGAGATGTAGCCAGGAACTGGGAGTAAAACACTGGCTACTGTGGCAGGGAAGGGGTAGGGAGGAGGTTAGGGGGGATTTCCAAAGAGAAAGGAGAAGTTGTTTTCTGAATGACATGAATAGAGCAAATGCAGGAGGAGAGGAAGAGAAAGTGAGTGAGTAGGTGCTGTGCATGGCCGAAACACTCACACAGTGTATGATTGCAAATGTTTCATTGGATTATTAAACTGAATGGCAGGTTGTCATGTGTCTACGTACACAAACAAAACAAACTCTTGTTTGGAGAAATGCTAAAAAACCTTGGTGTACTAAAACACCACATGAATTCAATAAGAATTATTGTGTTTGTGTATAATAATTGATCATTTTCACTCAATATTTGTTGTAAAAAAGGCACTATGAGCTGAAGTTACATCAAAATATAAACCGCAGAAGGCAATGTCTGACATGAGGGAATGTAACAAATTTGCTGTCAAAAGATTTATGTCAGTATAATTATTTATTTTCAATCAAAATACAAACTAAAGAATCACTTTCTGCCTTACATCCAAAAGAAATCCAAGCTTTCTGTAGTTTAGCATGAGCAGTGAAGTTCCACCTAGATTTTGCTCACATTCAAGCTGGACACACACAATTGCCAAGTTCACCAACAGAAGGCTGCTTGGTTTGAATGGAACTTTGGTGTGAGCAGTCCTTCGTACATCTTTATCTCTTCATCACAGTACAAAGTGGTACACGGTTGTAATTCCTGTGCAAATGCATCCATGGCACCTCTGAGATGAATTAGACTGTCTCTGTGAAGAAATGCCACCTCAGAAGTGCCTCTGTGCCACCTTTGCTTAAGTAAACATCCTTAGACTGTTGAGTTAAGGTGACTCTGTGCTTGCTCAAATTCAGTATTTAGACACAATGTTACACTAAAGCTAAATTAAATTACAAAGTGGACACCAAAGCGACATCAAAACACAAATGTGACAAAACACAAACCGTCAAAAATTCAAATCTAACAGTAGCTTCAAAAATAGATTTTAGGACAGTCCAATATTTCCAATACTTTACAGTCAGACAGGACAGTGTAATATTTTTTTTATATTTCATTATGTTGGCGATCAAAATGGTTTTGGATCAATCAAAAAGTGTTTGGATGTTAAATTGATGTCAAGGTTTTCACATCAAATCGACCAACACTTTTAACATGTTTTTTGTTGTGATGCTTGATCAGCCAGCAGCTAGCTTTTGCAACTCTCACATGTTTGCCAACTGAAGCTAAGTTCAGTACCTGGATAAGAGACCACATGGGAAAGCTTGGTTGCTGCCGGAAGTGGTGCTAGTGAGACCAGCAGAGGGTGCCCAACCTGTGGTCTGTGTTGGTCCTAACGCCCAAGTATATTGATGGGGACTCTATACTGCTCAGTGTATGCCATCTTTCGCATACTGTAAGATGTTAAGCCGAGGTCCTGACTTTCTGTGTTCGTTAAAAATACCAGGATGTCCTTAAAGAGTAAAAAGAGTACAGGATTAACCTGGCTAAGTTTGCCTACTGGCCTCTGTTCATCATGGCCTCCTTACAGGGCAGGCCCTGTACATTTAGGGGCCCTAAGCAGAATGATTTTGGGGCCCTACCTTGCTCTAAATAGTGGAATATTGCCATTGCAAACTGGCCCACAATGATGTTGTTGCTTATTAAATACAATCAATGAAACAGAGAAATAAAGCCTGATTTCTTCTACTTAATAACTCTCTGAATGATTTGGACTTTTAAAAAAAACACAGTTTTTGTCAACTAGCAGCTTCAGAAATGAAGAATTTAACTATTTTTAATGAAGGGACCAGTGATATACTGTATATATATATATATATATATATATATATATATATATATATATATATATATATATATATATATATATATATATATATATAAAGGAAGCAACAAATACTGGGTTAATATTAATACCCAAACACAAACTTTATTATTTCCTTCTTTCTCCTTCCTTGTTCCTTACATTTGAGATGTAGGGTCCAGAGCTTATATTAAACTATGATTAATTCAGTTAGGACATAAAGTTTATAAACAAGTCTCAGGAAAAAAATATATAACCATTGTGCAAAATATGCCGTTGAAAGAGGCTCCAATATTGCATTTCAGTAAAATGCATTTTAGACTAAAAAACGGGTCTGTAAAACCAGGAAAATATTTAATATTTTGTATAAGTGGATGGCACTTACTAATCTGTTATTGCCTATTTTCAATAAATGTGCTTCTAGATTATGTCTTTAACATCATCATTAGCGCTTAAAAGCGATGCCAAAAATGATTTTGTGCTTGTCTCTCCTCGTCGTCATTTTTCCCCTCAGTTTCTCTACATTTGAAGAAGAACCTTAGTTTTGTTTAACTTTCACGGTCCAATCTCCAAAATAAATCAGGTATATAGTGGCAGGTAATCAAGCAAAGACCATAGCTGTGTCCATGCACGGGCTCACGTTCTTGTGGCAACCGGTCAGTCTTGTAAGTTTCCTTTAAAGAACAATGTCGAACCGCGAGAACACAACGCATATGAGATGCTGCGAGCTTCATGTTGCTCACATGACTTTCACTCAAAAACAATTTCAACTTTAATAAAGTTATGATTTTTTTTATTTTCAGTGAAAATTTATAAATATTTAAGCACTAAAGCACTGTCAATGAAGATAATTTGTGATATGCAAATAAAAATGATTTCAGCAAGGAAGCAGCTTGCACCACAAGCGGGTTGTGGGGGCGCCCTAGTGGCAGCGGGGCCCTAAGCAGCCGCTTAGTTTGCTAATAGGGAGGGCCGGCTATGCCTCCTAACCATTTCCATATCAAAATTTGCTTCATCACTCTGGTTCCTCTCCACCAATCAGCTGTTGTGTGGTGTGCCATCTGGCACAATATGGCTGCCGTTGCGTCATCCAGCTGGATGTTGCACACTGGTGGTGGATGAGGAGATTCCCCTCAAAAATGTGTGAAGCACTTTGAGTGTCCAGAAAGTGCTATATAAATGTAAGGAATTAGTATTATTATTGGTGTTAGTTTGATTCAGTGGGTATGGCTGTTCCACCATTAGTATCAAATCTTAATCCTGCATTCTCTCTGAGCTGCATTAACAGTCTGAGCGACCACCTCAGATGTGCCACATTTGCGCGTTTTTCAGTGTTCAACAATAAACAGTATTATCACCATATCGTATCATGGCTTAAATATACCAGGCATAGACATTTGCATAGACTTGTTTACAAATTAATTTACATTATCCAAGTGCATTTTCCCTAATTTGTTTACTGTGTGTGTGTGGGGCTGTATCTCTGCATGTGTGTATTTCTCATACCTGAAAAGTTCTGGCGTATATGAATTGTGTATTGTCTATGCTGCACATCAGGTTTATGCAAAAACGTGGTGAATTTGCGTACTGGAGTCAAGTCTTATATTCGGTGTGTAAAAAATAGCCTGAACAGAAGAAAAAGGAAATGTGAGGTGCAGTTCATGAAGGTATAAATAGGAAGGCCACATACGAGTGCCTTCCTGGTCTACAAGCTTCAGTTGTAGTAAATTTACACTCTTGGCTTGAGAGTATATTTGTGTGACCCTGATCTTAGCGCTTTGCTCAATGAGGTGTAAAGGTAAGCATCAGGGTGTGTGTGTGTGTGTGTGTTTGTGCGCAGAGAGAATTGAAAACAGAGTGCTGAACTGGACACTGATTCAGGAGGAAGGGAGAGAGAGCGGCAGGGAGGGGTTTTGGACGTTCTAAGAAGTCATCGCTACTTCTCTGCAGTCGCGGCCAGCTTCCTGTTCATGCCGTCACAGACCACAGTGATTCTTGCTGATGCTGCCTGTGATACTTTTCAACACATAAGTCAGAAAAGCCAACTTTACAGAGTGGATAATCCTTTAAACTACGCAGCACCTGTAAGTATTACAGGCTGGAAGCCTGATGTTGTTGCAGTTCTCTTTGTGTGACTGATAAAAGAAAGAGCTAAGCAGAAAGACAGAGATGCTTATCTATAGTGTTTCTCTTCCTGTGACATTGACGACCTGAATAATGACATCTACTGTATAGGGCAGCAGACATAAACACACATCCTTACATATAAACATCAACATACCTGATCTACCAGTAGGGTTTGCAGAGTGCAAACAGTCACACATGTGTACAGGCCTTCAAGGGCCGCCCATGGCATTAAGGGTATGTAAAAAAAGATTAAACATTAGTCCCTTGGCCAGAGTTTTTCTCTCTTCTCTCATTTGTTATCTGATCGAAACTTGAAAGCAATTGTTTTGTGTAAGCGTATTAAATGTTTAGTTTATAGACATTCACAAGTACTTGACAATCAAAACAGCAATGGCGACCTTCAGGACTGTGCGAGTTAGCAAAGTGACATTCAACTGCTGGCCTGACATGCATAATCCAATGTTTTTAGTTCATAAGGGTATTTGTGTGAACAGTGATGGTTCAGCATGTTCTGTTATTAAGGATGTTTCAATAAGTGATGGATGACATAACCGTAGCTATATTGGTATTAAATGCTGCTCATTGCTATCCTATCATTTTGAGAGGATGACATGCTTATGATTGACCACTGCTGGTCCCACATTAGCTACAGCAGGGGTTCCCAAACTTTTCAGCCCGCGACCCCCAAAATACCAATGCCAGTGACTCACGACCCTCAATATCTTCTGAGGTGGTTATAAATACAGAAACCATGCAAGCAATGGCACACACACCAATAGACCCAAGTATATTCTTCGTTGATTTTTAAAAAAAAAAATGTAAGTCAGAGCTGTAAATGTGTCAGAAAGTTTAACCTGGTTTTATAAAATCAATCTGCTGAATCTGACGCTATTACTTTGTCTTTAATAGAATGTAATTACCCCAGGGGTCGCAATCCAATAGAACTAGTAACTATAATCTACTATAGTAACTACATACAGTGGTAGAATGTAATTATACGACAAACAAATTATACAAACAAATAGATTTTTGGAAATCACCAGGCGACCCCTTTTCATTGTCCCGCAACCCCTTGGGAGATCCCGACCCCCACTTTGAGAACCACTGAGCAACAGTATCTCATGATTTACCAATCAGATGAATCCAAAACACACATAAATAACCAGATTCCTTTACCTGAGTTATCTTCTGCTTGAAGAATCCCCCTATCCGCCTCAACTCCTCCACATTATTTCTAGCATAATTCAGGGTATGGCGGCATGTTGGCTTAGTGGTTAGCACTGTTTCCTCACAACAAGAACGTCGCTGGTTCTACTCCCGGCTTGGTCAGTTGGAGTTTCTGTGTAGAGTTTACATGTTCTCTCACATGGGTTTCCTCCGGGTGCTCCTGCTTCCCCCCCACAGCCCAAAGATTTGCAGTATAGGTGCATTGAATAAACAAAATTGGCTGTTGTATATTAGTTTAAGAGTGTTTAGATGTTACACAAGGAAGGCCATCTGCTGCATAAAACATATGCTGGAATAGTTGACGGTCCATTCCACTGTGGCAACCCCTGATAAACAAAGGAAAATGATTGAATTCAAGGGAGCTTTCTAAATCTACCTGAGCTCAAACTCCCCTCTTGCCCTATAAAACGGGAGGGAGCCTCAGGCTTGACGATCTTCCGAGCTCAGGGCTCTCTTCCAGGACAGCATGCCAAACACGCTTTATTTATCAATCATCAGCTAAGTGTGAACTCTTGAAATATGTCATATATACTTATTCAACAGTCTACACGTTTGTTCTATTATTACCTACATACACTTGTCACAATATACATATTAAACTACCAAATCGTACAGTTAAACAGACTGTCTCTTCGCAATTTTACAATTCCTCCTAAATTTTGTGTTGTAATATAAACTTGTTGTAATATTGTTATGGCCAATCAAAAGCTGCTGTGATGTGCATAATAATGAGTGTGTTTTTGTATGGCTTGTTTTTCCACTGGAATTTTACTCTCATGGGATTTACATGAGAACAAGGAAACAATGGTGCTTGAGACTCACGGTATACAATTTCCATGTACTAGGTAGCCACAGTTATGCCCAATGTTGTTAGAGGAGTGGTTGCTGAGGTGTTTTTGGTGATTTCTAGGGTGTTTACAACTATTTATTTATTTATTTTTTTTTTTTTTGTTATCGATGTGGTCATTGGTGTTATTAGGTAAATCTTTCTAAGCGTTTACTAGGGCACTATTTTTAGGTTACTAAGGCCTATCCCAATTCTATTTTTGTACCCCTATCTCTTCCCTTTTCCCTTGGCCAGTGATACAGAGTGTGAAGGGGAAAGGCTTCAGTATTTTATCCCTAAGAAATGGGACACCACTGCAACACCTGCACACGTCATCGCTATCTCTTGCTTCATATGAAATTAGACGATCACGACTGCTGTAGTTATTCAAGTTGCGTTATTTTTGGTATTCAGGAAATCACTGAAGGCAAATATTAAGTTATCACAACAATATAATGTGGCAACAAGACCGTAACTGTACTGTGCATTTACAACATGGACATTTTCATTTAAACAAATGAAAACAGCATTAACATTATACCAACCAGACACTGTAAAAAGCTCATTCCCAGGCATTAGACTTTTCTGACAGGGTATTTGAGTGTCATCAAGTTACAGAATGTTGTGGGATTGCTATACAATAGTTATTATTATGGATTATAGATAGAGATATTTAGCTTTTTTTTTTAAGCATGACGGCAAAACACAAAAGCGGTTATGAACATATTAAAACATATGCTTGTTTGTTGTAAAAATTTTGTAATAATAACAAAAAATACTAATTTGTGTATCTTCTTACTTCCGTGTGCAGCCATGCTGCTGTTGTAGATGGTGTATTCTGGGAAATTTTTGTACCCCTTGGTTTCGAGTGTGGTTCTGAAAAATCTCTGTTTCAAGGGGTATCTAGCTCTCAGCCTTAAGCCTCCAAGCTAAAGAAAATTGGGACACCCCTACCCCTTCATGTGAAGGTGCAAAACGAGGGGTAAGGGGAAGGGCAAAGGGGTAGAATTGGGATTGGGCCGAAGTAGTTTTTGATAGTTCAGCTTGTTTCTGAGTAGTTGCTAGGTGTTTTAGCAGGTTGCTAGGGCATTTTGATGTTATTGCTTCCTTTAAGGGTGTTGAGTGACTGCTTTTAGTAATTCTCACTAGTTGAGAGGTATTTAAATAAGTAGCTGATGTAGTGTTTTGGTTAGTTGCTAAGTCTTTTTGGGTGGTTGCTAAGTTGTTGACTGGTTAAGGTCATAAGAGCCTTTGCCTTAAACTTGAGTCTTCTCTTGCTTTGTTAGTCTATCAATTTATTCATTTTTATTTTATTTTATTTTACTTTTACTACAATTTGAAACCTTATATCAGACCTATGAGAAACCTGACTGGGTATTGTCATAAATCACAGGTGTCAAACTCAGTTCCAAAAGGGCCGCAGCTCTGCACAGTTTAGTTCCAACCCTAATTAAACACACCTGATCAAACTAATTGAGTCCTTCAGGCTTGTTTGAAACCTACAGGTAAGTGTGTTGGAGCAGGGTTGGAACTAAACTGTGCAGGGCTTCGGCCCTCCAGGAATCGAGTTTGACACCCCTGTCATAAATGATAGTATCATCACATGGTTATACTTAGGGTTGGTTTTAGAAAGTTTCCAACTATGTTTCTCATAACTAGATGTCTTACACACATCACTGCTGTGGTTTTCAGTGCAGCACTAAAAATGCCACAGATGAAGTTGTTAATATCAACAACACTTATCATAAAGTTAAATAATCAAAATGCGCTTGACAAGACAACACATCATTGTTTTGTTCCTGTGGTCTGATGGCTGACTAAAACAGTGTTCATTTTGTTAAACGAATGTCTCTCTGCATATTTTCATCATATGATCATATGGATTGTTTTAATATAAAGCTGAAGTCAAAATTATTAGGCCTCATATGATTTTCTTTAAAAATAGATCATTTAATTTTTCACAGTATTTCCTATAATATTTTTTTCTTCTGGAGAAAGTATTTGTTTTATTTTAGCTAGAATAAAAGCAGTTTTAATTAAAATGTTATTAATATTATTACCCCTCTTAAACATTATTTTTTTCAGATAGTCTACAGAAAAAAAACACTTATACAATGACTCTAGTTTGCCTAATTTAATTTAATTTCATTATCTTGTCGGCTTAGTCCCTTTATTAATCCAGGGTCGCCACAGCGGAATGAACCGCCAACTTGTCCAGCAAGTTTTTACACAGCGGATGCCCTTCCAGCCGCAACCCATCTCTGGGAAAAATCCACACACACATTCACACACACTCATACACTATGGACAATTTTGCCTACCCAATTCACCTGTACCGTATGTCTTTGGACTGTGGGGGAAACCGGAGCACCCAGAGGAAACCCACATGAAGACACAGAAATGCCAACTGAGCCAAGGTTCGAACCAGCGACCCAGCGACCTTCTTGCTGTGAGGCGACAGCACTACCTACTGCGCCACCGCCTCGCCCTAATTTGCCTAATTAACCTAATTAACTTAAGTCTTTAAATATCACTTTAAGCTGTATAGAAGTGTCTTAAAAATATCTAGTAAATATTATTTACTGTCATTAAGGCAAAGATAAAAGAAATCAGTTATTAGAAATTAGTTATTAAAACTATTAAGTTTAGAAACACGCTAAACAAATGTAACATTTTATAATAACTAAACACTATAAATCAATTATTAAGCATTATCAAATAATGAATTCCTCGTTTGTTAACTCTACATTAACAGACGTTAGTAAGCAGTTTATAATTGCAGATGCAAATGCTCTATTTTTGACTTAAAAGTGAATTTAAAATGTGCTTAATAATTGTACTTTCATACATGCTGATCAATTTTTCATGACTTAATTAAGTATCGCATTATTTACAAATATTTAAAAGTAGTTAGCAGTTTTTAAGATAATTTAGAATGAGTTAGTAAATGATTAATAAACTATTTAAATCAACATTTTATAACCTATTATTCAGGCATATACTAATAGTTGTTTGTTTCTGTTAATAAATGCATTAATAACTCGGCTTCGTCCAGTTTTGTGACCTAATCTAAAGTGAGGACTATTCATGCTTTATAAATCCCTAATAAATATTAATTAAAGGCTCAGTATCAAACGAGCAATAATCTTTGCAATCTTATCTAAAAAGTAAAATTACTGTAAAGTTTAAACATTGCCTAATAACAGGAGTGTCAAAATACAACATAAAACTGGATAAAATATCAATATAATAATATAACAATATGTTATGATTGTCACTGGATGTCAAGAGAGCGAAGAAAAGAGGTTGGATCCAAATGCAATTTTTTAATGAAAAAGATTATTCGTGCAGGCAAAAACAAGTGAGGTCAAAAAACACACTCAGGTATCATGAAAGGCATCGAAAAATGCAACAAAGCGATGATCAAAGTACTAAAAGTAACAAAACAATCAACAAAAAATAACTAGAAAAATTATAAACAGGAAGACACTGACAAACAAAGACTCCGCATTAACTGGTGTGTGCAATGTGTATAACTCAATGTCTGTATAAATAGTCTAAACAATTCATGATGATGGTATTCAGCTGTGTCTGATTAATAATGAATGGTGAACGGTTTGTGCAAAGGCATGCTGGGATATGTAGCTCCTGAAGGACGTGAGTGAGTGTATATGCCAGCGATCTTCCAGGAACAGATCGCTGGTAATGTGACAGTATGACAATGATACAACATTTCAATCCTGATGTTTAAACTGTGCAGTAATTTGATTTTAGATTAGATCGCAAAGATTTATTTTTCATTTGATATAGTTTCATTTGTGAAATGAATAAAGTCGTTTATGTTCTTTTTTTCCAGTTTAGAATATAATCTTAGGCTTTAATTTTCATTTATAAGGAGTTTATGAAGCATCAATAGTCCTCACTTTAGATTAGGTCACGAAACTGGATGAAGCTGACTTATTAAAGCATTTATTAACATATAAATTAACTATTAGTATGCCTGAATAATAAGATTTATAAATGTTAATTTGAATAGTTTATTAATCAATTACTTGCGCATTCTGAATATTCTTTTAAATCCAGAAACTTCTTTCAAACAACTGGATTGTAAATTATTCAATACTTAATTTTGTAATAAAAAAATAATAATTAACAAAGTATGAAAATACAATAATTAAGCACATAGTACATGTGCTTATAAGTCAAGAATAGAACGTTTGAATTTGCAGTTATAAAATGCTTACTAACATCTATTAATGTCGAGTTAATGCTTAAGAGATAATGAAGTAACTATTTGCTAATGCTTAACAAATGATTCATTCTAATTATTATGAAGTGTTACCAAAAAATCTTCTTTCCATTAAACAGAAAATGGGGGAAAATATGCAGGCGGGCTAATAATTCTGACTTCAACTGTACCTGGTGGTTGGTCGATAACTTTAATAGCATCAAGGATTCTCAAACTGTTTTTTTTTTACATGTGTTTCCAGCAGCAGGAAGTCCCGTCAGGAGGGTGGGATAAAGAGCAGAAGACCAGTGCAGAGGAGAATGACCTGCCCCAGTGCTCAGGAGATCAGCCGTGCTCTTCAGAGTCCACCGGCTCACGCTTCATTCCGCTCTGCCAGCCTGGATGAACTCATCCTCCGCTGCCTCCACTGCTTCGGTCAGTGTCTGTATCAGATCAATGCCATCCCAAACCCTACATGACAGCCATCCGCATGCATCTTTCAAGTCGTGTAAAAATATTGGACCCCCTAATAGTTAAAGGAGGACTTTTATATGATATGATCATTGCTCGTCGTAAGATGAAGTCACACATCTCCCACATTTCTTTTTCTTGGGGTTCTCAGCCCTGTCTCTGGCCTCATGTGCCCATCATTCCCAGTCTCTCTGTGCCAGGCAGATTATGTAAGTTTGCAGAGGAGTGTGAGGGACAGAGGGACAGGCGCTCTTGTCAAAGAGAGAGAGAGAGAGAGAAACGCAGATAAAGAGAAACAGAGGGAAATCTTTTGGCTTACTAGCATTCAGGGCCTGGGAATGTGTTTGTCCCTCTATGCTAATGAGACAAAGCCTGATTGTGCGCCTCAGTTTTGCAGGCTTGCCCTCTCTCTCTCTCTCTCTCTCTCTCTCTCTCTCTCTCTCTCTCTCTCTTCCACTCTCTCTTTTCATGTCCCTCCTCCTCTGATTTGTTACTATTTTTATATGTGATTTAATTCAGACATACTGTATGCTGTTGATCAATAATTCAATATATTAATAATGAACATGCACAATATTGATATCATGGGCGGTTTAAATTATTATTAATAATTATTGATTATTACAACTTTCAGAGTGCCTTTTCAAATTATTTTATTGGCAGTGTTGTTCATCACAGCACTGAATGCTTGAACATTTAACATGCAATTTATTTTTAAACAAACATTTTCTTGATATACTGGCATACAACCTATTTTACAATATTTTTAAATAAACTGAAAACATTTTGTGACTTTTTATAGGCTTTTTGTTCATTAACTCTATGCACCAGGAGTGTATTTGTTAACATTTATCTCAAATCAATGTAATGACAACTACAAAAGCATTTTTAGTCCTAGGTGATGTTAATTTTTAGTTAATGCACAATAATGTGTTAAAACCAAAAATAATCACAATTTTTTTTTGTTAAATTGACCTTTTTAATATTACAATATTGTTGCATTTTTTAATAACTTTAAAATATATATATGGCTGTTTCTCACTGTTGATTGTAGTGCATTAACTAAAGTTTACTAATGAGACTTATCTAATATACTAAGTAAAGATTTATTTATATACAGGTAGCACCTTTCCCAGACATTGAGTCACAAAGTGCTTTACAATAAGAGAAAACAACTAAAAGAACACTTGGCAATAAAAAAGACATTTTAAAACATATTAAAACTAATTAGAAATCCAAATACAGAAACACTAATACTGTTAATTTAAAGCTTGACCAAAATGGTGCATCTTTAAATGCTACTAAAAAGTTCAACTGATCCCAGAATTCTATCGGGAGTGCTATCGGGAGAGAGTTTTATATTATTATCTATTATAATGATACCTATTGTACTTTACTCTGAAAATGTTTCAAAAAAGCTATGCACTAATTATTATTATTTATTTATTTATTTATTACCTGCTGAAATTATCTGTTTTGAAGCTTAGGTCAATATTGTAATATCGTGATAATTGCTTCAGCGATAAATTGCAACAACAAAATCTACTGTATGATAATGTCCCCTATGTCTATAGCATATGCCCTTCCAAGTGCAACCCATTACTGTGAAACATCCATACACACCCATACACTACAGACAATTTAGTTTACCCAATTCACCTATAGAGCATGTCTTTGGAGTGTGAGCACCCAGAGCACCCGGAGGAAACCCACACCAACACGAGGAGAACATGCAAACTCCATACAGAAATGCCAACTGACCCAGTCGAGGCTCGAAACAGCGACCTTCTTGCTGTGAGGCGACAGTGTTACCCACCACTGTGAGGCCTGCATTTTAAATGTAATTGTTAAAACTAATTATCGTTAATTACATAGTTAAATGTAATAAGTAGTTTATTTTAGATTTACATTCACACTTTAGAAGTAAACATGTGCACATTGAAGTGTCTTGTCAGTGCAGTTCAACAAAATGAGCAGGATTGTATTGTCTTGTAATGTTAAAACTATATTGTATTTCATACTACATATCACATGCTTCATTTAAGAATTACAAAATTAATGGCCACAGTGTAATTCATCACATTGGTGTGCATTATTGTTTTAGAACTCTGTCCTTTTGGCACTTTTTCTTTTAAAGAAGCTTACATTGACAAGTACATTTACAAATGATTTTAGATTTAAATGTATTCTTAAAAATCAACATGATGGTTCTGTGAAGCAATTGAGTAAGCTGTTGAATAAGGTGTTTCCAAGTGTTGGATAGCGGCTGAAGGGGCATCCGCTGCGTAAAACATATGCAGGATAAGTTGACTGTTCATTCCGCTGTGGCGGCCCCTGATTAATTAAGGGACTAAGCCGAAAGGTAAATGAATTAATAAATGTATATGGAATGTTTTAATATTTATTTTTATTATTTAGACTTTTAGAACATTAAATAGAAAGGTCCTTTGAAGAACCAAAATGTTAGTTTTTCTGTCATCACTTAAAAAAATCCATTCTGTAACCTTTATTTTTTTTTTTAATTATAATGAAATATAGGTTAATTAAAAAGGATAAACTTTATAATTAATTGGTATATCCACATTTAAATTATATTTAACTCATTTCTTTTTATCCTGAGGAGACACTTGTTTTTTAGAGTTTAAAAAAAATTACAGAGAGTTTAATGATGAAAAACCGTGTAGAATTTTATAAAAACATAACTGGTACTATGTAGTGTCAAAACATTTAGTGTTTTTACCACAAAATGTTTCAGCATTACATAGTACCTGTTATCTTTTTTGATTATCTTTATAATTTATAATTTATAAGCTGCTATAATGAACTAAAATTTTAAATAATTAATAATATAAAATATATTAAATGTAATAGATTGTGATGGACCCTTTTCACTGTTATGACACGTTTAATGGTCATCATAATCTTAAATCCTTGAAAATTTGTCAACCCGGGCTCATTGTGGAAACATAGCCCCGCGGACGTTTCTGCGGACCGCGATTTACGTCCTGGGAGATACGTATTCGAGCGGTTTTTTGTTTTCGCGGATCCGCGAGAGGCCGCTGAAAAGAAAATAAATGAATGAATAAATAAATATAGATGACTAGCTTTTATACAGCATATAGCCAGTCATAAGATTAATTTAACTAGAAACTAAAGATTTAACCTAGAAAGCACCCAGTACAACTGCATAACTCATATAATTGTGTTGAATTGAATTCTAAACTTTCTCTTTTTTTTTTTTTTTTTTTTTGCAGACTCCGATGGGAAGCTAAACAGAGGGACGCAGCTTGTCAGCATGACCCTCATGATGCACAACTGGGTCGTACCATCACACATCTTCGCCCATAAGCTACTTTCTCTATATCCTTTATGCATCTGATCCCAGAGCAGCTGAGTCCATCATTCATTGAGCAGTCTTAGATTCAGTCACAGCAACACGCAGCCTCACATGGCTCTTAATCCCACTGACAAAGAAACAAGAGCTGCCCTGTTTTTGTTTAGCCTATTAATTGAGGCTGGATTATTTTCTCTTTTAGATTAAGAGAGTCTGTAGTCACACTGTTGTGTGCTTTCTCCTTGACTTGTGATCACATATAAGGATTGTCCTGCAGAGAAAAGGGGACAAAGGCGTCCACAAATCTGTCACTTTATCAGGTTGGTGGATCTGCAGCATCCACACGTGCACCTAAAGACTGCAGAATGAATGGAGGGATTCACGCCTGCCCTCTACTTCTTCTGTGTCTGTTTCAGGCAGTGGATTAGCCAGTTCAGACTGATGTTTGAGATGGACCCTCTGTTAGAAAAAGCCATGGGAGATCTCTGGGCTCTGGTCAGTGCTGAGGGAACCAATTCGCACCATCAGCTCATCAACACACCTTATATGTGAGTGATTTTACCGTTGAAATTCAAGTATTGGCATAGAAAAGCATTGGTAAAGGCAGCGTTCACACTGCAGCTGAATTCAATTCACTTTATGGAGTTTTTGTAGACACTAGGACTGCAAGATATTAGGAAAAAAACTGGCATTGCAATATTTAGATTTTCTGTGATGTATATTGAGATATTTATATAAATTAAAAAGATAAAGCACATTACGGGCATAAATAAATACAATAGATCAAACATACAAATTTAATAGGCAGTGCTTAATGGTTTCTTGATAGTGGTATTGTGGTAAAATAAAAATGTATTGGTAATGGAAAATTACACTGTATGCAGTTGAAACAAGAAGTTTACATACACTCTAAAAAAGGAACATAACCTTTTTTTTATGTCTGATGTTAAATCATACTAAACGTTTACTTTTTAAGGTCTGTTCGGATTATCTAAATGATTTACATTTGTTAAATGCCAGAATAATGAGAGAAAATGTTTTTGGAGAAGTTTTTATTAATTTCTAGACAGTGAAAAGTTTACATACATTTCCTTGGTATTTTTTTAGCTTTGCTTTTAAACTGTATAACAGTTTGGTCAAATGTTTTGGGCATCCTTCCACAAGCTTCTCACAATAGTTTGAAGAAATTTTGGCCCATTCCTCCTGACAGAATAGGTTTAACTGAGTCAGATTTGTTGGCTGTCTTGCTCGCACAAGCTTTTTCAACTCTGCCCACAAAATTTCTCTAGGATTGAGTTCAGGGCTTTGTGATGGCCACTCCAAAACATTCACTCTGTTGTCCTTAAAGCACATTTTAACTAATTTGGCAGTATGCTTAGGATCATGGTCTGTTTGAAAGACCCATTTGTGGCCAAGTTTTAATTTCCCTGGCGAATGTCTTGAGATGTTGCTTCAGTATTTCTACACAATGTTCTTTCTTCATGATGCCATCTATGTTGTGAAGTGGACCAGTCCCTCCTGTAGCAAAACAGCCCCACAACATGATGCTGCCACCCCCATACTTCACAGTTGGGATGGTGTCCCTAGGCTTTCTTCTTTGTCCTCCAAATGTAACACTGGTCATTATGGCCAAACAGTTCAATCTTAGTTCTATCAGACCACGGGACATGTCTCCAAAAATTATTCTTATTATTATTAGTTTTTTTGCAAATTGTAATCTTGTTTTTTTTGTTGTTGTTGTTGTTGTTGTTGTTGATTCTGGCTTGTTGATTTCCCCATATTGTCGCGCAAGGAAGCCATGTGTTGAACTTTTCCTTAAATACTATTCTACAGTTGTGCCTCCAATTGTTGTCAATTAGCCATTTAGAAACTTCCAAAACCTTGACACCTTAATCTGAGCTTTTTCAGAGACATAATACTCTTATTGTATGTAAACTTGACTTTCAAGAAAAGTTATAACAATTTCTCAAAAAATTCCTCTCATTATTCTGCTATTAAGCATAACAAAAGCAAATTTGATAATCCTAACTAACCTAAAAGAGAAAAAGTTAAGCCACATTAACATCAGGCTTTTGAAGTGTAAGAGCTTGCTTTTGAAGTGTTGATTTTTCTGTGTCTGTTTCAGGCAAGTATATTTATTATAAAGCTTAATAAACATGTTGCAAGCATAAATTGATACAATAGAACAAAGATACAAATTAAATAGACAGTGCTTAATGGTTTTCTGGATTTTGTTTGGGCTTCCAACGGTGACATTTATGTCACACTGAACTGAACTGAACTAAACTGAACTTCAACTCTGAAAACTGGACTGAAGCAGTTTTAATGTACCAGAACTTCTATGTTACGCTGCTTTGACACAATCTACATTGTAAAAGCGCTATAAAAATAAAGATTAAATAAATTAAATTATGGTTTTGTGGTAAAATAAACAATAACATTGTAATGTAATCAAACAATGGAAAATAACACTGTATAGTCATTATTGTAATAAAAAAAATACTATTAATATTTGTTAAAAGATTGAATAATTCTTTATTTAAGCTATAGATCTTTTTAATATTGTGGCCAAATGGTTTGAATTAGTTGAAATCTTAGTTGATCGCAGTTACATCCGTGGTCACCACAGTGGAATGAACCGCCAACTTATCCAGCACGTTTTCCGCAGCGGAAGCCCTTCCAGCTGCAACCCATCTCTGGGAAACATCCACACACTCATTCACATTCATACACTAGGACAATTTTAGCTTACCCAATTCACCTGTACCACATGTCTTTGGACTGTGGGGGAAACTGGATCCACAAGAACGCAGGGAGAACATGCAAACTCCACACAGAAACACCAACTGACCCAGCTGAGGCTCGAACCAGCGACCTTCTTGCTGTGAGGCGACAGCCCTACCAACTGCGCTACTTCTGTTATTCTTACCCAATTCACCTGTACCACATGTCTTTGGACTGTGAGGGAAACCGGACCCACAAGAACGTAGGGAGAACATGCAAACTCCACATAGAAACACCAACTGACCCAGCCGAGGCTCGAACCAGCGACCTTCTAGCTGTGAGGTGACAGCCCTACCAACTGCGCCACTGTGTTATTCTGCAAATACTTTAAAAAAATGACCATAATGTTCTTTACTTCAGACTTAACATCTATACAAAAAAAATTAAGAGACGATTTGAAAATGATCAGTTTTTATGTTTTGATTTATAGATTTGTGTTTGAGTAATTATATTATTTTTGTTTTATTGTTTAGACTACTGGTGACATTTCTTTCAAATCTAAAATACAAATGTTGTCATGTAGAGCATTTTGTTTGCATAAGATAAAAAAAAGAGTAGCATTACAAAAGCTTGAATTAGTTCATGTTAGTTAATGTATTTACTAACACAAACAATGAAGAATACATCTACTACACTATTTATGTACATGCCATTTAGGCATGTAGACATGGTCAAGACAGTCTGCTGCAGTTCAAACCGAGCATCAGAATGGGGAGGAAAGGTGAACGTGGCATTAACCACAGTTGTTGGTGCCAAACGGGCTGGTATAAGTATTTCAGAAACTGCTGATCTACTGGGATTTTCACTCACAATTATCTCTAGGGTTTACAGAGAATGGTCCGAAAAAAAAAAAATATCCAGTGAGCGGCAGTTCTGTGGCTATAGATGCCTTGTTGATGCCAGAGGTTAGAGGAGAATGGCCAGACTAGTTGAAGCTGATAGAAAGGCAACAGTAACTCAAATAACAACTTGTTACAACCGAGGTCTGAAGAAGAGCTTCACTGAACGCACAACACGTCCAACCTTGATGCAGATGGGCTACAGCAGCAGAAGACCACACCGGTTGCCTCTACTGTGAGGTAAAAACAGGAAACTGAGGCTACAATTCGCACAGGCTCACCAAAATTGGCCATGCCGTGAAGCACAAATCATCTCAGACTGGTTTCTTGAACATGACAATGAGTTCACTGTACTGTTAAATGGCCTCCACAGTCACCAGATCTCAATCTAATAGCACCTTTAGGATGTAGTGGAATGGAAGATTCGCATCATGGATGTGCAGCCGACAAATCTACAGACAACACAATACCAACTTTTTAAGTTTTTACAATGTTTAAGAGGTGATAACAAATTAATATTTGATTGCAGTAGCTCTTATTTTTAATCGCAACAAATAAAAGTGTGTGATATTCTAATCAACTGTCAGAAAAAAGGGAAAAAAATGCTCTATATAACAATTTTTGGACTTTGGAATTAAATTTGGAAGAAATTATATTGGAACTTTATAGAATTTAATAAATATTAACATTTTCTCAAACACATTTTTTCTGCACAGAGTTTTGTAAAAAATCTGCTGATTTATGCGGAGTGATATTGTATCATGACTAAAAACATAATATATGAAGATAACTTTTTTTAACTTTAATTTAATGTTTACCATGCAAATTCAATTACATCCAATTGTTTAATAAACAAAGCAAGTTTCTTATATAAAAAATCAACTAAAAGACAGAAAATATTATAAAACATTATTGTAATAAAATCATGTAAACATTGTCATATTAGTCAAATATATTACTTAAATTAATTTAAAAACTGAATAAATATAAATGTACACACATTTACACAAGTAAATAAGTAAAAAAATCTAAAACTCTGTAGAAAATCTGCAGAACTTCTCAGTAAATCTTGGCTTTTTAAAGTGGCCTCATAATAATTTGCTTAATTCTTGAAAAAAGTAAATATACAAAAATACAATATTTCTTTTTTAAATACACACATATAACATGAAGAGTTCAGAAGCAAAACCTCTAAGCGCAATCTGAAATTTACTTCTAAAATCAGCATTTTTCCTAGTTTCTAAATTGATGTTTAGATATTTTACTTTAAGGGCAATGAAATAAAACTTGCCATCACCATAAAAGTGAAACTACTAAACCTACACACACTGAGAAAAAAACAATGCTCATTTTAGAAGAAATTTTTAAATGGTGCTCAGAGTTTTTTTTTCTTTTTCTTTTTTTTGCATTTGAACGATTCATGTGATATTTGCATATTTTAAATACATTTTTTATTACTCTATATTTACTTTTTGACACTTCATACATGTAGATATACTTATACAGGGGTGCGTTTCCCAAAACCATTGTTAGCCAACTAAGGTCGCAAGTTCCATCATTAAAAACATAGTTTGTTGATTTGTAGTTTCCCAAATCCGTTGCTCCGACAAGCTTTCACAAACTGCAACGCAAACTTGAGCACTCACAACCACCTCTCCGGAGCTGTAGTTTGAAACATAGCTCATCCCTGTGTTCTATTCCCACTTATCCCCCCTATGCTTTATTCATTTAGAACATTCTAACATTCAAAGTTGGAATTATTAAAAATAAAAAAGCATTAAAGTCGTCTCTCTTAGGTGTAATTTGCTTTCAAACTATTTTTACAGTTAAGTTTTAGCGATCTTCATGTTTACAATTGTGCTTCCTTCGCAGTGCACTTTGAAAACATTGATGTTATTTTGAACACAGCCTCATGGCGAAAGCTATAGGTGACCTATCATTTAAAAGCAGAATTTATGTTACGTCTTCAAAGCTTGTGAAAACAAAAAGCATATGTAAAATTGTTTAATTTATAGTAGGTTATTTAGTGAAGTTTATGTATAAACTAATTTCAAGAGGATCACATGCTTATGATTGCTAGCGGCTCGATGCGCATTATCAAATCCACTATGCTCCAATCATATGACTCCTAAACTACTATAAATGCCCTGGGTTTCATTCCACTGCTATCTTCGTTTTGAAGAGTCCCCCTTCCACCCCTACTCCTCCTTCTTCCTAGATGGCTGACACGGTGGCCCAGTGCGTAGCACTGTTGCCTCACAGCAAGAATGTCTCTGGTTCCAGGCTTTACCAAACCAGCAGACATTTCTGTGTGGAGTTTGCACTTTCTCCCCGTGCTTACGTGGGTTTCCCCCAGGTTCCTCGGTTTCCTTCCACCATCCATAAACATGCAAATTAAGTTAATTGACTAATCCAAATCGGCACCTTAGACATGCTATAGTATGTAGTTATCTCCAAGAGCAATCACTTACCGTTCATTGGTTACTACAGCAGGGGAGTTCTCGAGATACCTGAGCTCAAACTCCCCTCCCACCTTGCAACGGGAGGGAACTCTGGGCTCGAGGATCTCATGAGCTCAGGGCTCTCTTCCGGGACAGCATGCCAAACAAGCTTTTATAATCAATCATCAGCTAAGTGTGAACTCTTGAATTAGGTATCTGTATTTGACATGGGCCTGCTGATTAGAACTTTCTGCAGTGGTTTACAAGTGAAAAATTTTAAAAGTAGATTTTTATAAAAAATATAAATAAATAAACAATCATTATCATCATCATTAATATTAATAATATTATTGGTAAATTATGATTTTTTCTAACACATAATAAATATTACATTTCATTTTATAATAAATAGTCTCATTTATTTATTTATATGATTTATATATGATATTGGAGTACATGTTATTGTAAGTGATTTAATGTTTTAGAATAGGATCTGTCATATTCAAAATAATATTTGTAAAGGAAACGTAGGCGGGTGCATGTTTTTACCAAATCTAATATTGGATTTTATTGTAAATGCGTGCTCATGTAAAACAATCTAGTTTGCACAAAGAAATGATGGGTTCTTCTCTAAAGAAATAGTTACTCCGCCCTGTTTAGAGCATCATTATGGGCGTTTAAGTTATTACCAAGATGATTCAAGCGATGGATCTGCGACAGAAAAACTAGGGGTTTTGGGAAACACTTGTCACTACATCGTTCTTTTCCCAAACGATGCATTGTACTATGATAGTTTAGCCACAAGTTACGTCGTTGTTTGGGAAACGCACTCCAGTATAGTCAAATCATTTCATTTTTTTTTTTTTTTGCTCTGAAAAGTGTATGTCTTGTCTCGAGTCTTCTCTGATGTGTTCTGATCTGTTTGGTTTCTCTCTCTTCATCACTATATGTGAATCCAGTAATCCTCCAGTGAATATTTCCCAGACTCCCTCTCCCCTGGTCAAGAAACGAAAAGTTTCTCTGCTGTTTGACCACATGGAGCCGGATGAAATGGCTGAACACCTCAGCTATCTAGAGTTCAAAAACTTCTGCAACGTCTCAGTAAGTCACTCTCCCCGGATGACAGCTTCACTCACATTATCTGAACAGATGTTCTGAAGCGAGTGTAAAATTGATCTGACGGGTGAATACCGCTGACTAATAAAACTACTATGATCACACCCATTACACTCATACCTGTACGTGCCCATTCATATCAGGGAATCGTTGCGTCTCGCCGATCGTGTTAGGTGACTGGCTGGTACATCTGTTGATTATGTTTATTTCTGTGTGTCACGTTAGTTCCTGGATTACCGCAGTTATGTGGTTCATGGCTCAGTCCGGGACAATCCTGCTCTGGAGCGATCAGTCATGCTGTGTAATGGAGTCTCGCAGTGGGTGCAGCTTATGATCCTCAACAGACACACGTCACAGCAGAGAGCAGAGGTCTTCACCAAGTTCATTCATGTAGCACAGGTATTCATATAGACACACACAAACACACATACAGTGGAAGTCGATATTATTAACCCTCCTGTCATCTTTTATCTTTTTCAAATATTTATGATAAATGATGTTTATCAGAGCAAGGAATTTTTTAATAGAATTTCCTATAGTATTTTTTTCTTTTGGAGAAAGTATGTTTTTTTTTCAAACAAAATTTGTTTGTTTGTTTGTTTTGTTTTTCAGCTAGAATAAAAGCATTTTTTTATATATTTTTTTTATTTTTAAACAACTGTCTACAGAAAAAAAAGCTCTCGGGTAAAAAATGTTCCCTACAAACATACTTTTGTTGCGTGTTAGCAGACCACTGTAATCCACATATGTGGGTCCATACGTGAGCTGTGCTCTCATCATGGGGAAACGGAAACAAAACCTTGTTAAGGACATTTATAAACGCGAAACTGATGACCCATGTTTCTGAGTAATTCTTCTTCCACTTGTTTTGATTATGGTTGGCAACAAAACTTGGCATCTCTCTGCCGTCTGAAGTCTGTAACAGGTAAAAAAAAAAAAAGTCTTTGAAGCTATATCATGCATATTAATAAAGTTGCATCTCATTCACAATAGAGTACGCTGATTGGTTCCAACCAAGGCTTTCTCAGTAATTAATAAACAGATGTGCTGAAAACTCAATGACATAACATTGTACCGGTCGATACATACTGCCATGCTGAAATTTACACAATGACCTCATCGCCATGACGTCCCTTCAAAATTTCTTTTTAAAACGGAAGAACGAAGTTGCTCGAAAAAACGCAAAAACAACCACCTCACATTGACCATGCTTACTGACCAGACTGGAGCCCTGGCTTCAATTATCTCAGAGCTAAAGGTTCTCTCCCGGGACAGCATGCCAAACCTGCTATCATTATCAAGCAATATCTAAGTGTGAACTCTTGAACTACTGAAATTTATGTGTACTAATAGTGTTTTAGCTTCGTGGGACGTATATATGACTGTCAACATCACAAAAAAATGCGTTTTGGTCTTTCGTGATCCTTTAAATTAAAGTTTCTAAAAATTTTGGTATACAGCAAAGCCAAATTCTGACTTACACTTTTTGTACAAAGGAAAATAAAAGCAGAGATTGTTTTCTCCACAATGATGCCTCTTGTTCATAATCTTGGTATCTTTGGTATCAAATTTCTGGCTTGGCTGGGTATCTATATACAATTGATATCAGAATTATTAGCCCCCCTTCTATTTTTTTTTTTCTTTTTTAAATATTTCCCAAACGATGTTTGACAGAGCAAGGAAATTTTCACTGCGTGTCTGATAATATTTTTTCTTCTGGAGAAAGACTTATTTGTTTTATTTCGGCGGAATAAAAGCAGTTTAAAAAAAATTAAAAATTCAGGTCAAAATTATTAGCCCGTTATGTCTACAGAACAAACTATCGTTATACAATGACTTGCCTAATTACCCTAACCTGCCTAGTTAACTTAATTAACGTAGATAAGCCTTTAAATGTCACTTTAAGCTGTACAGAAGTGTCTTGAAAAATATCTAGTCAAATTTTATTTACTGTCATCATGGCAAAGATAAAATAAATCAATTGTTAGAAATGAACTATTAAAACTATCATGTTTAGAAATGTGTTGGAAAAATTTTCTCCCCGTTAAACAGAAATTGGTGAAAAAATACACAGGGGGGCTAATAATTCTGACTTCAACTGTATATTTTATATTTATATATTTTATTATTATTATTATTATTATTATTATTATTATTATTATTATTATTATTATTATTATTTTTGTCTATTTGGTTTGGATCTTTTGATGAACAATTGGTTTGAAATGGATAAGAATTAGTTGCATAAAAACTTTAAAAACCAATTTGTCAACAAAAAATAATTGAGGAGTCACTGTTCTGTTGTGGATGTTAAAATGAAAGGATAGTACATGTTGAAATATGTATGTAAATCAGTAATACTGCTGTAATTTTCCATAAAGACACTGACGTAGAATGTGCTGTATGCCTGCATGACAAAACATGTGGTTAAACTCCAAACCCTGTCGCCATTCGTTTTTCAGGTTGTCGGTGATATCTGTCCTAGAGCCATCTTACTCATTTTTAAAAACCATTTTACGACATGACGTTTGAGGTATGACACGTTTTAAAATCATGACAATTCATCAAACCATGTCAATATACGACAGCTCACTTTGAAGATGCCCAATCGTTTCATGTGTTGAAACGTTGAGAGGAAATGATTGCGTAATGTGTGCTTCATGTGCTGTCCTGCATTGAACCACGAAAACAAAAATGTACTGAGACAACATGTAATGAGACAACCTGAAGAAAACACCAAGGAAAAAAGCAAATGCGTCAATTAAGTTGTAGTGGGGAAGTCTGATATAAGTGATCTTATTTGAGAGTAATCTTCCTGTATTAGGAAATGATCTGGGAGAGCTGTTGCATAACTGTTTCTTTCAAGTGCTTTTTACAGGAAAGAGGATGTAAGTGGCTTGCAAGTTACCATGTATATAAAGACCATATTAGTAAAATACCTTGTGTTATCTTGTCTTTTTATTTATTTTTTTTTTGAGCAGAAGTTGAGATCCCTGCAGAATTTCAATACTTTGATGGCGGTGATTGGAGGTTTATGCCACAGCTCCATCTCACGTCTTAAAGATACTGCCAGCCTGCTGTCCTCTGATGTTACAAAGGTCAGTCTGACTCTCAGAATTACTGCCCACATCCTCTTTGAGCAACTGTTTGTGACCCCGGATCACAAAACCAGTCATGTGTCAACTTTAGGAAATTGAGATGTGTATTTCATCTGAACGCTGAATAAATAGCTTTCCAATGATGTTAGATTTTCTTGTGATAGGACAGCCTGATCTCACGAGGAAACGTAAGTATTTTACGTTTTGTCAGTATAGTGGCTAATTCGTACGAATTCGTTCGAGTTTAGTTGTATGAAAATGTACGATTTTAAGAAGGAGGCGTGGCACCTAACCCCACCCCTAACCCCAACTGTCATTGGGTGATGAGCAAATCGTACTAAATTGTACGAATTAAGGCCCTTGCACACTGAGACGTTTTTTGCTTGCGTTTTCCGTTGACGTTTAATGCCTTGTGACTAATCTAAGGGCATCAATGTGATCGTGCACACCAACGTGCAAAACGCCAGGCACAAAAGTGTCATTTTAAAGAAATGCCTCATGCTCGTTTCTTTGTTTTGACGCGCCACGTCAAAACCTTTTCCACCAATCAGATCGGCACTTTTGTTCATGTGCACGGAGCTGCTGAAAATACAGTAAACAGCACTTGGAGGGTGGGAGGGTGTGGGAGTGTCTATTTGGGCGCGCGCGAGTTTCAGAGTCAAAATACACACACAGAAGAAAGTGATGGTGGTTAACCTACATGGACATCTGTAGTCGAATTATTTGCCAAATTATCAAATGGTGGACTTTAACTGCAGTTTGGCTCTTTGATTCAGGGAATTCATTCTTGCAACTCGCGACAAACAAGATATTTGATTCGAGGATCTGCTCTAAGCGTGTATTTTTCATGCAATGTTTGATACCCCACGGCGAATGAGAGAAAAAACCCTCCGCATTTCCCGGAAACTTAGATGCACACGGCAGGTAGCATCAGAAAGCCGCGTGTGTTATTCCGGTCACAAAATGCAGTAAAAACCCTACACGAGGTTAAAGTTTGGTTGTGGTGCTAACATGTTTACACTCGGTGCAATGGTTAACTTAGTTCGATACGAACAAACTGAATAAACAAAGAGCAATGGTCGCTCACTTACCAAATCTGTAGAGACAGGACAATCCACAGCAACTAGAGCCGCGTCTTTTTTAAGAGAAGACTACAAGCGAATCCGGATCTCAGCGTTTGCAGATGAGAGCAGCTCTCAGGTAAACAATGTTCCTCCTTAGACACGTAAGTTATTGTTGTCGAGCGTCGCGTACACTGTTAATCCACACGTAAGTCCAGATGAGCTCTCACAGAGAGAAAATGAAAACAAAACTTAACGGCTGCAAACTATAAAAGCAACACTTCACGCTTGTTTTGCCAACACAACGTGGTGTCTCTGTCGTGTAAACACGGTGACACTAATGAATATTAATGAAGTTGCACAATACAGCGCGCTGATTGGTTTGAACCAAGCCTTACTCATGCATTAATGCATCACACTGTAAGACGTAATAAGACTCACTCTGGCACAGACGCCCAGTCTGCACGCTGGAATACAACGCTATTATGTCATGACCGTGACGCAGCTTCAAAAATTCGTTTCAAACCGGAAGTACGAATTTGCTTGAAATAACGCAAAAACAACCAATTTAAACTTTTTAGTGAAATATAGGTGTCCTAATAGTGTTTTTAGCAGTGTGGGACACATATACGACTGTCAACAGCTCAAAAAATGTGTTTTGGTGTTTCGTGACCCTTTAACAAGCGTGTGAACTTCCTCACCTCCTCTTATTCTGTGTTATAAGTGGGTGTCAGAAGCTTAAAGCTGTGTAGCGCCATCTAACGTCAAGGAGTGATTTTGCATACTCTTCTGCTTGACGGCAGTGAAAATCTCTTGGGTTTGAATAAGGAAAAACGTCTCATAAAACGCTGTCGATAAATGCAAACGAAAAGCGTCCCGGTGTGTAGGAGCCTTTAGATCATATGAATTCACACAAATTAGCCACTAAATCAAAAAGTAACGAATTGCCGTGAGATTGCGTTGGATAGGATGATTTTTGACTGTTTTTAAGTGTGGAATCTGCGGGTTAAAAAAGATCTCAATGCTAACTAGAGACGTGGACAATATTGTTGGTACCCTTCCATTTAAGACACATTTTACATTTCTCTATGTAATTTTCTTCACGTAAATAAATCAAAACATAATTTACAATATTGTTGGTACACTTCCATCGAAGAAAGAAAAACTACAGTGGTCACTGAAATAATTTAATATTAATCATTAATCAGTAAGTATTGCAAAAAAACTAATGAAAAAACTAATATTGCTTTCGAATTTTAACTCAACAGAAGTATAAAAAAAGACAAAGTAATAAAACTGGCCAATTTTGTCCACATCTGTACTGTAAATTGTCAAAACGTTGTTCAGATCGAGTTCATCTTAATAGACTTAAACAATTATTCATTCATTCATTCATTTTCAGCTTAGTCCCTTTATTAATCAGGGGTCACAAACATTTGTTTTGCGCAGCAGGTGCCCTTCCAGCCACAACCCATCACTGGGAAACACCCACACAATCCTGCATTCACACAAATACACTATGGCTAATTTAGCTTATTCAATTTAATTTAGCTTACTACCACGCAGACACAGGGAGAACATGCAAACTCCACATAGAAATGCCAGCCAACCCAGCCGGGGCTTGAACCAGCAACCTTCTTTCTGTGAGGCGATAGTGCTACCCACTGCGTCACCATGACACCCAAAGAGACAATTATGTTTTGATATATTTACGTAAAGAAATTTACAATATGTCTGCGCGGAATGATCTTTCCCTAATTTTGAGCTATTCCCACAAAATATAAATGTGCAAAATAGGACTGTGGGGAAGCACGGTGGTGCAGTGGGTAGCACAATCTCAAAGCAAGAATGTCGCTGGTTTGAGCCTCAGCTGGGTCAATTGACATCTTTTTTGGAGTTCGCATGTTCTCCCTGTGTTCACTTGGGTTTCCTCCGTGTGCTCCGGTTTCCCTTACAAGTCCAAAGACATGCAGTACAGATAAATAGGCTAAGCTAAATTGTCTAGTGTATGTGTGTGAATGGGTGTGCATGGATGTTTCCCAGTGATGGGTTGCAGCTAAAAGGGCGTCTGCTGAGTAAAATATATTCTAGATAAATTGGCGGTTCATTCCACTGTGGCGACTCTGTATTAATAAAGGGACTAAGCTGAAAAGAAAATGAATGAATGAATGAATGAGTAAGACTGGTTTTGTGTTTCACAGGGTCTCATTTTTAGCATGACTTAAACCCAATAACTAATAAACTTGCACTGTGACTGCCTAGTTGACCAGTTGTGCATTGGTTATCATTAAGAAAAAACAAAAATCATTCCTTAAAATAGTGTCAGGAACACAGTTTAAACAAAGAAATGTGTCCTTTTTTTCCCTGGAGTGCATGTTAAAGGGTTAAAGTGGCCTTATGGTTATTTCAGATACCCTTGTTGCGTAAGTGTAAAACACTAAATGTGATTCAGTGCATTGATGTACTCAAAATTTTTTAAACCTTTATTTTTCATTTGTAAAGATATTTACATAATGCTGTACATCCTGCACGTTTTAAGCAAAGTTTAAGCAAGGCGCACAACTGACACGCTCTGCGCTGGACTTTAGAACTGCTCTCAGCTGGGGCCTCATGTATCAATGTTGCGTACGCACAAAAACTTTGCGCACGCCAGGTTTCACGCTCAGAATCCCTCACATTTGGATTTACTAATGATGAAATGAACGTGGGAATGTGCGCAGCTCCACGCCAGCTTCGTGGCTGGCATACGGCATTTTTGTGCGTGTCTGTTTTATTTCCATTGGCGACTCCTAGAGGCAGTTGTGTTAAATTGCACACTACAAAGTGTCTTTGAGCCGTGCAATGGCAGCTGTATGAGACAGGTTCATCTAGCACAGGGGTGCTCAACCCTGTTCCTGGAGATCTACCTTCATGCAGATTTCAGTTGCTACCCATTTCAAACACACCTGCCTGTAATTATCAAGTGCTGTTCAGGTCCTAATTAATTGGTTCAGGTGTGTTTGATCAGGGTGAGAGCTGTGTTTTGCAGGAAGGTAGATCTCCAGGAACAGGATTGAGCAGCCCTGATCTAGCAGGTATATAAGGTTTCCATACCATACAGTTGACCAGACAAACTTTAAAGCGCAATTTGCAGCGGTCGCCGGTTTGTTCAATGTAATGGGAGCGATCTACTGCACGCACATTGCTATAAAGATACCATCTGAAGATGAATTTGCATGTGTGATTTAGAAAAACATTTCCATTCAATAAATGTGCAAATAAAATATGATGCATAGACTTATTAATGATTCCTACTTGTCTTTCTCGTGATAAATAGTAGGCAAAATCTGATATGTAGCGGAGAAAAAAAAAAAGAGTTTATCAGACGCTGAGTTCATGCTCGAACATGTCAAAGCAGGTGGAAATTCACTTTACGAGTCGCGACACTGAGACTGTTAAGGGTACTACAACATTTTACACCTATAGATTTCACTATTTCTTTTTTAAATCCACAGTGCGATGTTCAGACCCAACTGTGTTAACCGCATCAGCTAAACTCTCCCCACTCTATTTTTTCTTTTGTTGTTAATTCCGGAGGACAAACTTACAAATAACACCGTTTTTCTCCGGTCTACCTCCGAAAGCAGCACCTCCAAATTACATTCTGTTGAAAGTTTCTCTTTTTGCTTGCTTTTGCCTTTGCTTTTTCGTTTGGTTTTGCCAAAGTAGAGTCATTAGCTTATTCATACGGGGGGAGGAGGCAGGGATGGGTTTTGCGCTCGTGCATGTTGCGCTCAGTTTCACGTTCATTCGGGTGTACAAAGAATATGCGTGGGATTCAGCGTGCGCAGTGTTTCATACATCTGAATTTTTTTATGCATACGCATATTTACAGCTTTGTGCTTACGCAATGTTTTAGTATGATTTCCACGCAAGTCTTCGTACATGAGGCCCCTGGTCTTTTGAGCAGTCAATTTTAGCTGCTATCCAAAAATGCGCCCTAACACAACTCTTTTCTAAACCAGAACACCCATGAGTCCACAAAATGGCACAAATGGATTTGCTATTTAAACAATGTGGCAGAAAACGGAAAAATCAAAGTTGCATTGATCTGAAAATAGCAACAAATTTTGCGCCTTATTGTGCCGGGTGTATGATAGGGCCCAGAATGCCCAAGCCTACTGCCCGAGAGACATTTTAAAGATGGCCACAGAGTGAACGGACTTACCTTTAAGGGACTTCGATATAGCCTAAAAGTTCAATACACTCATATTATGTACTTCAACAGATGCCTATGCGTACACATTAATTACGGTAAATCAGCAAAATAAATAAAATCAGTTTTAGTTAAAAAATAGGTGATCTTTGAAAAATGCCTGTTGAAATGGCACTTTGGAGGTTACCACATTAGATAAACCAATTATTATCCCTAAAAACACTGAAAATCTAATGTAATTGAATTAAAGTAACTATATAAAGTTGATTTACTGAGGCTTGTATATGTATTACGCAAACTACTGAACAAAAGCTGACCCCTTATAGTCAATGTATTCGCATACTGCTTTTTATGAACGTGTAAAAATGTGTTCTTAATAACAAAATATACACAATACAAACATAGTTAAGAAAGTGTTTGTATCCTTTTCAGCAAAAATACATCGATAGGATTTCACGGACAAATCGAAAGTCACGGAATGCCTTGTTTTATGTTTCGTTACAAGCTGTGTACACATTAACAATATGAAAGTGATGAAAACATTTTTAAATATTACTTTAAAGGGATAGTTCACCCAAAAGTCAACATTTCCTCATCATCTACTCACACTCAAGGGGTTCTAAACTTTTATGAGTTTCTTTGTGTTTTGTTGAACAAAAAACAAAAATTCTGAAGAAAATGCTATTGACGTCCATAGTAGGAACAAAAAATTAAATGGAATTCAGTAGCTTCTTTCCAACACTCTTTAATATTCTTTCCTTTCATGTTCGGACCAAGTGGGGGTGAGTAAATCATGACAGAAATTTCATTTTTGGGTAAACTTTCCGTTTAAGATTGTGATTAAAGTAAGAATTCACATATAAATTAATCTGAACTCACCATTGAGTTGTTCCAACCTTAGCAATTTTTCTGTTTTCTGTTGAACACAAAAGATATTTTGAACACCACTGGTAACCAAAATTCTGATAATCTCTATTAAAAAATACAAGGGAAATCAATAGGGACCAACAAAGATTTGTTCTTCAAAATATCTTCTCTTATGTTAATCAGAAGAAAGAAAGTCTGCAGGATTATAACAAGCGGAGGGTAAGCAAATGACAGAAATTTCATTCTTGTGTTAAGATCTCTTTATTCCAGGGGTCACCAAACTAGGGACACCGGCCCTCCAGGACTGAGATCGATTACCCCTGCTTTATTCTATAGAGCTTTTAGCAAATGATCTATAATAATCCTTACATTGATTCAACGATGTACCGTGTTAGCTCAGAGGTCATGGATTGTGAAAAATAATGTACAACACACTCCTATTAATTTAAAAAACCCTCATATTTATACCAAAGCTACTTAGTGCTGTGTACATTATCCACATACAGCAACCAGAACTCAATCGCCTTCAGAGACTGTTTAGATTTTTTTGGGCCTGCGGGTTCATTGTGGGCATGTTCATACTGAAGGATTCAGGCTCCTTACATAAATGTTTTAGTTGCTGTCCTATTCAAAAAAGAGAACTGAAAAAACAATCCTGCTGTTTTGCCTTTGAGCAAGACACAGCACATGCTGCTTCAGGTTGAAATGTTTCTGAGATGTGAACTATAAATCACTGTACAAAAACAGAACAGAAAGGTGAATGCAATTTAGCAAAGAAAGAAAGAAAGAAAGAAAGAAAGAAAGAAAGAAAGAAAGAGAGAAAGAAAGAAAGAAAGAAAGAAAGAAAGAAAGAAAGAAAGAAAGAAAGAAAGAAAGAAAGAAAGAAAGAAAGAAAGAAAGAAAGAAAGAAAGAAAGAAAGAAAGAAAGAAAGAAAGAAAGAAAGAAAGAAAGAAATAGATTTGACTTAATTACAACTGACATGTTAAAAATGTATTATACCTTTTTAGTGATGGGGTTATGTGTTTAAATTGTCATAACCAAGATTAAGAAATGATGTAATGGTATAATAAATATAAAATATATATAATATAAAATTATTACATTTATTTATTTTTAATAATGTCACCAAGTTTTACAATTTATCGGTCCTGAGCTGTGGAAGAAACTTAAAACACAAGCTGTTTTGGAATCTTGTTTATGAAGTACAGTAGGTGCTAATCCTTGAAAATAAAATACAGATCATTACAACAACAACATATATTCAAATGACATTGACTACATGGATTACTGTTGGTAAGATGAAATAACCTACAGAAAAAAAAACTGAAAAAAATATATTTATGAACATCGAACAGGTTTTTTTTTCCATTTATTTACGCTTTTGCATTTCTCTATGATCCTAATATTGCTTCATTAATGTTGAAAATGTAACTCTGCAGTTCAACGAAATTAATTGTATTTACAATTTTAGATGTTTGAACTAAATATTAGGCTATAAACCTCTAAATAAAACTTCTGTAAAAAACAAAACAAAAAAAATAAACACTGCCATTGTGTTATCATGCTTTTGTATCGCAATCTGCATGATTAAAAAAGGTGATATATTGTTTGAAATTACTGAAAACGTCAAAAAAGTCACTTTTCACCATTAAATTAGAAATTCAGCTCTGGTAATCCAATTCTAAAGCATAAATAAATGCAAAATAGCCACAAAATACAATAAAATATTTAAGCGGTAGTTCACCCAAAACTGAAAAATATTTCATCCTATGTATTGGGTTTCTTTCATCTGTTGATGACAAAAAAAGATATTTTGAAGAATGTGGTAGCCAGTACCCATTCCTTAATATATATAAATATTTTCCTACTATTGCATGTTCTTCAGAATCTTTTTTTTTTTTTTTTTTTTGTCATCAACAAAAAGAAACTCTAAAAGATTTGAACACACACTAGGGAAATTAAATTAGTAAAGCTATCCCTTAAATCAGGGGGGTCCAAACTCGGTCCTAAAGGGCCGGTGTCCTGGAGAATTTAACGACAACCTTAATCACATGTGAACCAGCTAATTACGTTCACACCTAACCTTTCTGACAGGTGTGTTAAAGCAAGTTGAAGCTAAACTCAGCAGGACACCGGCCCTCTTGGACAGAGTTTTGACACCCTTGCCTTAAATTAAAGTATTTTTTTTTAATTGATGAATGAAAAAAGAAGCATCTTTTTATTGCTTTCAAATCACTCACAACCTCTAATAAAGTCATTCTTGATTTAGTTTTATTATAGATAATAATATTGTGTCATTTCCATTTTGCCTTTAAATCCTTTGTTTGTTTTTGATTTACTTTCATGCATGTTCCATTAGATTTTCCAACTCATACTACTTTAACTGCAGGTTAAGCAAAGGTTATTCAGACACCTTCTCACATCATCACAGTGTTTTCTTTTTTAGTTCAGAAAATTACAATCAAATATTACAAGAATTCAGTTCTTTTTGGTTCAACTGTGATGGAACAAATCCATCCTGATAATACTAGATAATGTTGATAGAAATGTACAGAATGTGTTAAATTATAATCAACCAAACGAATTCATATGTTGGTATGACAATATTTGCACAACACTTTGTGGTTGGTTCATGGTTATCCTCAAAGACAGCCTGTAGGCTCTGCTGTCTCCCAAACTTATAAACTCTGAACGTCAATATTTTTTCCAGACTCTGTGCAGCAGCTTGTTTGACTTCCTGTTGCTTTTTAATCCATTATATGAAAAATCTGTAGGTAAATGTCAGTTTATTACGTGAAAAATATCAATTTGATGTCAACTAAATTGTTGGTTCGACTGTAGATTTCAGCTTCACAATACTCAGAATACAATTACAGAGTGTAGTGGCTGTTTGTTTAAGTAAATAAAAACTTTCAGAAATAAAGCTGTCAGTGGGTCAGTACTTTTTAAAAGGTACATCCTTGTACTTATTTGTACTTAAAGAGTACAAAAGTGTAGCTTTTGTAAAGGTACTGCTACAGAGACAATTTTTGTGCCTTTATTTATGTGTAGAGTGTAGTGTGAATTTAAGGGGGTAGTTCACCCAAAAATGAAATTCTGCCATTATTTACTCATTTTCTGCTTGTTACAAACCAGTTTGAGTTGTCCTTCTGTTAAACACAAAAGAAGATATACTGAAGAATGTTGGGGAAAAAACAGGTATTTTTGTTCCTTTCTACTACAGATGTTTGTTTTCTTAACATTCTTTAAAGTATTTTGTTTTGTGTTCAACAGAAAAAAGAAATCTTTTGTTGAACCACTTGAGTGTCAGAAAATGTAAGGGAATTGTAATTTTTGAGGGTATTTCTGTGCAGAACTTTGTACTCAACCAACCAACTGAATAAAATAATAAATACATAAATACATAAATAGGGAGTAGAGAGTATAGGAACTGAAAAATTAACAAATGAAATAACTTTTAAGTTTAACAATACACATCCAATTTGAACCACACAATTTACTATAAGTATCTCTATACCAATTAAATAACAATCCATGCTGTTTTCCCTTTCTCCCAGACTCTCAGTGAGCTCACAGAACTGCTGTCCTCCTACAGCAACTACTCAAACTACAGGCGCGTGTACAGCGAATGCACAGGCTTCAAGGTTCCCATCTTGGGTGTTCATCTGAAAGACCTGATCTCGCTCAATGAAGCGCTGCCAGATTACTTGGAGGATGATAAGATCAACCTGGGCAAACTGCAGCATTTATACAGCAACATCAGTGACCTGTTGGCCATCCATGACTGCACTCCGCCGTTTGAGGCCAACAAAGACCTGCTGCACCTGCTAACGGTGAGACACATGATAAAAACAAAACAGTCTGCTTTGACAGCAAGAAAGAGAAAACAAATGGATTTTTACTTGGAAACCTTGGTAGTGTGTTCTTGGTAGTGTTTGTTGTGTGAAAACACTGTAAAAAAAATTACAATTTAATCTCCAAGTCACAACAACCAGTGTTGGCTAAGTTACTTTTAAAAAGTAATTATTTACTGATTACTAATTATATCATTAAATTGTATTAAAATAGCTTTTTATTATTTTCATAATTATTTCATTATTTTTGTCTAAAAAGTAACTTAATCAAGGAATTTAATTACTTTACTCAATGCTAAAAATTTCTATAAATATCAATGCAAAGACATTGATTCTCTCTTTGCGTGCGGGATTCAATGTAACCACGTTTATTTTAATTTAGCAATTTTTTAAAGTGAATTAATTAAAGAAAAAAGGTCCCTCAAATATTATTATTTCATAATTTAATTAATTTAATAAGTAATGCATTACTTGTTTCTTAGAAAAATATTATTATGAATTATAAAACTGGTAATTATTAAAAGCTGGTAATAACACAGATTTCATATATCATGCTAAATTTACTTCTTTGGTTAAAAAAATATTTTAAAAAATGTATCAGCAAAATCGTCACCTTAGAATTATAAGTTTCTAGGACATTTTTGTCAAAACTGAGTTATTGACATATTCTTATTAAATGACAACTTATTTACAGAAGTTGTTTACATTTTAGGACTTAAAAAAATGTTACACTCATACTGTTTGCAAAAACTTTGTAGCTCAATATCTCAAAATCATGTATAATGCAGATAGCACCTTATAATTCTAAGATGACGAAATGTATTTCTATGCGAAAAACATGACTCTCTAAATTGATTTATACAGAACTGTTGAATTTCTGTTCAGTATTGAAAGGTCATGTGAAATTCTTTAAAATGTGCATTTTTTAATTTGATGTTTGACATAAATTTAACCTAAAAAAAATGATTTTTTTTTATTTGATGTTTGATCTACATTAAACCTCCTTCCTTTTTAAAAACAGCATAGAATTATGTTTTCCATCACAGCCCTGCCAATGAGAGTGGTTAAGCTCAAGCACATCAAATGAAAAGCAAATGAGAAGCATCTTAAAGGGGGGCGGAACATGCCAGACACTATAGAGCAGTGTTTCTCAACCATGTTCCTGGAGGACCACCAACACTGCATGTTTTGGGTGTCTCCTTTGTTTGTCAAACCAATTACAGGTTTTTCAGTCTCTGCTAATGAGCTGATTATCTGGATCATATGTTTGGTTAAGGAGAAATGGAAAATGTGTGGAGCTGGTGGTCCTCCAGGAACATGGTTGAGAAAGACTGCTATACACTACCTGACAAAAGTCTTCATGTCTATTTAACAACAAATAACAACTTGACTTCTAGTTGATCATTTATTAGAAGTGGCTAATATGAAAGGCAAAAGCCTCTAGATAATACTTATTTTACCAAAATAAAATATGATCATACCTTGAATTTTAATTATTTAATTAGAACAGTATGGTCTGACTTTGCTTAGACAGAAGTATTGTCACTCAGCAAAAATAATCTACAGTATAGAATAGAAAGTCATGCGTGCAGTGGAAAATAATTAATATTGTGTATGACTCCCATGAATTTGGAGGACTGCATCCATACATCTCTGCAATGACTCAAATGGCTTAATTCAAATAAATGAATAAAGTCATCTGGAATGGCAAATAATGCATTCTTGCAGGACTCCCAGAGTTCATCAAGCTTATTTGGATTCATTTTCAAAGCCTCCTCCTTCATCTCACTCCAGACATGCTATAATAATGTTCATATCTGGTGAGTGGGCTGGTCAATCCTAAAGGCTGAAGTATGAGAAGGAGCGATATCCTGCTGAAGAATTTGCCCTCTCCTGTGGTTTGCAGTGTGATGGGCAGCACAAATGTCTTGATACCCTAAGGCTGATTTATACTTCTGCACCAAGCACATGCATATGGTCCGGCGCAGCCTGTGTGCGATCCCGTAGCCCTTGCCGATGCGCACCTCTCTAAAAAAGGAACTACACATTGCAACGACGCATAGAGCAAGCTTTGTGATTGATCGACTTGGTAGTACTGACAAGTGTAGGCGAGGGTAAGAACCACACAAGCCCAATAGAATGAGTGTTTACAAGTGTTGAGTCCAGTGAACGAGCTCTACATGGAAACTGTTGTTTTGTGTTTACTTTATGATTAAAGTTTTTGCATGCCTGCCAGTTCCCGCTTCAAAATGAGTGAATTTGAGCCACTTGTACATTAAGGTAGCATTCAGAAAAACAAAACACCAGCGAAGAAACAACACAGAGGAACAAAAACCTCACTGCCAGCTAGCGTTTCGGAAGAGTTATTGCGAACAACGTACAAAGTATAAGGGCCATTATTCAACTACGGGCACTTTCAGCCTTGTGAAGTTGAGTAAAAAAAAAACTTGTTCAAAATGAACATAACAGCCTTATAAGTTTAAACAATTTGTCTAGTTTTAAGATCTGTTAGAGGACAAACTTAGATAAGAAGAGAAACATTTTTTCCATTGTGAACTGAACAAATGTCAATTCCACTACATCTCAATATATAGCTTTTATTCAAAACTGAAATAAATTATGGCAGTCAAACATTGTCTAAGATATTTTTTTTATCTAGTTTAACCAACATTTGCTCAATATATACAATAATTATACATTTGTCAATGAAATAAATTAGACGTATGCTGAATTGTACACCTGTCACACTCTAAAATGTTATATTAATTTAGTTAAGAGCTTATTAGAAAATAAATGAACTGAATTTGTATATTAAATTGAGCATGAACTTATACTTTGTGAGTATACTTTTAATGTGTGATGAGAACTTTTTAAATATTTTTAAAAAATGTGTGTGGTGATGGAAATGACTAGCTTCACCGATTAGCTTTGAATTGAGCCTTTCATGTATACAAAACACTCTAATTTACCTTAATTTTGTTTGGTTTTTAAAAACATCTTTAAAGGTACAACATGTTTGAAAATGACGTAGAATAAATGTATTTCCTTATCAAGCAATATTTATGTAGATTTTTTTCATGTGTTGTTGATAAAATTTTTAATTCCCTCCATCTTAAACATGTTCTCAGATGGCACTATTCATTTTCATAGGAACCACCTAAATAATCTTTCACACAAACTTTTTAAAGCGACATTACAGTGTTGTGTTGGAAATGACACTGATACTGTGCGACAGCTGTGTTTTGTATAAAAAATATTCTTGATAATAGTCTCACATTAATAAGTATAAATATTTAAATTATTTCACTAGTGCTTAATTAAGATACATTAATAGATACCAGATGAATAATATTTCAAAATGTTTTTTCATTGTTAAAGTTTAAAACTCTGGGTGTGCGACAAGGTGAAAATAGGGATTTTAACACCTAAAAGGAGGTTGAATAATATGAAAAATATATAATAGAAAGTTAGTAAATTTTTTTAAAGTAGGTTTTATTGGTAGTTTAACAAAGAAAGAGGAATTTGAACAAAATTATATATATATATATATATATATATTTTGGATATTTGATCAAAGGACAAAAGTGTACGTAGGTGAAGAATTACCCTTAAATTCATGCCAATCACTCGACACAGAAGTATAAACCAGGCTTTAGGTTGTTGATGTTGCCATCCATCCCCTAACCATGATTTTTCATTCACCAAACTTGACTCATTTCTGTGGAAACCATGTGGTCCATGTGGGTCTATGTGGGTTACAATAGGTCTTCTGCAGTATTTGTAATGATTGAGATTAGAAAAAATCTACCTTCTGCCACTTTTACAAATGATCGCCTAGAAGTCAAGTTATTATTTGTTGCTGTTACAACTGGAATCGATGACAATACTTCTGTCAGGGACTGTAGAGCATTTGATTAGTCAGAAGACTTGATGAGAAGCTAAAGTATGAGGTGATTTAAAAAACATTGATATATTTAAGCAGAAGCGACAAACTTTATGTATATATATATATATATATATATATATATATATATATATATATATATATATATATATATATATATATATATATATACCTACAAACTATACAATACTATACAAAACCTTTGGAGGGTTATATCTTCTAAAAGCTAATTCTGTCTTTGTTTTGGAGCTCACTAGATTATAGACATCCTTAACTTCATTTTAATTTTTACAGGACTTTTAAGGCAAGTATTTTATTAGTAACATTACATAAAAACAAAGTCTTTACCTTTTCATCAGAAAAGCTATTAAATTACAGCAACTATCTACAACCAACACTGAGGTAATGATTTGATGTGGATTTAACTAAAATAAGTTTAACCAAGTTAACAGTTTACCAAAAGTTTTTGATGTACAAAATTCTGCTTTAAAGGTTTAAAGTCAGTTGTATGTATTTTAAGTTGAAATGACTTGTAAGGTCAATTTAAATCAACTTAAAAATTGAAGGCAGCTAATTTGTTTAGACTGTACATACATGGAATAATGGTGCCTGTTTAGGAGCACGTAAACATGTTTAGCTTCATTTCCTGACCAGCATTCATCTATTTATAAGCTTAAGAGTGTATTTTCGGATGTGACTGGGCAGCCCTCATTTCTGTGGTCATGCTGGACTGTTTGTGTGTGATATTGAGAGATGTGGATTGTTTTGTCATGTGTATCCGTTGTGCTCTGCTTTGCCCACAGCTCTCGCTAGACTTGTATTACACTGAGGATGAGATATACGAGCTTTCATATGCCAAGGAACCCAAGAACCCCAAAATACAGGTAATACTGGCTATACATAAATTGTAGCTCTTGTACATTTCATTGGTAAGACTTTGCAGTAAGGTACAGAAATATATGGCAATATTATATGAAAACACACTTACTGGCCACTTTATTAGGCACACCTGTTCAACTCATTAATGCAAATTTCTAATCAGCCAATCACATGGCAGAAACTTAATGCATTAAGGTTGTAGACATGGTCAAGACAATCTGCTGCAGTTCAAACCGAGCATCAAAATGGGGAAGAAAGGTGATTTAAGTGACTTTGAACGTGGCATGGTTGTTGGTGCCAGACGAGCTGGTCTATGTCAAAAACTGCTGATGTACTGGGATTTTCACGCACAACCATCTTTAGGGTTTAAAGAGAATGGTCAGAAAAAGAGAAAATATCCAGTGAGTGGCAGTTCTGTGGCCGCAAATGCCTTGTTGATGCCAGAGGTCACACTTTGTGCCCATCACTACCAATTGAGCATCGTGTCAATGACACAGCCTACCTGAGTATTGTTGCTGAACATGTCCATCCCTTTATGACCACAGTGTACCTATCTTCTGATGGCTACTTACAGCAGGATAACATGCCATGCCATAAAGCTGGAATCCTCTCAGACTGGTTTCTTGAACAAGACAATACGTTCACTGTACTCAAATGGCCTCCACAGTCACCAGAGCTCAATCCAATAGAGCACCTTTGGGATGTGGTGGGGCGAGTGATGCAGCCAACGATGGATGTGCAGCCAACTAATCTGCAGCAACAGTGTGATGCTATTTTGTCAATATGGACCAAAATCTCTGAGGAATATTTCCAATACCTTGTTGAATCTAGGCCATAAAGGATTAAGGCAGTTCTCAAGACAAAAGGGTGTCCTATCTGGTACTAGTAAGGCGTACCTAATAAAGTGGTCAGTGAGCGTATATAATAACAAATATGTAAAAAGCTGTACAGAATTGTAATCCTTGTTTTTAAACATCTGTAAATAGGCATTTTTTTCAGTATTTTGAAATATAGGTTGCATAAATATTATGTACAGTAGTCAGCATTTAATGTGGATTAAAACCTTTATCCTAAAATTATTGAACAACATTCATTCTGGTATTTTTTTATTCTTTATTTTTGATCCACTTCAACTGTTGTCCACTGGATGTGATGTAATGTCCTTAATTGTGCTTGTCATATATGTGATTTGCATATATTGTCATATCATATTTCTGTAGAGAGTTCAATTTGTCAGCATTGGTTAGCTTCATTATTTAACAAAATATTTTACTAATTTGAACATGTTTATTAATATTAAGTAATGCAACTTTTTTAAATTTGCTAATACATTATTGTAATAAAATATATTTGTGTTTACATTACGTTTATTTTAAACGGGTCTGAGCTAAAATGACCAAACTATGAACAACTACACTATCTACATTAACTTTAATTTATAACATGTCACAGACCCCAAAATACAATTATCCGTGTACTGTACAGACATGAATGATTTTATTTGATAAAGGTTTAATCAATTTATTGATAAAAGTTATATTATTGTTAATTTTCTGTATGTTTTACTTAATTGCATTTTATGTCTTTGTTTCAATTAAATTTTTTTTTTTTATTATTAATTTATTAAGATTTTATTGAATAATTTTTGGTTTTAATTATTTTTGAAATATTTTCAATATTAGATTGGTTTAATAAATATTAAATATTATTTTTCAAAATAAATTCAAATATTCTTCCCTAATAACCTTGTTTTAATCATATATTTATTCACATGTATTAAACTATTTATTTAAAATAACCTAACACAAATTAAATAAATTAAAATGTTTTTGTACTTTTGATATGGTTGTCTTCCAAACACATTTCAACTCCTTGCATTCCACTAAAATAACTTATTAATTAATATACATGAATCAATAGATAAAGATGTTTTTTGATGTGGGCCATTAAGAAACCAGAGAGCACACTTTAGGAACACCCTAAATACCATTCAAAACATCTTAGTGACCACACAGCAACACCCTGGCATCCACCAACGGTGTCCTGGTATTACAGTATCTGGGACAGCAGCACTCAAGATTTTCTTCAGAACAAACAAAAGCATTCTGGTCTCTAACATTTAAAACACATCATACATAAGCAAATATTTGGCACAGATTACATATTAGGCATTAGTCAACAGGCTGATACTGTGTGCTTTGGTACAATCTGACCTTGTATGTGACCTGTTTCTAGACAGGGAGTATCCCATGCTAAGGTGTGGGTACACGACTCAGCGCTATCCTCTTTGTGCAAGCACACTTCAAAGAAAGCCACAAAGAAGACACACAGTGCTGAAAGACGCATAATCCTTATCTTGGTCGCTTTCAGTGTGGGTGTTGTTACGTATTTCGATTACTTCCCATAAGGCCTCTCTGCTTGTGAGAGCGCTCGCATTTTACAAAGAGCCCAGCTTCGTGTGTGTAGTGTTTTCACAGTTGCTGATCTTATGCAAGTTGGTGTTGAGCGTCAAAACAAAACTGTCAGGTCTCTAACCACCGTTTTTTTGTTTTAGAGTGTGCATTTACACTGCCCTGCTGGCAGAGGCTATTTACACTGACTCTGCCCTAACCCATTCTTTTGTTTATGTATTCTCATCAAATAGCAGAACACAAAGGAGAACAACATGTTTGTTTTAAATAAAAATAAATAAACATTCAAAAAATGTTAATAAAATGGCTAATGGGTATTTAAAGATTCAAGAAACCCTTAAATACTTTTTTTGTGTGATTTTAACAGATTTGTGTGTGTTGAGCTTCAGTTAAGACAATGTTAGCACCTGTTAGCTTTCATTGTGGATAAAGCTGGATAATTTTGAGCTTTTGTCAGGTAATTTCATCTTCCGGCTTTAAAATAATATTTGAAGCGGGATCAAATCGGTGACGTACTGTATCTCCGATCTGCCTGTTCAGTGATGTTGGTTTCTCAATAGTATTCATAGCTGAGTTTTCTGATCTATGAGAAGACCCTGCTTCTTAATTATTCATGAGAGCATGTGCTTTTCGAAGGCAAGGTAGGCCTACCAAGCTGTGGCACACAGTATTTAGCCGTTCATGAAGAATCGTATGTGTTTGTTTTCATGAGCCACAAGGTTTGTTGCATGTTTTTCCCTGCGCTGCTGTCAGGGCCAATACAGCAAAGCTGTTGGTTTGCAGCTAGCATTTTTGTTGGGAGAGATGTACAAGAATTAGAGAATGGCGGACTTTTATCAGTTGAGTTTGTTACCATTCAGACACATCGCCTGTATTTGTGCTGCTGTGTTTGCCTATGTTGAAAATCCTCCGGAATACAAACAGGGCTTGATATAGATAGGAATAGATAGGGCAAGAGACCTGCTGCACTGCTCCACTGTGTTTGCATTTAGACCCGGGGATTGAAGAGGAGCGAAGTCGTCCTTATTTATATAGTGTTTATATAAACATAATTACCATTATAACAATATAACAAATTGTGGTTATGTGTATATGAAATTACAAATAACATATATAGCAGGGCATTAAATTACTGTTTAATTCTTTGCATTTTAACTGTAAACTTTAAAATCATGGGTCTCCTCACAGGTTGTGTCTTATTTTGTGAGCCAACTGACAGTTGTTCGCTTCCCTCCCTGCTCTGTCGACCACGCCTACTCATCCCTCTGCCCGCAGCACTCCACGCCCATCATGACACGTTTTTTGAAAACATTCTGAAAGAGAGGGGTGTCATGACCCTTTAATAAGAATGTGTTTATGATTAAGGTTATGGCCAGTTTCCCCTGAGTGGTACAGTACACATTTGTTTACTTTTCCATAAGGTATCATACCGTACCATTATTTTGGCACACTTTCTTAAAGGGATAGTTCACTCAAAAATGAAAATTCTGTCATCATTTTCTCACCATTTACTTGTTCCACCAGAGTTTCTTTTTTCTCTGTTTAACACAAAAATGTATATTTCGAGGAAAACCGTAAACCTGAACTATTGACTTTACATAGCATATATTTTAATTTACTACTATGGAATCAGTGATTACAGGTTTTCAGCTTTCTTCAAAATATCTTCTTTAGTGTTTAACAGAAAAAAAGAAACATAAAGGTTTAAAACCACGTGTGAGTGAGTTAAGACTGAGCTAATTTAAATTTTTGGGTGAACTATTTCTTTAAGCACAACATTGTGGGACCAAAAGTTGGAGCTAGATTCACTGTTGAATGCTATTGATCACAGAGAATCACCTGCGCATGTAACAAACCAGGGGAATGACAACACAGGAAGTGTCTTGTGTTAAAAACACACACAAAGCATGACACTAAGTGAAGTTTATTCATAAACTAATTTAGGATCACGTGCCTATGAATGTTGTCAGCTGTTCCTGCATCAGCTCATGATTGAATATCCAATCAGATGATTCCTAACTCACTATAAATAACCAGTTTTTTATCTCAATATCTTCATCTTGAATCCAATGATCATAGTCAAGCTCTTAGTGAGTACAGCTCTCTTTAGTCATTTATCCGTCAGTTAGCTAGAAATAAGCCAGGAGGAGTTCATGGAGATCTACCTGAGCTCAAACTCCCCTCTCGTCCTGCAAACGGGAGGGGGGAGCCCAGGGCTCGAGGATCTCATAAGCTCAGGGCTCTCTCCCAGGAAAGCATGCCAAACAAGCTTTATTACCAATCATCAGCTAAGTGTGAACTCTTGAATAATAAAATAACAGTGTGCAGAAATAAACCATGCTCAACAAAGCGAAATTCTTCTTGTGACAGTCACCTGCCAAGAAGTAAAGATAGAAATCAGCTGTTTCACTTTACATTTGCGCATGATTGGATCTCGTCTACATTTGAAATAATGAATTTACAAAATGCGTGATACAAGAACTTCACATCAGAATGATGTTAATTGCAATTTTTGCCCATTTTCACCACTTTTGCTGAAAATTATACATTTACTTTTAGTTGAAGGAAAATTAATGGGATATCTACAAAATATACCTGCATATCTGTCGAATATTAATTACATTTTTGCAGTTTTACAAATATTTAGGCTAAAGCACATATTTTAAGCACATATTTTGGCTCGGACATTACAATTGGTGGTTCTATGTGGTTTGGTATATCTCTGCGCGCTTTGTTCGCGTACATGTCATCAGCGAATTCACACTATTCAGACTGAATGGGCAAATGTTCACTGATGCACCTGATGCTTGTACGAACCACCAGACAATTGTATTGTATTGTGTATTAAAGCTGTCATGTAAATGTAAACACAGCCAGGAATATCAATCTCTACATAAACAAATGATGTTTAATAAAGCTAATTGCTAAACATTTACTCTAAAATAATAATCCACAATGTTTAAATGTGCATTAAACACAATTCTCAGCAGTGTACATGTGTTTGTTACCTCAACTTACAAACAGCTCTGGCCAATTTGATAGTAAACAAAAGTTAAAAGTGTTAAGTTAACAAAATATACAAATAAAAATACCTCACACTTCCTCTGTGTGGTGCTGAATACATTTCTAAATCTGTATATCCAGCAGTTTGTGTTCTGATGAGCTCTAAATGGTCATTGCTTAGTAATGCATAGAAAACAAATTGGTGCAACTGTCTTTGATTGTCTCCCATTTTATAAATAAGTGTCCCACATACATGGTAAGTTTAATATACAAGCTTTAAAAAACTTGAAAACAATTCATCATTATAATAATCTCAAAATGTAGCCTGAGGCGTACATATAAATGAGCATTATTATTTAAATAATGTTTTGTTAATTAATTTTTATTGTTTTGTTTTTTGTAGCCTGTAGCTCCTGTTAAGCCCCCAGTGGTTGCAGAGTGGGGATCTGGAGTGACTCCGCGTCTGGATCCTGCCACCATCTCAAAACACGTCAAGCAAATGGTGGATGTAAGTGAGAAAAACATGCAGATTCCCACTGTTAGAGCCAGTTCCAGTTAGATTGAGACGTAGACGGCCAGTTCCTGGCTGTCCACTCTCACTTCCTTAAAATTGTGAAAGGCCTTTAAAGCAAATGTCATAAGTGTCTCACATCGAAGCTGACAGTGATTCTGTTGCCCTCTGCAGTCCATCATGAAGAACTATGATTTGAACATGGACGGCTACATTTCTTTGGAGGAATTTGAGAAGATTGCTGCCAATTTCCCCTTCTCTTTCTGCACACATGAGAGTGATAGGTAAGGGAAGAACTGTTACACTAATGATTTAGTTTAGGTTTTGTAAGATTTGTGTTTGATTTTGAAACAGTATTAAGTTATTACAGAGACAATATCAATTTAATCAATAATACAGTAAAACAATATTATTGTAAAAAAAAAAAAAAGCTATAAATTTTCTAATTTTGAATGTGGCGTGGTGGCACAATGGGTAGCATGATCGGCTCACAGCAAGACGGTACCAGGCTCGAGCCCCAGCAGGGTCAGTTAATATTTCTGTGTGATGTTTGCATGTTTACCCCATGTTTGCGTGGGTTTCCTCCGGGACCTCCAGTTTCCCCCACAAGTCCAAAGACATTTGCTATAGGTAAATTGAATAAGCTACGGCCACAGTGTATATGTGTGAATGCAAGAGTGTTTGGGTGTTTCCCAGTGTTGGGTGGCGGCTAGAAAGCCATCCGCTGCGTAAAACATGCTGGATAAGTTGTCGGTTCATTCTGCTGTGACGGCCCCTGATAAATAAGGGGACTAAGCCAAAAAGAAAATGAATGAATGAATTTTGAATGTTTTCTGAATTTTTTATTTGTTATGCACATGAATATATTTGTTTAAATTCTGTACATAAGTTCAACAGTTTTGTAAACTATTTAATATTGTTTTTTTTTTTTTTTTTTTTTTTTTGTTATACAAATATATTTTGCAGAATAATTATATTTTTCAACTAAAGAGGACTACATTTATCAAGACAATTAAGAAAAAAATGTATTAAGAAATTAGTTCATGGTCAATTATTATTATTATTATTTTTGCTAGTGCACATTGTCGTTCTTTAAGTGAACATTTCATCCACATGTGTCAAACTCTGTTCCTGGAGGGCCAGAGCTGTGCAGTTTAGTTTCAACCCTAATTAAACAAACTTGATCAAGCTTATTGAGTGCTTAGGGTTGTTTGAGAACTACAGAGAGATGTGTTGGAGCAGGGCTGGAAGTAAACTCTGCAGAGCTGTGACCCTTCAGGAATTGAGTTTGACACTCCAAAATAATCAAAGTTAATCTGCTGATTTTTTTCTTTTTCTGGCCGTTTTCAATCAATTTTTGAAGTGGTAGTTCTTCTCTGTTGACAGCAATTTGATGTCTTCAGCCACCACATTCTTAACCACACCCCTTTAACCATTAGTTTGCTATGAGAAAATGATGTGCAAATAGTAAGCCCCACCCCTTCCCAATATTTCCTTTTAGTTAAAACTACAGTTTTTTTACAATGGCTATGACAGTTTTTTCAATACATTTAACAAGTTTGCTAAACTCTTAATGCAGCAACACACCTAAAACACACAATTGACAAAACAGTTAATTTTATTTTCAAAATCACACATTGTAAACTAAACCTCTAAACTTCTTTTCAAAATACAATAATAAACTAACACACTACACCATGTCTAACAAAACACTGCAAACATGTTTCAAAATGACATAATTGTTCAAAACACAAACACATGTTCTCTTTCAACAGAAACATTCAGTCAATCAGAAAACACTGACAATAAAAACACTATCATCAGTTAAAATTACAGAAACTGCATTAGTTTATGTGTCAGCTTTGCCCTTATATTTGAAGACTCTCTTCATTTTCATTTTGTTGGGTTTAGTAAATGCATGCATTTTCTTTCTTTTACTGCAAAAAAAGAAAAAAATTGCTTTATAAAATTTACAGTTGATGTAAAAAATACAGACACCGAATTGCTGCAGTACAGATTTAATTTGCAAAAGGACATCACTGCAAGATAAACAAACAGAAAAAGCATCGCAATTATAATAAAAAACAAAATAATTTTGTATTCAGCCTGGTCTTCTGCATTTGCATGGTAACGATGGCCCTTTGGCCTATTATGTTTCTCCTACGACGACACCTTTTCGCTAAGTTGAAGCCAGCCTCGTCAACATAGATAGTTTCATGTGGGACTTGATTGACCTCCAACTTCATGATTCTCTAAAAGTAATTAGACACAGTGTAAATGCTTTACTGTACTGTATAACTAATGTATGTACTAAGGAACGGCAGGTTTATAGAGTAGTTTACTGCAAAACACACTGTGCATAGTAAAGTAATCACTGTATTGCATAACCTTACCTGGACGTATTGGTGACAGAGTTCTGTAATGTGCTCACTGTTCCTTTCAAAAACCTCATGAGTCCCTTTTTAGAATACAGTAAGATCATGTGATTTGAAAAATGTGAACACATGAGTGTGCTTTCTAGATGGCAATCATGTTCATATGGGAGATGGGAGCTGTCATATATATATATATATATATATATATATATATATATATATATATATATATATATATATATATATATATATATATATATATGTGTGTGTGCGTGTTTGTGTGTGCGTGTATATATATACATATACAGCTGATTCCCATCTAGATACCATACTCATGTGTTATGGTTTTTCAAATCACATAATCATATTAGAACATAGTGTTATCTGTTCTGACATACTGTGTGAAAGCAGTGGTAAATTGTACTGTAAAATTACATTGTTTAGGTTTTGGTTGAGTTTGTGTGTAAAAGAAGTTCAAGCATTTTAAATTGGTGTTAACTGGATGCATTTTGTGTCAAAGCAGCAGGAAATGTGTTAATTGTATAGCCCACGAAGACTGATGTTGTGCTAACCGTGTTAAGAGTTTAGGAAACTTGTTAAATGTATTGAAAAAAGTGTCATAGCCATTGTAAAAATCTGTAAATAAACATACTGAAATAAAAGTCTCAGCAACTTCCAGTTCACGCAACCTTTAAGATGTAAAAATTGGATTTTCTCCAGGACTGAAAGAATCCAGGTCTTATGTTGCTTTGCTCTGTGTTTTCCAGAGAAGGAGAGATCAGCCGAGAGGAAATCACGTCATATTTCATGCGTGGGATGTCAGTGTGCGCCAAACTCGGCTTTAACCTCCACAACCTTCACAACTTTCACGAGACTACGTACAAAAGGCCCACATTCTGCGACACCTGTGGAGGATTTGTACGTATTTAAACCAACACTACACTTTTCTTAAGCCTTTTTCACAAGTCGCCTAGAGTTAAACAATTGACTTGAAACATTTTTGAATCCATTCAGCCGATTTCTTGTTCTGGCAGAGTCACTTTTAGCTTAGCTTAGCATAATTAATTGAATCTGATTAGACCATTAGCATTTCAATCAAAAGAAAATTTATAATATTCTCAATTAAAAGTATATATATTTCTTTTTTAAAAACTGTTTAACTCTAGGAGACTTGTAAAAAACTTTTTAAAAGTATTATGTTCTTTTAAACTTATAGCCAATATATTTTAGCAGATTTGACTAAATGTAACATCTAACTTTTCCCCCCTCTGCTTTTCCATTAGTTATGGGGAGTCATAAAACAAGGCTATCACTGCAAAGGTTACAATATCTCAATCAATCAGTCTTAATACTGTATATAATTACACCTCAGCACCACAATAACTTTGCTGCTTCTTTCTGGCTCTCTCTTTCAGACTGCGGAGTGAACTGTCATAAGCACTGTAAGGATGTGGTAGGAATGGAGTGTCTGAAGAGGCTTCAGGTCAACAGTAGCTCTTGTCCCTGTACACCAGGACCAGTTTCAGGCCTTCACACTAAAGGCAACAGCTGGAGTGAGTTTTCTCAATGTATGTGAGCTGCTCATTAATGCTAAATAGATCAATATCCTTCAGTGATCATTATAATATTATATACTTATATAGCTCTAAAAAAAATTGCTCTTCGAGATATGAGGAACTTTTTACAGTATTTATTTTTTTGTCTTATTTCTTTTAGTTTGGCAGGAATACAAACATTTACATTTGAAAATTATTAGTGGTAATATTATTAGCTCCCTTAAGAGTTTATGACTACAGAATAAAGCTCTGTTATCCAACGACTTTCCTAATTAACATAAGCTGTGTCCCAAATCGCATACTTATGCACTATTCTACGCCATCTTGTAGTATAAATAGTGTAAGTAGTGTGTTCACACTGAAAACTCTAAACATAGTAAGTGCACTTTAAATACCCGGATGATGCACTCATTCAGCCGCTAAAATGAAGTGTGTAATGATGGACACTTCACGCACTCAACGACCACAGGTTTGCTCACGTAGCGGAAGGGGCGGAGCTATCGGGTGCACATGCTTCATAACTTTATTTATTTTGGATGGTGAAAGCAAAATTCTCCTACAAGAGTGATTATAGCGCCTCCCGATGGTAAATGCGGTTATACTCACGGCAGGTATTATTTGATAATTCTGGTGTTTATTTCACTGATTTGGCAATCGTCAAACGTCATCAGGGAAACGGTTTGAATTTCCGCTTAGTGTAAATTATTAGTGTGCCATTTGGGACGACACTATATACATATACTATACTGTTGAGTGTGTAAGTGCATAAGTACATAGTGCATGAGTGCATAGTGTATAGTGTGCCATTTGGGATGCAGCTATAGTTAAAGATGCAGTAGTTGATTGTCTATTTTTTTTGTCACAACATTTTTTTGTTGTGCTGGTTGAAAGTGTCTTTACATTACAATAGTAATTATTAAAGTAAATGATCTAAATGTATTTATATATATTTTTTTAGGCATAAGAAAATTTGTCAGGCCTACAATTCCCATAATTGTGATTAATAGCCCAAACTGTCTGTCAAAAAATGTAGATTTGTACATTTGTGCATCTATTCACGCAGATCCACCGTTTGCTTTTGCATGCGCTCTGCTTTCATGACATGTGCACACTAGAGAGAGAGTGACAGTAGTAAAATCAAATGCTGAATCAAAACGTTTTAAAATTCCGAATCAATATTGGAGTTAGTTTTGCATGCTGGAGGATTGATAACACTACGGCTGAAGTATTTCTGTTAGACAGGTAATGTTACGTTTAAAACTATTTTAGTCATGCGGAGCTGATGTTGATTGTGTTTTTATGAATAAGTTCTATGCACTGAAGTGTTGTTCAGCCACTGAAATCTCCCGCTGAAATATTGATGTGACTATTTTCAGGTTCATAAGGTCATGTTACAGCATCGATAATGTCGATTTGTATTTAGTTTAACAACAAAACATCAGTAAAAAGCGCTATTCCACTTAGCCTGCTTTACTGAGGTCAAGTTGCTTTTATATTTACATTGGTTCATTTTTGAGCAATGACAATCAGTGACACGCTCCCTATATTGTTTTGCTATTCACACTAGCAGCAACTTTGTATTGATCTGTCGCTCTGGGTGGTGACCTGCTGCAAACGGGTCTGTGTAGGTCTACAGCATGGAGAATACAACCAGCCTCTGTGTGAGCAGAGAGAATATCATGTGAGCTCAACTGTTGCTCCTATTGGCTGTCGCTCAAGAAAGTCGTTCTTCATTTTCATAAAGTTGAAAGATTCTCAACTTTGTTGCGTTGCTCGACACTCCCACTTGGTCGCCAACGGTCGCTGTCGCACGCGAATATGGAGTAGAAGTAGCTCGCTCTCCGTTGAAGTGAACGGTCGCTTTGCCACTGCGAGTCACCCGCAGTGTAAATGAGGCTTAAGTGTAATTCCTGCACCCTGCCAGCCAACCACTAAGCATACAGTAGTGGCTTTATGACAAAGCGCGCGAGAGAGTGAGACCAGCGATCCTTGCATGCATGAAATATTGCACATTATGACAAGTTTTGCTCGCCAACTACACAACTGAAAACGTGCTAGATATAATACAGCTTTTCATTCAGAATTGTAGTATTTTAAAGTACTACAAAGTTTTTAAACTGGTGATCGACATGAACTAGTGCATTGGTTCTCAAACTGCGGTACGTGTACCCCTAGTGGTACGCAGGCTTCCTTCTAGTGGTATGCGGAGGAATCGCTGAATAAAAGTAAAAAAAAAAATAATGAACACTTATAACCCTTTGATGTGCATGATAACCTCGATGTGAACAGTAAATTAATTTTAATAGGCTAAACCTTTTATTTTATTAAAATTTTTGTCATGTTTGTTATTGAAGCTAATTTCCTCCCCATATTTGTAACTGTTGGGGGCAAATCCGGTATTTTTATATTCCAATGTTGACGTATGGTTTAATCCAGTGGTCACCAAACTTGTTCCTGGAGGGACGGTGTCCTGCAGATTTTAGCTCCAACCCTAGTCAAACACACCTGAACAAGCTAATCAAGGTCTTACTAGGTATACTTGACTCATCCAGGCAGGTGTGTTGAGGCAAGTTGGAGCTAAACCCTGCAGGGACATCGGCCCTCCAGGACCGAGATTGGTGACCCCTGGTTTAATCACTTGTTTTTCTGACACACATAGCTTACTCTAACGTGTATAAGCAGATTTAATTTCTAATTTAAATATGTAAATCCAATTTATATATCTAAAATACAAGTTAATGTTTAGATTTCAAACATATACAAAGTCAAACTCAATTTCTGGAGGGCCGCAGCTCTGCACAGTTTAATTGCAACTCAAATCAAAAACACCTAATCAAACTAATTGAGTGCTTTAGGCTTGTTTGATACCTACAGGAAGATGTGTGGAAGCAGAGTCGGAACTAAACTCTGCAAGACTGCGGGCCTCCAGGAATCGAGTTTGACACCCCTGACATATAGCCTATCTTTATGAGGTCAAAGGAACATTTCCAGTTTTTGATGAATAGGCTACTTTATGATAATACGTTATATTTAAGTACAGCAGTTATCTTTTTTTCTTTTTAAGAACAGTGCTATTTTAATTAACTTTTAAAAGCACATTTTAATTTAAGCGTTGAGGTTTTATTTATTTTTTGTTATTTTTTTTATAAGCACAGTACAGTGTATATGTTCAAACTATTTATAATGTTTAAAGTGTCTGACAATAATAAATATTCATAAAAATAGGAACTAATCTACCATATTTTTGAAGTGCAGTGCTGTAGCTGCGTAATTAGGTAATCTACACTACTGTATTTCAGTGGTACTTTTAGAGAATTTTTTTTGAGGTGGTACTTGGTGAAAAAAGTTTGAGAACCACTGATCTAGTGATCTAGTGTCATCTTTAAGGTGCACATTTGTGATTTCAGGAGGTGTGGCTTTGGAAGGCAGGAGAGCGACTGTGATTCAAAGAAATTATGCTAATGGATAGCATTTTGATTCCTACTGCACCTTTAAGCCTTTAATTTGCATTTTAAACTGAATACTACCTATCAAGATAACTAGTAAGTTTAAATATAAAGACAGAAGAAATTTGTTAAACAAAAATGTGTTGAAAAAAAAGCATATCTACATTATACTTGAGAAATATTTTTTAAAAAGAATAACACTTTTTACAGAAGGGCTAATAATTTTGCCTTTAACTTTTTATGCCAGTTTGGGAAACTCTTGCAGAATATGTGTTGTTTTACACAAACACACACACACGCACGCACGCACACACACACACACACACAAAGTTGAAGTCAGAATTATTAGCCCCCACTCAATTATTAGCCCACTGTTAATTTTTTTTACCCAATTTCTGTTTAATGGTGAGAAGATTTTTTTTAACACATTTCTAAACATAATAGTTTTGACAACTCATTTCAAACAACTGATTTATTTCATCTTTGCCATGATGACAGTAAATAATATTTAACTAGATATTTTTAAGACACTTCTAAACAGCTTAAAGTGACAATTAAAGGTTTAACTAGGTTAAGGGTAATTAGGCAAGTCATTGTATAACAAGGGTTTGTTCTGTAGAAAAAAATAGCATATTTTTAATTGCAAAATGAGTCATCAATATTTTTAACCTTTTTTACTGGAAGACTAAAATTGATACGCCTAATTCTGGTTACTGTGAATTCAAGTTAACATTTGTTAGCACATTGTTTAGCATGACTGAAATTCAGACATTACTACGTTTGTCATGTCGTCATCATCTCATGACTTGCCTGCATCAGTTGTTTTGTGTTGTGCTTGCTATGGCCTCATGGATTCACACTTCAGAATCCCAGCATTTTGTAGATCATCTGGTGTACTGGTTTGCTAATGCTATTAATTTGGACATACTACTAATTCATAAACGGTTTATCACATATTATTTAATAGGTTTAGATGGCTCCCCAGACATTGGGATAAAGGATACAGAGAACCAAAGAACTTTAAACAATTTTAATAATGAAAATAAACAAAGAAAACAGGTGGCGACGACTCCCAAGCTGAACGCTAACAAAGGGTCCAGGCATGATCCTTTTTCATCTTCCACTGCTGTCTCTTCCTCCTTCAAGCTGCGGTCACACATGAGTTTGTGTGCGCGAAATTCTGTTGTACGGCGCTGCGAAAAGGGGCGGGATTAAACATGATTATTAGACATTAAAAAAAAAAGCAAGCGATTGCTCCATGTTCCATGAAACCCCCCATTTGGGGTACTAGTATCAATGGTATGGGACACACTGAGATACTGACCCGGTGGTCAACTGTTGGTTTGGTAAGTTATAGCTATTATCAATAGATGAACTTTAAAGGGCACTTATGTTGAAAAATCAACTTTTCAAGCTGTTTGGACAGACATATGTGTAGGTAAAGTGTGTAGACTATCATATTGAGGTGATATAAACACACCCAGTCCTTTTTTATACAATTAAACAACACAAAAACGGTGGACCAATTGGAGCGGTTTTCAAACCGACCGCACCTTGACGTAGGAGGGTGGTTTCCCTGCCCACCAAGCTAATTTGACAGCTGCGTATTAACATGTCTCCGTAGCAACGCGTATAATCATATAAACAAGACTGGACGTGCGCAAAGCAACCAGGAATAAAAGGTCTGTTCAGTTTGCTAGGAACATCAATCATCATCAAATGTGATCATGAGTGAGTTTTACAAGTTTAAAATGTTTTAAAGCAGAGCATGTTTGTAATGAATTACAGCGATTTACTTCAGATTCACTTCATCAGCACAGCTGCGTATCAGAACAATTATAAAAGAAGACGCTTCAATCCTGGTTTGTAGACATTAAATCAGGTTTATTTTGTACATTAACATAACAGATATTTATACAGCAGTGGAGATTAACCTGTATCCTGTCACATTTGCCTGCAAAAAGACTGCAGACCTAAACAAGCGCGCTGTCTGTGTGTGTCCATGAACATTGTGACGACATTGTGTGTGACTCATCGTTGCAACTCCACAACAAATGCATCAAATACTCATTGGGAAAGTTCTTACTGTAGTATTTCTCACAAATGTCTGTTGCACATATCCTCTCGTTTCCCCCTTATTTCTCATACAATTGTTATACATGCTACTTGAATTTATTTTAGAATTCCCATATTGTTTAATAATGAGCTATAGTTTGTTAAGACTGTATTCTGTTTTATTTGTACTGCAAATCTTTTGTTGTTATTGCAATAAAAAAAAAAAATGATCACGCCATGTGATCGGTCACCATGACTGCAGCAACTTTGAGCCCCGAACTGTCCAGCCGTTTACAACTCCGCCCCTGCCTGTGCTCGGCTAATCACGTTAATCACCGGCTGCATCCATGCTTCATGTCGAATGCACCTAATGTTCTCGAGTCATACAAGAGATTTGGTTCAAAATGAATGAGTCGTTTAAGAACGATCCATTACTACTGGTAAAGCCCCCCAAAAGTGAGCCATACTGAATCAAATTGTTTCATACCATTGCTGTGGAAAAGTGCCTTTACTAGCTGAACACCATCACACACATTGAGGAAATGTGCATAATATGGGCACTTTAAACTGGCAGGTGATTTACTAACCGTTCTCCTGTGTTGCAGCCTTTCAATCAGGTTCCGAAGAGGAAGCGTTCGTCTTTCCAAATGGAAATGAATCTGAACACTCCAAGGGCCAAACTTCATCAGACAGCGACGCAGAAGCGGCCACACTATCCGACAGGTCAACTCAAACAGAGCCAGGAGTTTGGACACCGGTGGCCAAACGGAAAGATCGTCTTCATTCCCAGAAACAGCATCCACCTCTTGAAAAGGTATTGCCATGAAGCATTGTGTTTCTTTTCATAAGCTTTTCCACAGCGTGTTTTAAAATACATTACATAGAAGCTAATGTAATGAGCGAGTGGGTAACCAAAACGTCTTGAGACTAACGTCACCTACCTGCCTTATATCATCCCAGAGCGCAACTCTTCCGGCAAGGGTGCGAGGTTCATCTGCCCCTAGCTCTCTCCTACAGGAGAAAATGGATGAACTGAAGCTGAACAAAGATAAACGAAAGGAACCAGACTGAAGTAGTTTTTGTGCATGTGGCCGTCTGGTTGTGTGTGTGTGTGTGGGGGGGAACTGTTAAATACACTGGACAGAACACTTTGAAGAACGTGTCCTCGTCTTTCTCGCCAACTGTCTTCTTCTATTGTCTTCAACAGATTGTTCATGACGTTCATTAACTATGATGAAATTCTACCCAGAAGGGATTTTATTTAAGGAATTGCTGATGATCTGTATTTTGATGAGCCTATTGGTGGATCCGTACGGTTATAGCTCTATGCACCAGCGTAAACTGCCAGCGAGGACCACATCAAAAGACCTCCAGTACTAAAAGTTGGACTGCTATATCATCCATCTCACTACCGGTAGTCTTTATTCGAGACCACATGGGTTTCTGTCATGAAGAGTGAGGTTTGAGCAGAGTATGAAACTGTATTGTCTTAATGTTCACACTGGAAAACTTAAACTGTGATCAACTGTATTGAACTTGAAGAGTAAGAATGTACCTCCTCTGTAAAGGGATGCCATTTCGGTGCTGATATAATACCCAGAATTCATCACTGTGCCTTATGTAATGAACAATTCATCGAGTAGCAGACAAAGGGTATTGTATCACTGTTTTATGCCAGACAATAGTCCCGTCTCGGTTCAAAATGATCACAATCGGCTTCATTAGTGCTCCGGCGTATTAAAGTATGAGCATTAATGAAAAGCAGCGGGAGCGTGACATTAAGGGTCATCTCTGATGAACACTGGACCTATTTTCAATTGTTTTTCTAATGTGTTTTCTGTTAGCTCTTTTGTCATCTCCAACTTGAATGTCTGTTTTACTAAATCATGAATTTAGGTTATAGATTTTTATTTATTGAGGAATGATAAATCCATGATAAAGCACTCTTGGTGTGATTAAAATATGAATGTGAAAGAAAAAGTCGACGTGTTTATTATTGACAAAATCCAGGTTCATTAAAGGAGTCTCATTATGCTTTTTACACATTAATGTTGCTTTCTGAGCATGAAAAGGTTTTCTTCCATGAACGCATCACAATATCTTAAAGGGCACCTATGGTGAAAAATCTACTTTTCAAGCTTTTTGGACAAACATATGTGTATATATAGTGTATAAACCATCCTATTGGGGTGATATAAACACACTCAGTCCTTTTTTTTCAATTTAACATCATAAAAATGGTGGACCAATTAGAGAAGTTTTCAGACCGGCCGCAACTTTACGTAGGAGTGCGGTCCCCCCGCCCACCGAATTGATTGACAGCTGCGCGCATTAACATGTTCCGTTAGTCATGTGTATATGTCAACAAGACCAGGCAGACATACGCAAAGCAACCAGGAATAAAAAGTCTGTTCTGTTCGCTAGGATCAGCAATCATCATCAAATGTGATTAAGAGTAAGTTTCACATGTTTAAAGTGTTTTAAAACAGTGCACGCGTGTAATTAATTACAGCGATTTACTTCAGCTTTACTTCATAAGCACAGCCACGTGTCAGAACAATTATAAAAGAAGACGCTTCAATCCCGGTTTGTGGATATTAAATCAGGTTTATTTTGTACATTAACATCACAGATATCCACACAACACTGGAGGTTAGCCTGTATCCTGTCACATTTGAGTGCAAAAACAGTGCTAAGCTAAGCGCTCGCTCTGTCTGCCTGCCTGTGTGTGTGTGTGTGTCAGCTGCGGTGTGCCTGTGTATATCTGTGTGTGTGTGTATGTATGCGCACGCGCTTGGTAACGATATTGTGTGTGACTCAATGCAACTTCACAATACTGATTAGTAAAGATTAGTTCTTACTGTAGTATTTCTCACAAACGCTATGTGAGACCTTCCTTTAAGTCTGTGTGTTGTCTGAAGCAGGCGAGGGAGGAGATTAAAGCACGCGGGAAGGCAAGTAGAAACAGTAGGCGGGCAGAAGTCACCTTAAAGGCGCAGTAAGACAAAACCACCCCCTCGTGGAAATCAGTATAAAACAGCATCTTGTAAAAGGTATAATGAAAAATCTGATGGGTATTTTGAGCTGAAACTTTATATACACATACTAGAGACGCAAAAGACTTATATTAAATCTGAAAAAAGGGGTAACCTAGGTGCCCTTTAAATACAAGGTATGGGCTATATGCACAGCTAGTGTTTTTCAGCCAATGATGAACTTTTGGTGAATGTTTTGTGTGACTATTTTCAATTTTATAAGGTTCCTTTTACAGCATCGATGTTGTAATGTAATTCAAATACAATCAGTTAAATAGACTTGAGCATCCATGTGGTTGTTAAAGTGTAAAATGAGACGAAAAACTGTTTAAACGCAGGCGTCGTCATTGGCAGCAGAAATCAGATCTTAAACGCTGTGATTTTGGATGGTATGACAATTAACCGAAAGCCCTGGGGCTGGCTGACTGAAAAGTCAGTGTGCACACAATATGAAAGGGTAATATTTTATCATTTGCAATATTCTGATAAAAATTATGAAAATAATGTTATAAGCTACAATTGGTCTGTGAACACTCCTGTTCTAAGAACAGTCTGGGATTTTGTTTATGGTTCGGTGCAAAGGCTGATTTATACTTCTGCGTCAAGCGCACACGCATGTTATGGTGCAGCCTACGCTTGGACGCATAGCCCCTGCTGTGGCCGTCGCTGATGTGCACCTCTCAAAAAAATGTAACTACACGTTGCAACGACTCGTAGTGCAAGCTCTGTTATTGGTCAGCTTAGTAGTGCTGAAGAGTGTGGGCGGGACCGAGAGCCATGCGAGCCAGATTGTTTACAAGTGTGGAGTGCCGTGAAGGAGCTCCAGATGGCAAATTTTGCTTTATGTTAACCTTATGATTAAAGTTGTTGCTAGTCCGCCAGTTCCTGCCTTAAAATGAGCCACATGTACATTAAGAAAGAGTTCAGGAAAAAACAAACCAGCGAAGACCAACTGCCCGCTAGCGTTTCGGAAGTGTTATTGCAGAACAACAGAAACAGCGCGCAGAAGTATGAATGCACAGCTACGCGCGTTGCATGTGCTGTGGGTCACGCCGATCACTTGACGCAGAAGTATAAACCAGGCATCTAAGAGGCGGTCAACCACCTGGTCTAATCCATTCTTATGTTTCAGAGAAAGATATATTTAACCCTCAGGGTTTCCTCTAGGATTTTTTCCAGCTGTGGCAGCAGGCCTTTTCACAGATCTACCAGCTACCTATGGCGTTATTTTAATGACAAATGTAGTGAGCGCAGTATTGCAAGTCGAGATCGCATTTATGTAATACAAGCATGCAAATCTCTTTGCTTGCGTGCTGATTTCTTCTGTTCGTGCACAAAACTTGTTGCACGCCTTCAAATATATGCCGCTCAAGTGCAGATTTTCTTCTCAAATAAACACTGCTTTAGTGCGATTAGTGTGTTTATACCCAACATTTATTAGATTTGCTCGGAATATTTATGAATTACTCCAATAGACAGAGCGGCATTAATGTGTCCTGAAGTAAAGTGAAATGGCTATAACCATTTGCGAGATAAAGTCATTGTACACAAAACAACAGACCTTTATCTATAAAGTAGAATTACGGAAACTGTGTTCATCTTAACTGAAAGCTGTCATGTTTGCTAGCCTTACGCATCACGCACTTGACAGTCAGCCAGTCAGCATATCACCTTGATCATTGGTTAAACAAATAACGCACAGCACTATGATTACAGAAAAGTTTGCTCTGTTATAATTCACTTGCCTTGTAATATGTTTTAGTGTGATTATAACCCGCTATTTAAGAAAAAATGTCTGAATGTTTTGAATGAGAAGCTGTACTGACCCACAGCATAATGAATTTTGGTGTGGCGCTCGCCCATGGAAGAATGAATATAGTGGAATCAATGACCCTTGTGCACCATTCAAATTTACTACCCTTTGGTTTTGCTATAGATGAAAACATACACTGAATAAACTGCTGTAAAAATGCATCCGATTAGTATATATATATATATATATATATATATATATATATATATATATATATATATATATATATATATATATATATATATATATTTATATATATATATCTATTTTATTTTTTTTTTTATTTTTTTTTTTTATTGCATAAATCTGTTATTTAACCTCAGTCCTGATCAAAACTACTAAATGTTTTACAAAATGACAGAATTTTAACTTTTAACTGCCAAATTCACAAATGAGGTCACTGATTTGGAAAAAAAAAGACGTATTTTCAATATAAAAAGTAATTGTGGACTGGACTTTTTTACCTTTTATCACAGTCTTGGACATGTGAACGATTAGTTAAAGCATTGGCTTTGATGCATTGTTACATTTTCATATACTGATTTACTGGTGGTGGCTGTTTTTACCACACTGACTTCCATTAGAACCACATTTGATGATCCATAAATACACAGTCTTTGTTTTTGTTTACTACATGTAGTTCTGAGAGCTGAGCTGCATATTTTGATTTTCTCAGACACATTAAGGCAAGTGTTTACAGGTCACTTTCACACTCCTACACACTTACAGACAAACATACACTAATTTTAATTTGCTGTTTTACCTCATATAAAATGAGGTAATTAATCTAAAGGTTAATGGTGTCAACTGACAATCAACAGTAAAAATTACACATTTTACCTCTTCACAACAGGGAAAACCACCAACAATCAAAAATGCATGATTATAAGGTGTCATGGTTTTGAAATTAAAAATGTAGTTATAACGGAAGTCAATGGGGCAACAACAGTCAATGGGGTAAACATCACGAGGCTGAGTGTCTCTCCAGTTACTGCATTTTTGTTGCCTTGTACTTGTACATGTGTAATGACAATAAAGTTGAATCTAATCTAATATAATCTAACAGCCAACTGTTAATTAGCGAGAAAAATATGAAAAATCTATCAAAAACAATGCATCAAAGGAAATCACATGTCCAAGACTATGATAAAAGGAAAAGAAATCCAGTCCACAATTACTTTATATTAAAATTGTCATTTTGTGTTTTTTTTCCAACAAATCAATGACATTGTTTATGAATTTGGCAATTAAAGAGTTAAAATCTTATAATTTTCTAAGCAATTTAACAGTTTTGATCAGGATTGAGGTTGATTAACAGATTTTTGCAAGAAAAGTGAGAAAAATATTGATCTGATGCATTTTTACAGCAGTTTTTATTTGTGTATCAATAAACATTGTTGAGCATTTTCTCAAAATGTGTGTCAAAATAAGATTTAAATCATTCAGCTAGCTGAAACACAGACAAAGTTATGGCCGAATCGAGACTCAAAATCACCCCAGGCCGGCAGATAGCTCTCTGCAACTCTAACATGGTCGCCCACTGAAGCTAAGCAGGGCTGTGCCTGGTCAGTACCTGGATTGGAGACCACATGGGAAAGCTTGGTTGCTGCCTGAGGTGGTGTTAGTGAGGCCAGCAGGGGGAGCCCAACCTGTGATCTGTGTGGGTCCTAATGCCCCAGTATAGTGACAGGGACTTTATATTGCTCAGTGAGCGCCTTCTTTCGGATGAGACACTAAACCGAGGTTCTGACCCTCTGTGGTCATTAAAAATTCCCTGGCATCCTGGCTAAATTTGCCCACTGGCCTCTGTCCATCATGGCCTCCTAACCATCCCCATATCATAATTGGCTTCATCACTCCCACCAATCAGCTGGTGTGTGGTGTGCTGTCTGGCGCAAAATGGCTGCAGTCGTATCATCCAGGTGAATGCTTCACACTAGTGGTGGATGAGGAGATTCCCCCTATGTGTAAAGCGCTTTGAGTGCCCAGAAAAGTGCTATATAAGGAATTATTATTATTATGAAAACATCCCCAACAGCACATAAGAGTTACCCAGTCCTCCACATAACACTGATAGCCTAAACCATACTGCTCAAATATAGATCCAAGGGGAAGCATCAACAGTGAGAATGACATGGCTGCTAGAATAGAGGGCACTGCACCGGTCAGCGCTAAAGAGGAGGAGTGAAAATTTGTAACACCACCATGTGTGAATATTAAATCATCAGAGTCGAAGTAGTGTTTTAAGATTTAATTCTCAAAGCAAAAATTAATTGGACAGGTCAGAACAGTAAAAACATCCAGCACGAACTAAACATTTTATAAATGAATGCAATACTTTCTCCGCCAGTATAATCATCAATGCTCTTAAAATCAGCTAGGATTTTATAGAAATCAAGAAGAATAAAACTTTTTGTCCTCAAAACAAAACTCTTCTCAGTTTGTGTTTTTGAAGGCAATGAGTATATCAAACACTGAACAACTACAATTGAAACCAAAAAACATGCTTTTTACGGTCACATGTTAAATTGTGGGAAATGAAGACATCATATTTATGATATGGAAAGCATCTACTTTCCAAATTAAACACATTTCAGGCAAATCAGAAGTTGTTTTTGGCAAAACAATCAGTGTTGAGGAAACACCTCAGTTACTACACCTGCAGGTGATTTGTGGTACTACAACTAGAATATCTCCATATAATAGCTTTAAATTACACTTGAAAAGTCTATTAAACCTTAATTTGACCTTAATTTGATACTAATAATATCTAGTTTGATCATATCAGCAATGTCCATATTGAGTTATTTAGCTTAAAACAATCACAGCTTAATCAGTTACCAGCCAGTGTTTACCTGGATTTGGGAAAAGGGTGTGTAAATGTTTAACAATATGCGTGTATGAAATGGTGGACGTTAAATGGAAGGATGCGTTTCATGTAAGGCAAGGTCTGTATGTGTGTAATTACAGAGGTAATGATGTCAGATTGTTGTTCTGGTTCACTGTGAGCCGTATGAACTCTGGCTGCCCTGCTGTCCTGAGTAGTTCCCGTACTGACCGTAGTACTGGTTCCACTGGCTCTGATTCTGGTAATACTCCTGCCATTGCTGCGCATACTGCAGAAAAAAAGACAAAGCTTCATGAAACAACTACTTTTCAAAAACATTTTTGGCCAACAGGTGAGATATCCGAGAAAGCCAGACAAAATAGGACTGCAGGATGCATTACAGAGGTATATTCACCACATAATAGGCAACCGATTAGAAAATAACTAAATCAAAACTGAGGCTATCTTACCCTAGCCGCCTCATACGCTAACCATTCAACAGTTTAGTTCATGCACAGCAGGAGAGGTGAAATTTTAAAATAATCAAATAATAACTAATAGACCGTGATTTTTCTATTTTAGCCAAAAAGCCTGATAGATTAATTGTTGTGCAATGAAATATAGCTTTACTAGCTGACAAGGAAACACGCATGGACAGTGTATCTACATAATTCATTCATAGAAAGAACAGCCAGAAGGGGGAAATTGATGGAATTGTGTCGAATATTAGCATCATTTACCCATAACAAAGTACACCTATCACCGTCTGTACGTATGTTTGTGCTCTTTATACCGTTTCTAATATAATTTGCAGTTAAGTGGAAGAAATAAATCAATTGAAATGCAAATTAAAGTATGAATAGCAGAAGTGAACAAATAGATTTCCCTTACCAGCAAATATTAATCCGACACTAAATATAAAAGCAGACACTAACCCGCTATAACGTCGTCATCAATAACTAGGTCTCAAAAAGACTGCCGAAAACATGAGTGAATTGTAGCTCTGACATGGACATCAAGGCTTATAAATTACTTAAAAACAGCTGCGAATGAAGTACATTGATCACAAGTGCTCAGATTGGGATCATAGCTCTGTTTTGTACTGTTGATATGTACTATCAAATATTCGTAGCTTGAAACAGATGTAAATATGATTGCTATTAGCATTACTACAATGGCGAAGGTTTAAACAGAACAGTGCTTATAATATCGAGCAAAAAAACTAGAAAAAGACAGCTGTGAAACATAACCTGCTTTGTATTTTTGTAGGAAACACAGTTTAGATTTGTTTAGGGTAAGTGGAGTGTGAGTTATAGCCCCAAAATACAGAGAACAACTTGAAGAGAGAACAGTACCGATAAGTGGTATCATTAAAAGTAGTAATACCGTAAAAACCTTAACAATACCCATCCCTAAACCTAAGTGACATGACACATTTAAAACCTTCATACTGCAGAAAGAAAAGAACTGTTTGAAATACTGGAGACATAAAAGTTCAAGACACCCTGGAGTACTTTTTGAAATGTAAACTGATTTGTGTGTTGAGCATCAGTTTGGACAATGTTAGCACCTGTCAGCTTTAATTGTGAGGAAAATGGTGAATTTTTTCCTTATGCTGTCAGAGCTGATACAGCAAATCTGTTGGTTTGCAGCTAGAATTTTTGCCAGGAGAGCTGTACATAAATCCGAGAATGGCAGACTTGTCTTTTATCAGTTGAGTTTGTTTTTAATCAGACACATCGCCTGTATCCATGCTGCTGTGTTCCCCTACGTTTGAAATTCTCCAGATTACTGGCAGGACTAATGGTTGAATTAGACAGGGTAAGAGACGTGCTGCACTGCTATTCACTGTCTCTGCAATTAGACTTGGGAATTCAGAAGTAGAGAAGCCCTCCTCGTTTATAGTGTTTATATAAACATGATTATCTTTATAATGATTTAACAGATTGTGTTTATGTGTATATGAAATTATGAATAACATATGTGGCAGGACATTAAATTACTATTTATTTCTTTGCATTTTAACTTTGTAAGCTATAAATTATGGGTCTCCTCACAGTTTGTGTCTCATTATGCAAGCCAAATGACAGTTGTTCACTCCCTTCTTTTCCCCCACACTCCTCCCTCTGCTCGCAACGCTCCATGCCCATTTTGAAGCATTTTTTTTTTAAAGAATTCTGAGGTAGACTTGAAGCCTAAGAGGGGGGTTTCATGACCCTTAAAGCCAGTTCCTTTGACACCAGCTACCACACAAGAGTCCAGTAACTGATACAACATTTTAAGTGGTAATTTCAACTGCCAATTTTAAATGTGTGTGTACAAAGACGTCTTTTCTGCCGCTACCAGTTAACTGATGCATTTTTTGTAACAAATCACCTAAATGTAATTTGTTTGCCATTACTTTTAGTATTCTTCGAAATCAGAAAGGATTCACAGTAACTGACCTGTTGATACTGCTGATTATAGTTCTGCTGGTTGTAGGATTGTCCAGATCCTTGATTGTCCTGATACCCTTGCCCATATCCTGGGTACTGATTATAGTTGCCATAGTTGTAGCCTTGGTTGTAATTTCCTTGGCCATAGCTGCTCTGGTTGCCCTGGTTGTAGCCTTGATTATAACCCTGAGGATGATGATATGTGGAAACAAAAACACAGACAAATATAAAATAAAACAGAATGCAAAGAAAAAAGGGCTATGTCAGAAAGCTTAGTGGGCTGACTTGTTGCCTCGCTGCACTGTCAGGAAGTGACTCTAAAGCAGGGGTCACCAATCTCGTTCCTGGAGGTCCAGTGCCCTGCTGGGTTTAGCTCCAACTTGCCTCAACACACCTGCCTGGGTGTTTTAAGTATAGCAAGTAAGACCTTGATTAGCTTGTTCAGGTGTGTTTGATTAGGGTTGGAGCTAAAATCTGCAGGACATCGGCCCTCCAGGAACAAGTTTGGAGATTCCTGCTCTAGAGGCAGCGTTTATGAAAACACCTCCATGGTTTCCACTACATTCATACTTCCATGGCGGGGCGCCTTGCCAAAATTGATCCCACCACGGCAACATTACAGCTTTTCATCCAAAACATTCAGCTGTGTTTTTATAATAGCGGGTGATAATCGCAATAAAATGTATTAAAAGGTAACTTTTCTGTAACCGTAGAAGTGTTGTGCACTATTTATTTAACCCTTTAAGGTTACGTGCTGACTGAGTGACTGGCTGACTGACAGGTGCGTGATGCGTGAGGCCATTTCACTTTACTTTAGCACGCATTAATGCCGCTCTGTAGGTTTATTGTAGATATTCGTAAATATTCCTAGCAAATCTAACAAATGTATATATACTTGTTACATAAACGCACTAAATTGGACTTAAGCAGTGTTTATTTGAGAGCGCACAAGAAGATCTGCGCTTGAGCAGCACATATTTGAGGAGGCATGCAAAAAGTTTTGAGCACGAACAGAGGAAATCGGCACGCAAGCAAAGAGATTTGCATGCTCGTAGATTATTACATAAATGCGATCTAATACTGCGCACACGACATTTGTCTTTGAAATAATGCCACAGGTAGTTGGTAGATCTGTGTAAAAAAGGCCTGCCGCCACAGTTGGAAAAAATCCTACAGGAAACACTGAACTCATAATATGGATTTCAGACAGACTTCTGGAGGCAGCATAATTATTTAATCCCATACAACAAAAAAAGTTTTGTTGATATTACATGGATATTTGCTTACTACAACAGTAACTAGAAGTGCCTAGAAATGCCATCAAAATATCCAAAACATGCATTTAAATACAAAGTGAAACCCAAGCATCACTTCAACATGCCATGTTTTTTTTTCTTTTAGCTCAAATGTGAGAAATAGAACACAAATAGTGAAGAATATTTACATGCTGCCTTCAAAATTGGATCAAAAGAAGACCGGAAATGAAACCGAGTTTGGATTCAGATGTACCTTGACGTCTTCCTACTATGGCTGCATGATACTGGAAAATCTAACATTGCAATATATAATTTGATTTAAATACATATTTAGCAGATAACTTGAATATGTTTATTTAAAGAAAATTTCTAAATACATAAAATACAGTGGTTCCTCACTATGAGGTGGTTCACTTTTCCATTTCACTTTACTTTAGCACGCATTAATGCCGCTCTGTAGGTTTATTGTAGATATTCGTAAATATTCCTAGCAAATCTAATAAATGTATATATACTTGTTACAAAAACGCACTAAATTGCACTTTCGCAGTGTTTATTTGAGAGCGCACAAGAAGATCTGCGCTTGAGCAGCACATATTTGAGGAGGCATGCAAGAAGTTTTGAGCACGAACAGAGGAAATCGGCACGCAAGCAAAGAGATTTGCATGCTCGTAGATTATTACATAAATGCGATCTAATACTGCGCACACGACATTTGTCTTTGAAATAACACCACAGGTAGTTGGTAGATCTGTGTAAAAAAGGCCTGCCGCCACAGTTGGAAAAAATCCTAGAGGAAACACTGAACTTATAATATGGATTTCAGACAGACTTCTGGAGGCAGCATAATTATTTAATCCCATACAACAAAAAAAAGTTTTGTTGATATTACATGGATATTTGCTTACTACAACAGTAACTAGAAGTGCCTAGAAATGCCATCAAAATATCCAAAACATGCATTTAAATACAAAGTGAAACCCAAGCATCACTTCAACATGCCATGTTTTTTTTTCTTTTAGCTCAAATGTGAGAAATAGAACACAAATAGTGAAGAATATTTACATGCTGCCTTCAAAATTCGATCAAAAGAAGACCGGAAATGAAAGCGAGTTTGGATTCAGATGTGCCTTGATGTCTTCCTACTATGGCTGCATGATACTAGAAAATCTAACATTGCAATATATAATTTGATTTAAATACATATTTAGCAGATAACTTGAATATGTTTATTTAAAGAAAATTTCTAAATACATAAAATACAGTGGTTCCTCACTATGAAGTGGTTCACTTTTCGCAGCCTCGCAGTTTTGTGGATATATTTTCGCGCAAATTGACATGCTTTTCTTTTTTCAGCGCATTTTGTTCTGCGTTCTGATTGACTGTAGACCATTGTCTATCAATCTCCTCTGTGCCGTGTCTCGTATAGTAAATAAAGCATTCAGCTTGCCAAATTTACATTAATCTTCGATCGCTAGCAGTGTGACTTTGAAGTGCTGTACTGTATGTTTGCAAGTTTTCACCCCACAATGTTGACAAAACATTCTGCACTGTCAAAGGCACCTGCAGTCGCACCCACTAGGCAGAGAAAGATGCTAACCATCGCACAACAAGTTAAACTTCTGGACATGCTACAGGAAGGTAGAAGTTATTTGGCTGTAGGGCACCATTACAGAATAAATAAGTGAAGATCAACCATTTTTGATCTTAGGTTTTATTCCATCATACTGGACTTATTTCTCTATGAACGCTTGAACTTTGAGACTGTTTAACGAATAGAGAAAAGTGTGAAAATGTTAATGGCTGTCTAAGAAAAGTGTATGAAGTGTGTAGTGAGGTATTTACAGCCAAAAACATCTATGATAACTGTAAAAAAGTAAAGCTGACTACTTTGCGGATTTCACATATGTCGGATTAATTTTAAAACATAACTCCCGCGAATAACGAAGCACCACTGTATAATAAACATTCTACAAGCATGGATCAATAAAATAAAAAAAAGATTCAAAATAGAAACTCAGCATATCCTGCAATGTGAATATTGTAAATGATCACATGTGATATTGATGCTGAAGCGATATATTGTGCAGACATATTTTCTACCTTGGAATGCTGGAATACTTTTTTTAATCCAATAAAAACAAACAAATAAAACATACAAACTAAACAATTCAATAAGCAAAAACAAAAAAATATTTTTACAAAAAAAACAAAACAAAATTTAACAAAAAAAAAACATTTTATAAATAAACAAAGAAATTAATAATAAACATATAAAAACGAATCCAAAACAAAAAAAGAAAAGATCAAACACACGTTAAAAAAATACAAACAAACATCTTATGCAACTAAATATTTGTCACAAATAAAAACTGATAAGCCACATAAAGCACTCACTTGACCATATCCCTCTTTGTTATAAGAGCCATAGCGACTATTATTGTAGTTTCCTCCAGTTTGATGGCTGCTGCTGCTGCTGTATCCGTCTCGACTGTCTCTGTAATTCCCTCCCCAGCGGTTCTGACTGTAGCCATCACGATTATAACCTGACCAAAACGCAAAGCAAGAAAATGACTAATGACAGAGCAGTCAAAACTGAATCAGATTGCATGAGAGCTAATAAGTTCAACTGACCTCCTCCGCTGTAGCCTCCTCCAGATCCTCCTCTGCTCTGATGGCCTCCTCTTGATCCTCCATGACTGTCGTACCTCTGGTTGTTGTTGTTTTCACGTCTTCTGTCTCCCCAGCTGTTGAAGCGTTTTTCAGGAGGAGGTCCAGCCTTCCGACCTTCCTCATTGTAGCGTTTGATCAAGTCTCGAGCTTCGTCTCTCTGCAGCTCGATGAACATCACTTCATCCAGGAAATCTCCCGCCTCTGGCAGCACAAAGTTGGCTTTGGAGCCATGAAAAAAAAAAAGCAGATCGATTCAATTTTAAACTTGACAAAATGCCACTGTTCCAAAACAAACTCTTTATTCATATTAAACAGTAAACGTATAAATCGTGGGAGATGCTCAACACTATTGCAAACCAAGCTCTACATCCAGAAAAAGAGTGTGATTTTTTTTAAACGTGTGACTAAGATGTGCATGATAATATTAGCTTGAGAGCTAAACATGTGCATCAACACATTAAAAGTGGAATTCGGCTTTATTTAAACGTGTCCTTATTAATAAAATAATAATAACAATAATAATAAAAATGACTTAAAGGGATAGTTCACCCCAAAAATAAAAATTCTGTCATCATTTCCTTCACACCTTTCACTTGTTCCTAACCTCACTGAGTTTCTTTCTTCTAGTTTACAGAAAGAAAGATATTTTGAAGAATGTTGGGGAAAAAAATACTATTGGATTCAATATTACTTTCCAATATGGATATCCATGATTGCTGGTTTCCAACATTCCTCAGAATATTTTCTTAAGTGTTCAATAGAAGAAAATAAAAAGTTTAGAACTACCCCAAAAGTTTAGAGTGCACATAAATGGTGAAGATAATAAAATTTTTGGTTGAACTGTGCCTTTAAATCTTACATTTTAACAATGATTTACATAAGACCCTCATTAAAATGACTTTTCAAATGATCTTGTCTGCCATATTTATAAAAACAAATAGGGATGCTCCGATCAGAACTTTTGGAGAAGATACTGAGTAATGATTCTTCGTAATGGTGATTGGTTGATGTAGAGTACAGATTCTGGCGACGCAGTGGCATTTGCCTCATATTCATCACAATGAGCAAAGTGAATTATTTTTTATTACGTAAAAGTCAAAGAAATTCAAGATGAAAAATAAAACACCATGACAAACAAAACTGTAGGTTGGCAACAGCCTCAAAACACATTTTACAAGTTCACACTTCAAACCACAAGGTTTTACCCACTTGTTAGCAAGAAGTTTATTTATACTGTATATATAACAAAGTTTACCAGAGCAAGAAACACAGTATAACAATATAAACACAGTATTTCTTAGTATATGTTGTCTTTTTTTCTTTTCGTTTGCATAAAAGCGGTTATAATAATAATAATAATAAAACAAAAAATAAAATATTACAAGTTATAAGGTCAATTTAATATAAAAACACAAGCTAGTTTAAATTGCACTTTAAGCTGAATATAATAGTATCTTGCAAAATAACCAGTAAAATATTCTATCCTGTCATCATGCAATAAAAAAATAAACTAGCTATTAGAAATAAGCTGTTAAAAGTCTAAACATTAGAAAAAAAAAAATCACTTAAAAAATATTTAAAAATGAATTAAAACTTTTACAGTAGGACACATTTTTTTTGCCTCCAACTGTGTATAAAAACCACTTTCATAAACTTAAGTTGAATGTTAAATGAATGTCATGCTCAGTTTGTAGCATCCCATTTTTCATTTTTATTCTTTAATGCGTTCCTATTTTAATTACAAATAAAGATTAAATAAAATTTTGCAGACCTATTTAGTGATTTATGATGTTGTTTTTTACAGCAGAGTTCCTACCTTTCATTTCTAAAACGGCTTGATCGGGCACATCTTTCCCATCCTCAGCTTGCTTACACCTTCGTTCCTTTAAATCCTCATCCCTCGGGCAAATTACAACAGCCTTACGGTGAAACCCTTCAAAAGGGCGCATCTTTCGTCTCTGGGCTGATCCATATACATTTGTCTAGACAAAGTGACAAAAGAGAAGTAGAAGCAGTTGATTATTGTGGTTGTTTTTGTGTTTTGTTTATTTATTTTTTGTTCATCCCAGCTCTGATTTATCTTTAAAAAAAATCAACCCTGCAATAGAATCCAAACAGAAGTCTATGAAACCCAGCATACTGGAACAAAAATCTTATTAGAGACTCTTTGTAATAAGGTTGGAAAAATGTAAAACTATTAAGACCACTGTAAAAACAAAACAAAATATAGCTGCAAGCAATGTAGGAGGAGTTAGAAAAAGTAGGTTTTTGCCTATAGGCAAGATGGCAGGCAGAACGTTCAGTTATTTAAGGCATAATTAGTATCGATCTTATACCCAAGAAATGTATGAAGACAACTATTATAACAATGGGCAAAATTAGTCAAAAGTTATTAGCACTTTTATAAATATCGTTATAACATTTGACCAAAAGGTAGCACTGCGGCAAAACTTTGAGCACCTTCAGGTCAGAGTCCTGAAAGCACATACTGACTTTCATAACAATTCAAAAATGTGTCCATAAAATATGTGCTGCGTCCGAAACCACATACTTCCATACTATATAGTACACTAAAATCAGTATGTGAGCCGAGAAGTATGTCTGAATTCATATAATTCGAAAATCAGTAGGTGAGAAGTACGCGGATGACCTACTACTTCCGGCGAGATTGTGGAGTGCGCATCACATGCACACTGCGCTATCTCATGATGCCCCGTGAGAGAATTCATAAATGGGAGTAAAGCAACGCAACTGACGCAGGTAGGTCACATGACCATGGCAAAATGGCAGATGTACAGTTGAAGTCAGAATTATTAGCCCCCCTGTATTATTAGCACCCTTGTTTATTTTTTCCCCAATTTCTGTTTAATAGAGGGAAGATTGTTTCAGCACATTTCTAAACTTAATAGTTTTAAAAACTTATTTCTAATAACTAATTTATTTTATCTTTGTCATGATGACAGTAAATAATATTTTGCTTGATATTTTTCAAGACACTTCTATGCAGCTTAAAGTGACATTAAAAGGCTTAACTAGGTTAATAAGGTGAACTAGGCAGGTTAGGGTAATTAGGCAAGTTATTGTATGATGATGGTTTGTTCTGTAGACTATCGAAAAAAAATTAGCTTAAAGGGGCTAATAATTATGTCCCAAAAATGTTTTTTTAAAAATTAATAACTACTTTTATTCTTGCCAAAATAAAACAAATAAGACTTTCTCCAGAAGAAAAAATATTATCCGACATACTGTGTAAATGTCAATGCTCTGTTAAACATCATTTGGGAAATATTTAAAAAAGAAAATAAAAATGAAAAGGGGGCTAATAATTCTGACTTCAACTGTAGTACGTTCGAATTCCATTCATACTTTTCATATTCATACTGTATAGAACATACTTTTCTAACGGCCGAGTAGTACATTTAAATTCAAATGCAGTACCTACTGAGTTTCAGACGCAGCCATAGTAATTTTTAACATAATTCAAAATGTCCGACGGTCAAAATGGCTGACCTGGGAAAATCAGACATCATTCGGCATGCTCTGCCAGACGTAAAGAGAGCAATTTTATGAAGTCTAGACTAAGGGTTGAGAAATTATAAGCAAAAAAAAAAGTTTTTTTTGTATCTCCAGACCATTAGGGGGTAGTGCACTGAAATGCGCCAACTCATTTTAAACCATGGTTGTGATAACACACACCAAGTTTGATGCAAATACTTCAAAATGTTACAGAGATAACACCTTAAGTCAATTTTGACAAGCTTTACACTAAATTTGTTCACAAGTTAATCGAAAACGGTTTGTCTAACCTACTTAAATTCAATAACTTTTGGTCAGCATCATCTGGAGATCATGTGATTCAAATTTGCTGAAAATCGAACAAACAGCCTAGAACGAGTTTGATTAAATAGGTTTTGCAAAAAATTCCAAGGAGAGAAATTTTGATTGTAGTCCAGTCGGTTCAAAAGTTAAACAATTGAACAATAAACAATTGAAGCTTGTTGGGTTCATAGCGCTGCCATAGACTCCCAGAGCAGAAGAAGAAGAGGAAGAAGCCGGAAGAATAATAATAAGAACCGGAATAGATACAATAATGTGCCTACGCACCTTCAGCGCTTGGCCCTTAATTATATGAAGTAAAAACTATCACAATATTCTTTTGAATTTTAAAATAAAAACCTTCCTTATAGATGTTTCTTTTTTTGTAACGTTAATACAATACTCAGTTAAGAAAGTGTGAAAATGTGTTTTAACTAAATTCTTGCCGTGTCATGGATAAGAAACATAATGGAAAACCATGGCGTGATGTCTTTAACAACATGTTTGATGTCATAAAGATAGTGGAACTTGCAACTGGTTTCCAAAAACAAGAGCATAACAAACTATGGCCAAATACCAAATAGTACCTAAACTCTCCCACATTATGAGAGGCTGACTGCTAAATTTTTGCTGTGTCATTGACAGAAAACAAGTCAGAATACACTGTGCTTTTTCCATCAACCATTTGTCTTCTTTAATAATATGTGATGTCATGTCAACTACCAAGACACCTTACGTCAAACACACTTGCTATTAGGAAAAAACAACATAAAAAAACAACAATACATTTAAAAATAATAATTTAATAAAAAATAAGAATAAATAGAACATTTGAACTATTTAAGCAAGTAGAGTACTTAAGAGACTGATATGTACACTCCAGTTACTGATATATATTTATATATACTTTTAAGATACTAATATGGAAATTTTAGATACAAAGACAAACTTACAAAGGTAATATTGCCGTTTTAATATGGTTTCATACAGTGTATGATAACAGACATTCATGACAGCTACACTCAAAAACAAAATTGCTGGGTTCTTGTAACCAATGTTGGGTCACAGTTGGACAAACCCAACTGTTGGGTTAAAGTCATATCACCCTGCAGCCCAAGACCGGTTACCCATTGAAGCTAAGCAGGGCTGAGCCTGGTCAGTACTTGTATGGGAGACCACATGGGAAAACTAGGTTGCTGTTGGAAGTGGTGTTAGATAGGCCAGCAGGGGGTGCTCAGCCTGTGGTCTGTGTGAGTCCTAATGCCTCAGTAAAAGTGAAGGGGACACTACACTGTCAGTGGGCGCTTTCGGATGAGACATTAAAATGAGGTCCTGACTCTCTGTGGTCATTAAAAATCCCATAGCACTTCTCGTAAGAAGTAGGGGTGTAACCCCAGTATCCTGTCCAAAGTCCCTCAATCGGCCCTTATGATCATGGCCTCCCAAATCATCCCCATCCCCCGAATTGAATCACGGTTTATCCACTCCCCCAACAGCGGGTGTGTGGTGAGCACACTGGCGCTGTTGTCCTGTGCCTGCCGTCGCATCATCCAAGTGGATGCTGCACACTGGTGGTGCTGTGAAGAGACCCCCCTCATGATTGTAAAGTGCTTTGGGTGTATGGCCATACACAATAAATGCGCTATATAAATACACAATACAAAAAAAAATAAAATAAAATACACATTACAAAGTGTCATTTAAATTTATCTTAGGCTAGAGATGCAGTCTAGTACCAGGTTGAACCTCCTTTTGCCTTCAGAACTGCCTTAATCCTTCATGGCATAGATTCAACAAGGTACTGGAAATATTCCTCAGATATTTTAGTCCATATTGACATGATAGCATCACACAGTTGCTGAGATTTTTCAGCTGCACATCCATGATGTGAATCTCCCATTTCACCACATCCCAAAGGTGCTCTATTGGATTGAGTTCTGGCGACTGTGGAGGCCATTTGAGTACAGTGAACTCATTGTCATGTTCAAGAAACCACTCTTAGATGATTCGAGCTTTATGACATAGCCCATTATCCTGCTGGAAGTAGCCATCAGAACATGGGTACACTGTGGCCATAAAGGGATAGACATGGTTAGCAACAATACTCAGGTAGGCTGTGGTGTTGACACATTGCCCAATTGGTATTAATGGGCCCAAAGTGTGCCAAGAAAATATCCCCCACACCATTACACCACCACCAGCCTGAAATGTTGGTACAAGGCAGGATGAATCCCTGCTTTTTAAGTTGTTGATGTCAAAGTCTGACCCTACCATCTGAATGTCGCAGGAGAAATCAAGACTCAAGAAATTGTAGCCTCAGTTTCCTGTTCTTAGCTGACAGTCTTGACCATGTCTACATGCCTAAATGCATTGATTTGCTGCCTTGGAATCGGCTGATTAGAAATTTGTGTTAACGAGCAGTTGGACAGGTGTACCTAATAAAGCTTCATTAAGCTTTTTTAATGCAAAATTAATTTAAATAGCCAATTATGCCACAGGATGATAAAAGTTATTTCTTAATAAGGAACTGGATAGCTAAACACTCTTGACACATGAACGTGTAAATACTGTACAAAAAGCCTACAACAAATGTCGAACTATATTCTGAATATGGAATGTCATACTAAATAACTTGTATAATTGACATTAACTATCATTTAATTTTATGTGATTTTGCTCACATGGCTGATAATTGAATATGAATTAGATGATGTCATTACGCTGCTGTCCTGCCACAGTAATCTGTCCTTCACAGCAAACTCAAGCACAATCTCTAATCTTTTACTGATTCACAAATTTCATTGAAAAAACAAATTATAAGGAAAACCAGGATCTGACTAATCATCTTAGCTCGTTTAAGCGAGGTACAACAAACTAACCAAAGAGAGCTAGTACAGAAAACACTCTGACACACTGTTTGTTTACACTCCTGTTTCTAAGGCCCCGTTTACACTAATGCGTTTTAGTTTGAAAACGCATAAGTTTTGCTACGGTTACGCCATCCGTCCACACTACGCCGGAGTTCTCGAGCGCCGAAAACGGAGCGTTTCAAAAACGCTGGAGAGGGCGTTTTCATTCTAAAACGCTGCAGCTCCGTCTCAGTGTGGATGGGGAAAGACGGAGATATCTGAAAACGGAGGCGGGACTGCAGACATTCGCCTCTCTGATTGGGGCTTTTCCTCAATATTAAGTAGCCTAACACACAGTTCAGTCCTGAATCTTCTCCGTGTAAGTTCAGACTTCGCAAGTTTGATCAAGGCTGCATCTCTTCTTCTCAGTTTGATATGGAAAACATACCGAGGACACGCGTCAATCTTCACAGGGAACAGTGTACTTTATAACTTCATTCACATCACCTTGGCTACGTTGTTTCACTTTCTCAACAATAAAATGTAAACTTGATATAAGGAACTGCCTATTTTTATTTTAATATTAACAACTAAACAGACAGCAGAAATGTTGAGGCGTCGTGCTGCATGAGCGTCATCTTCACTGTGTGCATATTTATAACAAAACGGAGCCGATAACAACTGCCTCCTTTCAATTTCAGTGAAAATACGAAACACACCCTCTCTTTTGCTGAATATCAGTTTTAATAATCGATAATGGCCATTATAAAAGTATAACATACAATAAGTTTATACATTATAGGAAATAAAGGCAAGCGATCAGTCAATATACAGAATGTAGGCTATGTGCTTACATTAATCATTAACTTATCTTTGCGCTCAGCCAAAACACGTTACCTGAGAACAAGTAATAGATTCCAGTGACCAAAGTCAGGGAATATGTCGTTAGATAAAGACAACAAGATGAATGAAATATCACGTTTAATAAATATAGTGAGATTAGATCCAGCGGGAGATGCTTGATGAGAAGTCCGACTAGCAGAGCTCTCATCTGGGTAGATGGGCTCCAGCGATTGCCAAAGTGTGTGTGTGTGGTCACGTGATGTGCGTTTTCAGCGATTTGGTGTGGACGGAGAGCAGTTCAGAAACGCTGGGTAAAACGTGAGTGTGGACGCGGATCGTTTTCATTCTAAAACGCCGTTTTAAAACTAATACGCACTAGTGTAAACGGGGCCTAAATCTGCCTTCTCAATCACATTACTCATGTTGTCAAAGACAGCAAGCGATGACAGTTCACAGAGCAATGTGTAGTCTGACATATAAAAAAAACTGTTGTAACAGAAAAAAATATACTGTGTAACAAGTAAACAGTTTTACTAGTCTAAAAGTGTCTCTCATTCACTAACGTATGTTTTTGTGTGGATTTCACTCAACAGATACAGTATTTGTTTATGAACAGTCTCAGCATGCTGAGTGTGATTGTAAAACTCAACTACCTCACAAACAAGAGCAGCTCTGAAAAGCTGAAAAGGTTGGTTTTACCTCTTACCTAGTTACTAACACAAACATCAACAACCCACAGGAAAAGTGCTGTCTCTTTAAAACCAAGGTTATTTTTTTTATAATTAACACAGCGACGCAGGGAATTTTTTCTTACTCACTAGTATGAGATTACTCAAAATCTTAATAGAGTCAAAGGCAACCAATACATGACAACAGAGGCTCACAAAATAACTCAAATGTAATTGGAAATGCAAAATGATTCAAATGCTTAAAAAAAAAAACAGAAAAAAAAACATCACATTGACACTTCAGTCCAATCCATCAATTATTGCTTCTTCTACTCTATCATTTTGTGGCACCCTGAAAGACAATACTATTATATATAAATAACAAGCTAGAAGTACATAACTGGCAGTCTGGCATGTCTTCTCTGGGTATAATAAGGAAATATTTGCAGTACCTGATCCAATATGTAGTTGCGCTTTTTGTGGGAGGCGATCTGAAGTAGTCGGTTCAGACACTGAGTGGCCTGCTGAATCAGGATGTCCCAGCGGCCGGCATAGTTCCGCTGGCGACGCAGTCCCATCACCTACAATAACATCATAACAGACCTCTAAGTGAAAGGCCTCTTGTAAAAACAATAATACTGTAAAGCTATTCTAAACACTGCTTCCTTTTAAAAGGAAACAAACTAATTTAAAATCTTACCGAACTTAACTTTTGAAAAAAAATGTGTTTTTTAAGAAAAAGTACTCTAAATTTGTATTAAACATTAGTCAAAATACAAATAAGCCTGTTTCTTTTTGGTTTTCACTTGACTCTTCTTTTTTTCTTCAAAAGTTAAAGATTCTAATCAGATGATCTTACCTTCATTTTCTCCATGATGGCATTTGTGCCCAGGATGTTAAATCTTTTGTCCGGGTTCATCTCAGCATGTTTAGCAGCCCATGTGGTTTTACCACAAGCAGGAAGGCCAACCATCATCAGGACCTTCAGACAAATGTGATACTCTTTAGATTACACACTAATTAGTGAGATATGCATCGTATTGTTAAATGAGCATACACTATAGATAAAGTGGAGATCAAAATTAGATTAACTTTCTAAATTTAAAGCTCGATTCCATTTAAGTTATGCTAATATATTCCGATCCTCTCAGTTATTAGTGTAACTCTGACACCTGGTGGTAAATTCCTTAATTTTCTGACAAACCCTGTTTAATTTTACTGGTTTCACTAAGCAGGATGGTGAGACATCGTAAAGTGACTGAAACCCTTCAAAGAAATAAGCCTCAAACAGATCAAAATAAAAAAGATTTATTACAAACCTGTGATTTCAAAACATTTTGTATCTTTACAATAGCCCATTTCTAACAAGAATACTATTGAACTGTCGAAAAATTACTAGGAAATAGAGAGAGGTGCAATCAAAAATGTGCCGTTCACATTTTTTATGTCATTAGTTTAGAACATTTACTGGTAATGTCAACTTCTCATTCTGGAAATTTACTGAACAAAACTTATGGCAAGAGGTCTGTTCACACATTATCTTAATTCAATGGAAATTTTCCAGAAAAGTCAGTGTGTGTGAAAGAAGTGACTGTCACAAAATCATTCAAGTCCCTCAAAAGTTGGTCGTCCACAAAAGGTGATGGAAACTGCAAATTCCTTAAAGTTTTTACACTGGCTTGAGTGGTTTTGAACTTGTGCAAAAAAGGATTGAAGTGAATAATGGAAGACAGAAATGCATTTGCAGAATAAACTCTTCAAAGAGTAACTAGTGCTGTTGCTTGGCCACAGATTGCTGAAGTTATTCAAAGCAAGGGCCTGAACACTTCCTAGTAATATTTCTAGTAGTAAATAGTTCTCCTATTTTGGTCACTTCGTTTTCAATAAAATAAAGTTATTATTTACTTTATTTATTTATTATTTACAGTGTCATGGTGTGTTTTATAAAACACTGTCCTATTAAGCACAGTGTAGAAACTCTTAAAAATTAAGAAGATTATTATGAAAATGATGACGCAGTTTTTCTGATAAAGATCAAGTGTTCATAAACTGTTTTCTAACTTTGATCTCTATTGTGTAAATTCTGTCAGACTTTGAGAAGAATGTTAAGATTTGCCTTTAGATGACATTATATGAATGCACTGCAAAGACAACATAAAACATCAAATCTAGTGATCACACAACCTTTTTAAAAAAATTACCTGACAATCAGATTTGCTGCTTGGACCTACAGTGCCTCTGACCCTGTTCTCCAAGCTGACGTCTCCGATGAAGGAGTAGCCATCTGGCAATGGAAAATAAGGCTCCTCCCGTTGGCCAAAGTTGAACTCGACAGCGCAATTCTTCACCAGAACATGAGGAAACAGGGCCTGACCAGCCAGCTCTTCTTTAGACACACGAAAAGCCACATCAAGCCATTTCCCATTCTTTGAGAAAGCCATTTCCACCTGTTCATGGCTGTCAAAATCCTGCAAACAGCACAAACATACGAGACTGTTTATCCATCATGTCCACTATTTCAGGTAGGATTGTGTTTATCATTTAGTTTTCTTTCATTCCAATGTATGATGTTGCCTAGCTAGACAGCATTTTAAGTTGACAGTACATACTAGGTCCTACCAACTGTGGGAATATAAATTTAGATTCCAAAGTAATGCAAAATGGACTTCTAGAAGACGCTGTATAAATGCAGATTAACCAACATATCTCAAAAAAGAAATTCTGCTTGTTTCGAGTCTCCTGGACTGGGCTCTCTTCTCTTCTTTTTCATAATTTATTTTTTTCAACACAGATAATGTTTAATTAAATTAAAATTATAGCATGTTGTGAGATTTTTTTGTATTTTTATGCTCAGGGTATTTTGTTATACAAGAAGCATGTTTTTAGTTTAGCAATATGCATAACACACAATTTAGCTGAAATACAACAGTGAGCTGTACTCTCTGTGTAATCTGAAATTGCTGTGATGTGCTCTAGAAATTCTAGGATATTTCTTTAAGGAGGTGTGATGCATTTTACATGCTTTCTCCAGTAAATTGTAGGTAAATGTGTAAAATAAACAGTAAAAATTATATACATTTTGACAAAATAAACATTTAAAAGCTGTTTTCATCTGTTTAATATTGTTGCTACAAATCTGTACACTACACCAGTGGTTCTCAAAGTGGGGGTCGGGACCCCACGAGGGGTCGCAGGACAATGAAGGGGGGTCGCCTGGTGATTTCCAAAAATCTATTTATTTTTATTAAACAATATGAATGACCATATATTATCCATAACCTACTGAAGAGAAAAATTTTTTATTTATAGTTACTATATACTATACAGTTACTATAGTAGCTTATATTATTATTGGATTGCGGGTAATTACATTATATTAAAGACAGCAATAGCGTCAGATGCAGCAGATTGATTTTATAACACCAAGTTAAACTTTCTGGCACATTTACAGCACTTACATACATTTAAAAAAATTAATTGAAGAATAGACTTGGGTCTATTGGTGTGTGTGCCCCATTGCATGCCAGGTTTCTGTACTTATAACCACCTCAGAGGATATTGGGGGTCGCAAGTCACTGGCATTTTCATTTTGGGGGGCACGGGCTGAAAAGTTTGGGAACCCCTGCACTACACAACGATCCCTTTCAAACCAAGAGGCTTTCTACTGATTATGAAATTGTGAAAAATTACCAAATGAAATGAACTAGACAGCAGAAAATCAGCTATCAAAATGCTATCAAGCAACTTTCTCATTGTGCTAATTCCAAATGAAAATGACTCATTTTGGCGGACATTGCCTTTCAGAAAATAAAATTAAACAGTAAAGAGTTATTTAATTATAAAGACTAAAAGCTGTATCTATGATACTTCATTCAGTAGCCGTTAATGCTTGATGAAGGGAGTGCCTGAAGCTTCACATTAATGTTACTGTCATGGTGATGACCGCCAATGACATTCAGCTTGGCCCAGGGGTTGTAGTAGTAGTAGTAGCTGTATATAAAGATGTACATGAAGATTGATAATGAAGAACTAGGTAATTATTACCAACCGTACAACAAATTTTTCCTCTATTTTGACATATTTTGCTGGCAAAACATGAACATGATTAGCTAGCATATGCACTTGTATTTGTAGAAAGCAATCTGATTGGCTGATGCCTTTTACTATATTTGTGTTTGAACAGTTTATTTTACAAATTCTGCTGTGAGCAATGGACCCAACGAGACTCATCAAAATCACAATTCATTTTGCCAGTGCTTGACATCACTCCGTTGAAGGTAATTGAAAGAAATTGAGAAGTGTTATCGCTAATGCTCTGTGCGAACAATAAAACAGCTACTAAGATGACAGATTCAATATTCAAAGCAAAAAAGCAGAAAAAAATTAATAGCACTTACAATATAACATCCAATGATATCGCCTTCACCAAATTTCTCTCCATAGTCTCCAAATTTGTAATTGGTAGACTTTTTTCCTGTTCCTCCATAGCCATAAGAGAACGCCTCCTCTCCTGAAAGAAGCCATTTCACATATGTTAGAATCAAGAAAGACCATTCATTTGATAAATTGCCATTGACTATGATTGTATGTGTTTGTTTTACCAAGCTGTGTGCTGCAGGAATCCAGAGACCAGCCCACTCTCACAACATGAGGGTCAGGCTCACTGCTGGGAAGATGTTTTACTGATATATACTCCTTTACCTGAAAAATAAAGTGCCATGATACTAATCATGTTGATAATGTTGTAATGACTTTGGATGTGCAATATTGACCAAAAGGAAATGAATCTAAACACATTGTGAGACTAGATTTTTAATTAGAATTATTATTTTCTTTTTTTAATTAACTTTATTCTCTATTGGATATTACCTTTAACTCATAGCAAACACGTCCCTTGTTTACTCCATATGTAGCACGTGCTCCAGACCAGAGGTAAGCAAACCCTTCAATGGTTAAAGGATAGCCGCTGCAGTGGTCAGGAGAGACTTTGAAGTGCAAATCACTGTTATCTGTTAAGGTGAGTAAAGAAAATGACAAGTTTATTTCAAAGTTATTCCAAATCCTAATTAGACCAAACATGTGTTCACATACAAGTATCAATGGCCACCAGCGTGTCATCAAAATCTTCATCGTCCTCTTCGGCAGAAGGCTGAGGTGACCGGGACCTTTGATTAAAAAAATAAAAATAAAAAAGTTGTAAATCACTTATTAGTCTACATTAAGTAATGATCTGGATGATGTAGAAATAAAATAGTGATGCACCATTCTTGATTTTTCATGGACAATAAAAATAAATAAATAAATAAATAAAACATTGAATACAGTATAAATTTAAAACCAAATACAGCTTCCTTAGCTTTGTAATATTCTGTTACATAAAATATGCCTGTGCAAAAAAAAACAAAAAAAACAATCAAACAAAAAGAAACATTAGACAGGTTGAATAAAAATTTGAATTCGCTCGGCCAGCAGATGACGCTTGTAACATGAAATAGTTTTAGGACATTTTCATGTGCATTTTGTTAGGAAAGCCGGTTCTGTAATCTCCAACACCTCTTTTCAGATAGAGCAGCATTTACTACACAGAGAAGCAGTTCAGTGACAAAGATATGGGAAAAAAATAATAATAATAAATTACAGAAGATTTAATAATTTGTGATGCTGAAATAGAGGATAATCATTCTGTGATATTGGTGTCTAACATAAATGCTTGATGATATGTTTATTAGTCACACTGAATCAATAAAAGCAGAGTAATCCGCCCTCTGGCCTTCAAAGGAGGTTTACTACTGATCACAGAGCTGTGCTTCTCTGTCAAGATGTGCATGACAATATGCCTATTTCATGGGGCCGCTATTTTAAAAAACAAAAGCGAGGCTGTGGTGGCAAGAACCATAGAGGTAAAGCACTAGCACTATTGCAACAACATGCTGTGGTCTACAAACCTCCAGCTGTTGCTGCGATTGAAATAACAGGAGTTTTACGGGAGAAATAACAAAACAGAAGGGTGGCGGAAGATGGGCCTGAAATACGGAAGACTACCATGAAAAATGGGAGTGTTGGCAGGTATGCCTTCACGGCCAATCACTTTTGTTGAGCACTGGTGAATACTATTGCAAATCAATACGATGGTGCTCAAATCTATGGTGCACAAATATCATACAGTGAAAAAAATCAGTTCATTAACTAGAGTTTGATAAATGGTTGGCTAACTAGTGCCATTTAACTTAGCTAAAAAATAATGTCTGATATCGCTTTCCATTGAAAACGGACCTTCATGTCCCTCAGAAGGCAGTGAAATCATAAATTTATGTCACTTTCTCTTCACTGATAAGATATACAGCTAGGTACACAAGGTTCCTATGCGCCTCCAATCAATACTTCCGGGTTTTTTCACACCGCAGCTTCGATTTCGCTTTTAAAATGGCAGCCGCGAGAAATTAGTAACTACTGCAGCTTTTCTGAATTACAACTTTGATTTCATTTCGAGTTATCGTGCAGCCCTACAAAGAAGCTGTTTAGTAATAAAAACCTGGACAAACAGTTCATTGAATAATTCGAAAATAATCCACATCTGAGGTGTAATGGCCAAGACTACCTTATGTGTGCATTGTTTTCTAAAAATACAACAGCCTGTCGACAATTATTTCCTACTTAATGCTGGAAACATCACAGAATCGTTGGATGTTCGGCCATTACTGTGTGGCCCCGGACCTGCTAGCCCGGTAAAGGATGTCTGATGGCCCATCTCTGCTCCATTGTACACATTTTGTACTCCAAAATTATTGCAATATGCCACAGCAGAGACTGGCTAAATTAAAACCAAAAATATTTGGCTGCCGAAAAATACAGATTGAGTGTTAAGAGAAAGTATAAGTCTTGTGTAAAATTCACCTCTTGTCTTCACGGTGATCATAATGGCTGTTACCGTGGGCCTCATCATAGCGCCTCTTGTGGCCATGATGTGAATGTCTGTCTGGTTCAGTCTTGCACTCTTCAGTCTGCTGGCTTTCCAGAGCTTCCCGTTCACTGCTGGCTTCAGGTCTCTGCTCCTGCTCCTCTGTCTTTATATCATTTTCACTTTTTAGCTTCACTGGAGCCACCTCATGTTCTGTAAAACAAGTGATATTTAAAATTAAGCAGGGTCTCATAGACCAATGGGGGGCTTAGAACTCTTAGTGTGGGACTTAAGATTAATTAAAAGAACTTAAATCAAGGCAAAACATCATCAACAAATGCTATCCCATTAATGCTATAAGTGATTGACAGCTTCTCTGAGTGTAGCAGTTGCACATCAGACACCTTTAGAAAAAGAAATGTAACTTAATTTTCCATAAGGGTACAAATGGTTTGTTCTAAATGGATCATTTGACATTTTTTTAACAAGTAGGTTACAGAATTTATAATAAAATATCAATAAAGCATGTCACAACACACTTGTAATATAAACTGGCAAAGAAGCCAGTCATAACACATGCCATAAATAATTAGCCTCCCTACAACATTGAAAATTGAAGCTGAAAAGTAATTCCAAGCATTTATTTTCATTTTAACGTTTCAGCATTTTTAATAAAACAATTATCGCAAAAAAAAAACACTGTATTAGTTATTAGGACTGATAATGATTTAAAGTGGTTTGTATTCATGAAAACGTGGATCTATGAGCAACAGGTTCAACTGCATCAATATTTAAGCCAAAAAAAATGTTTTATTTGCTTCATCTGCTGTCAGTCCCTCAGCAAAACTCTAAAATGTGTGTACGCCTGGGTCAGAGTCTGTGTAAGCACATTTTCCAATCAAGTTTATTTTTAAATCTCATTTTTCACTTACAAAGCGGCGTATGAGTATTTCAGAGCCTGTTTTATGCATGTGCAAGGGTTATGAGACTCCATATCTGCTAAATGTATAGCATATTCATGTATTTTCTTCTAAAATACATCAAGTTAATTGGCTGTTTAATTGAGAGAGGAATAAAGTAAATGTTCTAGTAACACAAAGATTGTATATATTATATGAATAACGCACATTACCCAGTTATATTTACAGATAAGTAAGTCACAGGCAGACAGAGAGAAGAGCTGTCATGCGAGAGCGATTGTGTGTGTGTGTGTGTGTGTGTGTGTGTAATGTAAATGACATGGTCATAACTAATAGCTCATAGAAACATGTTAGCTACCTTTTATCTAATATAATTGAGCATATTGTTGAGTTGGTTGAATCTCAATCAGCTCCCTGGTAAAGCACATGTTGTCCTTGATATCAAAGATCAATAAATGCTATAGAAACTGTTACAGAGTTACTACGGTTAGTTCTTAGGTTTAACTGTGATCAAAACTGACTGGAACTACCTGTGCATGAAATGATTTTAGTATCTTCTAGTCAATCAAAATCATTCATTTACAGCAGTGGTCTCAAACTTAAAGGGCGCATAATTCTTTTGTGTCCCCAGAATGTGTCTGTAAAGTTTCAGCTCAAAACACCCATCAGAGTATTTATTATAGCTGTTTAAAATGTCTGTATTATAGCTGGGAAAAGGTTATTGCTGTTTTTTTGCACTGAGCCTTTAAGGCGAGTCATCCCCGCCCACCGATCCCACGTGCCTGTCAGCAACATGCCTCAATCGCCGCCCTCGGCTGCCTCAGAAAGCAGATCTCGCGTAAGGTTTGTGAGAAATACTACAGTAAGAGCTTTACCGATTAGTATTTGATGCATTTTTTGTGGAGTTGCAACAATGAGTTCACGCACACACGCACAGACACGTAGCGCAGACACACACGCACATACATAGCGTAGACACACAGGCAGACACACACACAGCACAGACAAGTAGCGCAGACACACACACACATACATAGCACAGACAAGTAACGCAGACACACACACACACACACACACACACACACACACATACATAGTGTAGACAAGCAGAGAGACACACGCACACACATACATAGCGTAGACACACACACACACACACACACACACACACACACAAACACACAACCACACACACACACACACACACACACACACACACACACACAGAGAGACAGTGAGAGAGACACGGGGCTGTGCTGATGAAGTGAATCTGAAGTGAATCGCTGTACTTCATTACACGTGCACACGTTTTAAAACATGTTAAACTTGTGAAACTCAGTCTTGATCATGTCTGATGATGATTGATGATCCTAGCAAACTGAACAGACCTTTTATTCCCGGTTGCTTTGCGCTCGTCCTGTCTTGTCGATATGATTTTATGCATTACTACGGAGACATGTTAATGCGCACAGCTGTCAATCAATATTGGTGGGCGGGGGGACCGCACTCCTATGTAAAGTTGCGGTCGGTCTGAAAACCGCTCCAATTGGTCCACCGTTTTTATGTTGTTAAATAAAAAAAAAAAAAAAGGACTGGATGTGTTTATTTCACCCTAATATGACAGTATATACACTATACTTACACACATGTATGACCAAACAGCATGAAAAGTAGATTTTTCACCATAGGTGCCCTTTAATTCCTGGAGGGCCAGGAACTGAGCTCTGCACAGTTTAGCTCCAACCACCTTTAACTCATACCTGCTTAAAGCTGCAGTCATGCTGCACTTTCCTCCCCATAGAATTCCATTCATACGCACATGAATGCGTCAGACCGGAAACGCAAGCTTGTGTGTCAACTTTCACATTTCACTGCGTTGGAAAGTTCAAGCTTGGTGAACTCTGACGTGCGAAATCACATCACATGTTTCAGAGAGATTAATCGAAAATCAAAACATGACCACTATGGACCAATCGCTTGCATTTTTTTTTATGTCTAATCATCTTGCCTTATCCCGCCCCTTTTAGCAGCGCCTTACAACAGAAATTTGCCCGCACAAACTCTAGTGGGACTGCAGCATTATAGTCTCAAGTAGCTTTGAACACCTTGATTAATTGGATCAGCTGTGTTTGATTAGAGTTGGAACAAAACTGTGCAGAGCTGCAGCCCTCCAGGAATCGAGTTTGCGACCTATGATTTAGACTGACCATTAGAGTAAAATTCAAAAACCATAATTACATTTATTTAGCTCAACGATGGCAGCTGCAAACCTACCTTCCTTGCTGACCGTCTCAACTGTTGCTGGCTGCTCATCTACAGACGTTATTTTGCTTTCATCATTAGGGACTTCAGGAAAATCGGTGCCCATCTCAGAGCTCTCTTTCTCACCAGCCACCTGTTCTTGGTCAGACTGTTCATCATTCCCAGCTTCTGCAACTCCTGTCACATGCAAACATGCAATGTCATAAATGCATGTTCATCACTACTACTACTATTCAGCATGGATCAAATAAAGCATGCAAACTCGAGTACCTGTTTCCGCCTCCTCATCACAGGTGGGCTGTTTTTCATCTTCCAGAGCCGCCAGGAGCCGCTCCACCAGATCTGCTTTCAGTCCTCGAGAGTCCAACCCACGCTTCTGGAGCTCCTCTTTCAGCTCGTTCACTTTCAGTTTCTTCACATCCAAACTCATCTTGCATGACACAGTGTGGAGCTCTCACTCCTAGTCCTGCCGAAATTGAAGTCAAATTTAATTATCTATAAAATAAATTAAAAAAAACGCTTCTGCATAGAGAGCATTTAATTGGCGAGAAGATTTGATAAGAAACTTTAAGAATGAGGCGATGGCAAAAAAACTATTTTTGATTAGTTTTGCCAAAAGAGACAAACCTAAAGATTTGAACATTTATAACTTCTAAATGTGATTTTTGTCATCGTTTTGGACCACACTAAATTAAAGATTACCTTAAGACTAACATGTTGATACTAACACAAAGAAACTTCACTGGGACTTTATTCATTCATTCATTTTCTTCTCGGCTTAGTCCCTTTATTAATCCGGGGTCCCCACAGCAGAATGAACCACCAACTTATCCAGCAATTTTTTTAGGCAGCGGATGCCCTTCAAGCCACAACCCATCTCTGGGAAACATCCACACACACATTCACACAAACACTGATACACTACGAAAAATTTAGCCTACCCAATTCACCTGTACCGCATGTCTTTGGACTGAGGGGAAACCGGAGCACAAGGAGAAAACCCACGCAAAGGCAGGGAGAACATACAAACTCCACACAGAAACATCAACTGAGCCGAGGTTCAAACCAGCAACCTTCTTGCTGTGAGGCGACAGCACTACCTACTGCGCCACTGCCTCGCCCACTCGGGCTATACTTTCTGTTAATATCTGCTCCTTCTGATTATGTTCCAAACCTATATTCATTCTTGGTCTCAACCCAAACAAAAGTATAATAAAAGAATGTGGGTGATCAAACTGTTGCTGGCTGTTGATAGTAGGAAAAAAATATTCTGATAATGAGCAGGACCAGTAACTTATGGGTTAACCACATTCGTCGAAATAACTTGTGTTTTAATATATAAAAATGCTTCAGGGTAGGGCTGGCGATATGGGCAAAAAAAATCCTGTCTATATTTTTAGGAGGAACGACGGTATACGATATATGTCCAGTATTTTACCATAAATGATTACTTGAGAGTGAAAGCCTTCATTAAAACTTTATTAAACAGTTTTTGAGCGAAATATAATTCAAACACAGGAGTCTCCCTCCCTGTTTTTATCATCATTATAATTATCATTATTATATTGTTATTTGTTAGAGAAGCTAACAGCGAGATATTAAAGTAGAAAAAGAAATGTTTGGTAGACAAATGCATGTTTTTTTAAGTTTACTTTTTAAGTTTTAATAATCGTTTAAACCACCAACCGTTTGTACACTAGGCACTCACACAAATCAAATCACGCCTTCCAGGTAAGGGGCTAAAATAAATCAATCAATCAATTAAACAATAAATAAATGATTAAATAAAATGATTACAATATAATCAGAATTGAAATCAATATGCAATAACAGACCAGAACGCAAAGCTAAATTTGTTATAACGTAATTGTAAAAACAAGACTGTCCTGTAATAAATACTGAACTTAAAATCAGTAAATACGAGGTGGTTTTACTTTCGAAATGCGGTATAAATACATCCCATTTTGTCGTTTTTAATCCTTTTCCCCACATTCAGGTGCTGCTTGTCAATTTCACAAGGCTTCTATGTTCGTTATTGCTGTCAACTGTGGAGGAAATGATGGATAAAAGGTTCCTGATAAACTGCTGTGACAGCTGCAGGCGCTGTGTGATGCGCATGCACACGAGGGGGAGTCGGATTTGTTCAGGGAGTCAAGATTTCGATACAACACCGGCACTGCATGTTCCTCTATGTCACATGTAGTGATGGATCATTCCTAAACGTATAGTTCATTTTTAACAAATCTTTTGTATGACTCAGTGAGTGAATCATTAATTTGCTAATGTTTTCCTTTTTTTGTGCAAGTGGAGCTCGCGACGCGTGCAACCTTGGAGTGTCTGTTTCGCGCAGAATGTGCACATGTGGCCTCAAATTATACCGATATGAAAGATATTGGATAATCCTGCATCGCGTCGGGGAATCATATCGATAAATGCCCAGAATTCCATATACCGCCCAGCCCTAGTTCAGGTTAAAATTGGTAAGATTGAATAAAGGATGATTTATAGGTCTACTATCCTTTTTATGCTAACAATACAACAAGACATATATTTCTTTTCTTATTTGTTGATTTAATTTCTTGACTATCACTTCTAAATGGACCTATTACCAATGAACCACTGTTCGATTTATTTGTATTGTGTGCATTAGTATTATAAATATTTGTTATTTGTTTTTGTTTATATTTTGACAACTCGCAAATTAGTAAAACCAACATCACATAGAATCTAGACAAAACCTTGAATAGTGATTTTTTTTCTTCCTACACTATTAGCAGAGTGCAGAAGATGTGGATTAAAGGTAATAAGTCAAAAAATATTTGAATTCTTGCACAGATTGACGGTTTCATCATGTCATTTGCTCTGACTGGTTATTCAGCAATGACTCTGAGTGTGAGTGTGTCAGAGTGAAGTAGCAAGTAAACAATTCAAGTAAAAAAGCAACACAAAGATGCTGGCTGTAATTTTGTTTAATTTTTTTTTTTAAACAATAGTCCTAACAGGCTAAATGTTAAAACAACATCAGGGTTGCCAAGTTGCCTATTTTCCAGCAAATTGAGCTGCTTTTATTTACTTCACTTGCCACAACTTTGTTTAATTCTGTAAGTTAAAGGTTGACATATTGCATCAATTAAATTTATATAAAAAAATAATAGATATATATGGAAATATAAAAAAAACCTTCAAATATTTCAATCCCATAAATTTACATTTAACCAATGATAAAAAACGTACAAGGATGATGGTACTGAGAAAACACTTTTGTGAGGCACGGGGAAACTGGAGAGATAGTGGACCTGAAATGGGTATTCACAAAATCATCATTATTATTTTATATGTGGTAACGCTGTTCGTTCATGCAAAAATAAAAAAATAAATAAATAAAAAAATGAAAAATAAAAAAAATTAAACGCAGTATCAGGCGAGAATGATTAAAACCAAAACAATAAAACGTTTCATTAAACAAATAAAAAAATATATAATTTTTTTCTTTATTAAATTCATCTATCCTTATAGATTGTTTATTATATTTTATGCACTCCTATGCAGAAATATCACAATCAATCTAAAATTATACATTCTTTCGAAATAGTTATTCAACTCATCTAAGTGAAATTGCATTCATATTGCAATATATAATCACAGAATAAAAAATATTGCAATATGATATTTTCCAATATCGTTCAACCTATATATATAAATATATATATATACACACACACACACGCACACACACACACACACACACCTACATATAGCAGCCTACATGAATACATATTTTATAAATGGGCAGTGTGGCAAATTTTGAATTTTGATTTCATCGGGCTAGTTTTATTTTGCATTTTGTAAAAACCGTTTTGATTTGATTTGCCTGTATAACGTTATATATATACTGAACTGAACTTAAACACTAAAACCTGAACCACACTGTTCCAGTTACTGAACCACACTGTTCCAGTTACTATGACCATTTATGTGACGCTGCTTTGACACAATCTACATTGTAAAAGCGCTATACAAATAAAGCTGAATTGAATTCAATATATATATATATATATATATATATATATATATATATATTGAATTCGAAAAAATCTCCAAGGACAAAGGTTTTAGCTTAAAGCTTCTGTATAATGTTCAACTGAAAAAAAAAAAAAAAATCACCAACACTGAATGGCCAGAGAGTGAGTACATTAACAGCAGTTTTTCATTTATGAAACAATCCCTATAAGAACATTAGCTAGGTTTTAGCTACAGTGACTACAATAGCTAACCAGCTAAACAGCCTGACCCAACGTGGTCTTTCAGTTTGCACTAGCTCAGACTGTTAACTGGAAACAGTTTCATGTTTCTAGTGGGAGCTGGTTTGTTTATAGTTCCCCAGTCTATTATCTTCAACCAGCTAATTGCTAACTTGAATCATGTTAGACCACGTAACGTTACAAAAGAAACGTGATAATAACGCACAGGAAGAAACCAGCTATGATTTTTTTAAAACAGGCACGAGTTCAGCAGGGTGGGTCATTCACACAGCTAACTGGCTAACGTTAAATCTCCTGCACATACATGTTGTTTAAATTACTTATCACATGCATTAGAGTTAAATAATCTCATCTAATGCAATTTAGCAAAGACATACATTCAAATTATGATCGGAATTAATGCGAAATGGCATGCATTCGTCTGATTTCTCAATCTAGGGAACACGTTATTTTAGCTAACTGGGTAAACGTAACGGAACATGCATTAATATTATTATTGTAACCTAATGCAAACTCTAAAATGGTAGTAAAATGTGCAATGGACCTACCAGAGAAAAGGCTATTGTTCAATTGAAGGAGCCTATTTGTGTAATGTAAACAAACACAGAATTACAACCTCGCGGGCTTCTAGTCGGGGCAGCAGGAGACACACTGAATATTGTTCATAGTGTTTGAGTGCTGCCTCCTACTGGATGGACCTTCGACACTCTCAACAGTCTTTGCCCTCAACGCAGGCCTATGGTTTACAGTTGAATTTAAGTCTATTTCTGTATTATTTAATCGTAGGATTTAAATGAGGAGGTTTTTTTAGCCAACGTAATTAGAAAATAATTATATGAAAATTCATTCATTTGTTCATTTTGCTTCGGCTAGTCCCTTTATTCATCAGGGGACACCACAGCAGAATGAACCACCAACTCATCCTGCATGTTTTACACAGAAGATGCCTTACCTGCTGCAACCCAGTACTGGGAAACATCCATACACTCTCACATTCACACACATACACTACGTACAATTTAAAATACATCCTTTTTAAATGTAAGGGTAAAAAAACTATAGCTTTTTTCAGTTTAAACACAGTATATTTCATTTTGAGAAACATTTTAAATATTGTGGAGCAGTAAACATATCAGGCTAAATGATTCAAATGAATCATTGACTTCTGCTGTCTTCAAAGACAAAGATTTCTTTACAATTTAAAACAGCATCTTTGGATCTTTTTCTGCTGGAGATACTGTTTTCCTATAAAACAGCGGTATACCTTGAACACAATCATCGTCACATGCCTATATCAGACCTTTTTAAGTTTAAATAAATGTGTTTCAAAAACTTTTTGTTGAAAAAATAATCACAACAACAAACTGTTTTCACAATTTTAATATAATCAAGAATATTTTACTTTTTATTTTACAATGATACATATACACCCATATACACGTGCCATATTAAACACAGCAGTCTTTTAATGCAATGGGGATTTTCTGATAGCACACACAGTGAGATAAGCTCTCTGTTTCTTATGCTGCGTGACACATCCATATTTATCATACGAATATTGTCATTCAAGTATTCACAAAGCGGATGTTCAGATCATCAATATGCCCAGCTTCAAAATCTTATTACATTTAAGCTCAAACTAAAGATCACTCTCTGTAAATTGTGGCAATTTATTTTGGAAAAAAAAAAAAAAAAAAATCACTGAAATGTTATAAAATAACATTCAAACTGAACAGTGCAGAACAATGAGTAGTCAAACATATGCAATGGTTTAACAATGTCATCAAAAAAGATTGATAACACGATCATTCAGCCAATCAGTAATGAGTAATGATAGTATGTCGTCCTAATGGCCAACGTTCATCATACACAACCGTATTACTTATTTTCTTTTTCTTTCTATTTTTATAACAGTGTGTGTGTAAGAAGACTTAAAGCTATAGTTCATCCAAAAATGAACTTATTTTACTTACCAATTACACATGAATCGATTGACTTAATTGTTTTACAAATTTAAGTTGGTTGAACTTTATTTTTTTAAAACAATTAAGTTATCCCAAAAATACTCCAGAATTGTGTTGATTCAGCTCCTTTTAACCTTTTAAATAAGTAGTTTGAACAAGCAGCTTTTTAAAATGTAATCGCCTTTAAGTGATTGTTGCTTACTTTGAACACGAATTAAGATTTTTTGAAGAATGTTGGAAACCTAAAAAGAAACAAAAAAATACTATGGAAGCCAGCGGTTACTGCCTTCAAAATGTCTTCCTTTGTGTTCAACAGCAGTACAACAAAGTAAAAAGTGAGTAAAAATTTTAATTTTTGGAGTGAACTATCCCTTTAAGCAAGACTTTGTATGCGTGTATATGGCAGTGCTGCACCACAACTGATGGCAGTCCCTATTAACAAGTCTGTTTATCCTCCTCAGAAAGGGCCTAATTCAGTGATGCACACAGTTATTTGGAACTTGGGGCTGCTGGAAGAGACAACAGAAGTCTGTTAACCTCTCTGATCTGGGCATCCAGTGTCTCTGTGGTGAGGGCCAGCTCTCCTAGTTGCGTCTGCAGGCTGGTTATGGATTGTGCGAGCTCTTCTTCTTTTCGTCTGGAGTTTGCAGCCTGACGGCTGTACTCGAGCACCATGCAGCCTCCACCGATGACAAAAATGATGGCTTCGCCGAGCAGCTCGGCTCCAAGCTCTGCAGCCGCGTCTTCATTCAGGGGTTTGATGGTGGAGCCGCGGAAACCCATAATTCTCATCTTTGTTCTCATCTCGATCCAGTGATATGCTGTTGAGAGAAAAAAACATGACAGATCTTTTTAGTGACTTGACATGGTTGTTTAAGAGGTATGAAGGCCTCCCATGAAAAGGATAAGACTACTACACTATAATATTTATAAATGTTGTATTTAAAAGAGTGTATGAAACTATGGTAATAAAAAAGAAGAGACTACAGTGATATTAAAATTAATATGGTGTGTAAAAGGACTGCCTTATAAATTAGGCATAGTAGTTTATCATATTTAAAATGTGAAAAAGAGATTATGTATTGTTAAATAGAAATTACATATACAAGAGAGATTGCATTGCACAACAACACATATTTAAACATTTAAACAAGTTTGGTGTGATTAGGATTTTTAAATGTTTTAAAATGAGCTTTTCCTGATCACCAATGCTGCATTTATTTAATCTAAAATACAGTACAAATTGCAAAATTAAAAGTAGTTTATAATTTAATTTCATAATTTATTCCAGTGATTTTGGAGATGAATTTTCGACTTCATTACTCCAGTCTTCAGAGTCACATGATCCTTCAGAAATCACTCTAAAATCAAACATAATTATTTTTAATATTATTAATATCATTATTAATGGTAATAGTAAAAAGCAATATTGATTTGAGTATTAATTTAATTTGAAACTACATACAATATAATATAAATAAGAATTTAATACTACATACATTTAATAAATGCCCCCTTGTTGAACAGAATCATTTTCTTAAAAAAATAAACAAACAAAAAACATGAAAAAATAATAAAACTGACCCCAAACTTTTAACCAGTAGTCTATATTAAAAAGAGTTTTAAATGATATAAAAAAAATACAGATTAGCTTCATAATAAAATTAACTAAACATTTACATAAACGTAATATTTACAAATATTATTAAAAAGTGTATAAAAGTATCACATTAAAATAATAAAAATAGAATACAATATTGAAATAAACCTCCTTCACTCTCAATAAACTGTAATATATATATATATATATATATATATATATATTACATATACACATGTGTGTGTGTGTGTGTGTGTGTGTGTGTGTGTGTGTGTGTGTGTGCGTGCGTGCGTGCGTGTGTGTGTGTATATATATATATATATATATATATATATATATATATATATATATATATATATATATATATATATATATATTACTATTTATTATTATACATTAAACATTAAAACAATATAAGAAATTACAAGTCTTCGTTTTATAAACAATTCGATAAAATTAATCGCTATTAATTTGTCAAAGATACAAACGGTACATTTTCGTATGCTTTTGAAACCCTCACACAGTCGCAGGCCTCAAATAACACTAGCAAAATTATCAATTACAATCCAGACTCAACATTGTATATACTTGCGAATGATCACATTGTGATGTCGATGCTGAAATGAAATATTGTGCAGCCCTATTATGTATTATTATAATAAACACTAAAACAATATAAAAAATTACAAGTGATTCGTTAAAAAAATGACTAATATATGAAAACAAACAATATTAAAAATAAAAGAACATAACAATTCATTATATTAATACTAATTAATTGTATACATGTAGGGGAGCAAAGTGGCAAAGTGGGTAGAACATAAGCCTAACAGCAAGGTTGCAAATTCAAGCCTCAACAGCATCCGTTGGAGTTTCAGTGTGGAGTTTGCATTTTCTCCCTTTGTTTGCGTATGTTTTATCCGGGTGCTCCAGTTTACCCCACAAGTCCAAAGACAAGAGGTATAGGCGAATTGGGAAAGCTAAATTGTGTGAATGAGTATGTGTGGATGTTTCCCAGTGATGGGTTGCAGCTGGAAGGGCATCTGCTGCGTAAAACATATGCTGGGTAAGTTGGCAGTTCATTCTGCTGTGGCGACCCCAGATTAATAAAGGGACTAAGCCGAAAAGAAAATGAATATGTATAAATTAACTGATAGATTTGTTATATAGCTCTTATTTATATATAACAGTACTGTATGATCACATTGTTTTTTATGCAACTATATTAAACATATTTAGCAAACCAGGAAAAAGAGGCACGTTCAGTTAATCTAAACTTGCATTTTAATGTTTATGATCATAAAAAGTCTTCTTAAATTGACTAGAGTAAAAGTATATTAAAGAGAGTAGGCTAATGTATGAAACATTAACATATACAATCGAATTAATTACAGTAAAAATATTATGTTAATAAATTATTATTGTATTATAACCAATTTAAGAACTAGCTGTAAAGGCACTTTTTTTCTACTCGTGAGTCGTGTGTACCCTCTCTGCTCTCAATGACAGATCAGTCCCGCCCTCTTGTATCAAGCTCCAATCTCATTTGTCAAAAGGAAACTTTCCTCCGTTACCTCATTTGTCTCTTCGATAGTCTGTCACTAAAAAGACCCAATAAAAATAGCGCAGCAGCCGTGATTGGCTATAAGGTAGAAGTAGACAAGCGTCCATTGGCTGCGTGTAGCTATGTCCACACCCACATACACCCTTAGCATTTGCCTGACATCATTTCATCGTTTTTCACGAACAGGCAAATATTAGCTTACCTTGAGCCGGAGGAAGGCAAATATAGTTTTTAAAGAATTCACTTCTCCGCGCGCCCGCTTTTATCCTATTAGCCACTGGTTTGCTCAATTGTCGCACGCCCAGATAGAGCAGCTTTGCAATCGGAAAGGCACCGACAACCATCTTGGCGGAAAATGCGTCATCTGGGAAGGCGGGATGATAAGGACGTCATGTGGGCGATGCTTATACGTAATGTAATGACGTAAAATTAATATTAATAAGATTTATAAATGTATTAGTATTTTAGTGTTCGGTATTATTATTATTATTAAAGACATTAGTAAACAAATATTAACTTTTAGTTTATTTTAGCCAAGTTTGCTCCTCTATTTGTTAAGTCGCTTAGATGTACGGACGTTTATGATGTATTTTTACAGTTAATTTCCCCCAAAATCTAAAATCAATAATAAAAAATATTAAACCAAATAAACAAACGAAATCTGTCTTTCTTTGGCCATTGTCTCTCGTTGTTTACCTGCGCCAGCTGTGCGTCTCTAACACCTGGGTCGGATTTCAGAAGCGGTGGGCTGGACTGAATTTCTCAGAAGTTCACAAGCAAGGGTTGAACACCGTAGAAAAGTTTTCCAGACAGTCATGTAACGCATCCATGCTCGGCGGGACTAAGTTTTAGGACTTCACTGCACGACAATTTGACTACTATCGCAGCTGTTCAAGGTACAGGAATCTTTCATGTTATTGTGCTTTTGAGAGTTCAGCTCGGAGATTTACTGTACATTGTGAAGGCGACGTGGATTGTACAGTAGACTTGTTTGTTCCCGTTATGTCAGCTTTTGAACACACACTTTTTCTCAGTTTTACTTTAAAAATGTGTAACATTGTTATAGTTTTAAGGCGCCTTTGTGTGTGAAGTGGACGAGGAGGAGCCAGTGGCACTTTAATGGGAATCAGATGTCTTGAAAACGCACGCAGAAGCTTTTGAAGGCAGATCCCATTGAGTTGTTCTCTGAACGATATATTATTCATTATACAACCTGAATCAAGTCTTAAAATTAGACCAAGGCTTATCCGAGCCTTTATTTATTTAGTGATATGGTAACTTTGTAAAATATTGTGCTCAGGATTTTAATACAATGTACACAAAGCCTTCTGCATATACTGTAAGACCCGTCATCATGATGAATGACTGTGGCTTTTTTAACAGATGTTTGTAAGCAGTGTTACTAATTTGGATACTAGAAATGCATGAGGTCTAAACTTTTTGATCATCAAGCCTACTCCATCCTACTTGATGTAAAAAGCCTGTACATGAAATAATGAACTTTGCTTTAAACCTTTTGTACAAAATCTACATACTTTCTTCAGCTCTAAAATTTAGGAATTACATAAAGATTTATATTTATACAACTTTATATTTTTTATCCATACTTTCAGACTTTGGCGTTTAATGAAATACTAAAGCAGAATTAAAAAAAAATAATAATTGTGATGTACTACAGTATTAGCACAAAGTGAGATCTTGTGACACTGTGTCTATATTGTTTATCACACTATTTGAATATTCAGTCTGAAATCGCATGTAATTATGACGTCAAATGAACATTAGTACCAATTAATTAACTGCATGCCAACAATGTTATACTTTGAGAGTCATTGGCTGATAAATATGTTTTCCCTATTTACAATATGCAAAGAATACTTTTCTGAAATGTTATTAAGGTGAAAGTATGAATGTGCAAATATAACACCAACTTTACCCCTAATAATTTTAAGATGAATATTTACAGACACTTGGCACTTAATTATCTTTTTTATTATTTGTGTATTTTTTTACATTGAAATCCTGATGCCTATCATGCATTTTACTATGATTTTACATTGCAGTAATATGTCATTCAGTGCAACAATAGTTTCAAAAATGCCATAAAAGCCTGATATATCAAATATAAAATAAAATATATTGTTTACTTTTTTTTGTTTAGATTATTTAGTCATTTTCTAATCTTAAAATTAGTTTAAAGTGTCAATAATATATTAAACATGTAGAGTTGAACACACCCCACGTACTGCATCTTTTGTTTAGCATTGTGGTTTTATACATTCTTTGGTAACCGGTCCATAATGAGTACCTTCATGTCATTTTTTTGAAAACATTGGGAACGGGTCCAGTTCCACTGTACAGTTCTCACTAAATGCTGTCAGAGCCAGCTGAGCTACATATTTGTCTGTTCCTGTCCTGCTACAACTTGTTCCATTCCATTATTTCTCCTTTTGCACTTTACACTGTAAACATGAATATTTGCATGTTGGTTCAATCACTTTCCAGCCTGTATTTGTGTGCACTGCTGTTCAGTCTTCAAAGGTTAAACTGGGTCAGGTTGGATGCTGGGAAACTTGTGTGATTCACAAAGAATGTTAAGCTTGTAATTTTAAAGACCTGAGAGATTCCAGAAGCAAATGTTATTCGAGACTGTTCAGAGTGTCCTCTACACAGGGCTGCACATAAACAAACATCCCTTAGAAAAGCAGAAGTGGCCAGTATCATAGGTCAGACTGAGTGTTAGGATTATTAATACCCACCCATGGAATCATGGGTGACTAACAGGTTTTAGTCACAATGTTCTCGGATGGCCGTCAGTGTCTAAAATTTACCTGACACTCCTAATTTTTTTGTTCATCTAAATCTGATAAAATGTCTTGATTTTAGAGATAATTTGACTCTGTCTGTCTGCCTGTCTGTCTAGCTATCCATCTTATTATATATAAAATATTATTATTATTATTTTTTTTTTAATGAACTCTCCATTTTAATTCTGTCACAGGATGTTTCCACCCACATTTTTAGGTGTGCATTAGGGTAGAGTTCATCAAATCCTAGTCTTTATCTTTTTAGGCGTGCATTTCTTTTTTTTTGTAATTTTCTAAAGAACTTCTTTAGCCGGTTACTATTGCACCTTTTGGCAAGGACCTGCATGAGTTCCAGATCTGTTACATACGGTTTGAATGACTGTTCTTATCAACTAGACTATGAAACACTCTTGTTGTCTCTAGAATGATAGCTTTGGTTGGTTTCAATGCCATGAGATGGCGTAATGTCTGAGACACGTCATGAATGCTCACTTAGACTTACAGGTGGTGGTTCACTATATCTTATTGTATCTTCAAATCTCCCCTGACTTACATTCTTCTGTCGGACTCAAAAGAAGATTTGTGTTTTCAGTGCAGTGAAAGTCAACTGACTTAAGCAAATACATTATCTTTCATAAGCTATTTTTATTTCCACAGATGAAAGTTAGTCAGGTTTTGGAATGACACAAGGGTGAGAAAATGATGACTGAAGAGTCATCGTTGCTTGAACGATTCTTTTGACTGTCTGGAGAACTGTTGTTGTCTAAATGCAGCTTGGGTTGGGCTGTTTTAATACCACATGGTGCCAGTCTGACAGCAGCTATTTCACCACAACGTGCTGATGAATGAATTTCACATAGAAATGTTGTCACTTGTGTAGGTTGTGATTGGTCTGTCTTTTTTTTTTTTTTTTTTAATGAATTACCAACAAGATTAAGCTAGTAGGCTTTATCTGAAATCGACCCCCTAGATCAGAGATGCCCAAACAAGGGCCTGTGGGCCAAAGTTTGCCCATAGTAGGCTTTGATTAGGCCCGCCATCCCATCTGAGTAGAGAGGGAGAATGATAGGGATGGTTTAGAGATCCTCATTTCAAATGTAAAGTAATCTTTTAGTTAACTGAAATTTAATGTTTAAATGTAAATGCTGTATGTTAGTTTAAAATGTGCATACTGTCACCCGACGAATAGAGGACAATGCAGAGAGTTTGCTGAGCAAATGAAAGCAAAGATAGATTCTGCTTGACGAGTGTATTCAGCATTAAATGTGTTATAAATGTGATTGTTTTTATTGCAATAAGTTATCATTAAAAGGTTTTTCTGCATTATTTAATATTTTTCAAAGCAGTTATTTTTGAATAATATTAAATAAAATAGTTTGGTAGATTTATCTTCGGGCCACGACTATTAATGATATTTGGTTTTTGGGCCTTCATGCGAAAATCTTTGGGCACCCCTGCCCTTGACTCACTATTCCCTACATTAGTCTGCTTAAAGAAGTGAAAGAAAATGAGTGAGTGAATCTGAGCACTGACTGCACCGGAAGGGATGTTGTTTAGTTTGTGCTTTGCTGGTTAATAAACCTCTCAGAATGATTTGATTTTCAATTTCTTGGACAGACCCTGTGATAGATTATTAACATTTAGCGAGCTATTAGTAATGAACCAAAGTATTTAGATTTTTGTCAGGTATACAAATGTTGATTTCTCATTTTAATAGTAATTTATTTGGAAACACCAGTAGGATTCTGCTGTGGATGCCATTCTGTGGTCAAACGTGGTAATTAATTTTGCATGTGTGAATACTTAGTGCATAATGGGGTTTTCTCCTGCTGTTGAATGTACATTGGTCATACAGATGTTATTGTGGTGCATTATAGGATTGATTGAGTTTACATCAGAATGTTCACAATAGTTTCGGACACCACTGCAAATGGCTGCTTCCTCTAATATTGCCCATAACATTTATTGTGTATGGCTGTATGCGAAATCACCCCTACACCTATATTCACTATTACCTTCCATTAGTCCACTAATACAGTTCATCTGAAGGAGTCACACATTATTGGGATTCTAATGCAGTGCATTATTAGGATTTTCTAGCTGATTTGTGTATATAGGTTGTAGACTCGTTATTGTTCTGCATTGTAGGATTGATTGATTACACTTATCATAACGTCCACTACAGAAAAATGGGCCGCTGTCAGAAGCGCAATGAATTCTTTCATGGTGTGATTGGTTTCCACATGTGGAGTAAGTGCGTTTGTGAAATTTCCTCACTAAATAAAATATTCCGTGATCAACTTTTAGTGGTGTTATGACAAAATAGAAGCAATTAGGTCTGGGTGATATAACAAAAAACTCACTTTACATAAAATAATAACTAATAATATCACTAAATATAATGCAAAATGTAAACATTGTACTCTCAATATTGTAATAGTCTCATGATGTTGTTCATTCATGATTTTATCTGCATCCCAATAATGGCATGTAATATTTTGTTCATGTAAATTATGAAAAAGTGTTACCTTAAACGATTTTGTGACACTACAAAATGAA